AAAAGTATTGATTCATATATACACTGGAAAAATAAAAATAGTATATCATACACACATAAAGTTTAATATATTCTGAAACATTGGTGAATAAAAAAACTAAAATATTGGTTTAGGCACATGGGAAATGAACCTAGTTTCGGTTCATACATACTGGGGAAAGTATATACACAGGAGTGTGACTCAGAAAATGTGACTGAAAAAACAGTTAAAAGTTGGACTTTTGGAAAGGTCACTAGACAGAATCTATTGCATTTTTCAGAAAGTGTGCCAAATATATTATTTGAAATGATAGGAGCTTTGAAAATTTGAATTCATTCCTAGAAATAGAAAAAATGAGAAACTGATTTAGAAAGCAATCCATTTTCTTTTTATGATCACAATTTTTGTTTCAGACAACTTTTCAAAATTTCAAAGCTCCTATGATTTAGAGCAATATATTGGGCACATTTTCTGAAAAATTCAGAACATTCTGTTTAACGACATTTCCAAAGGGTAAACTTTTTAAGCATTTTTCAGTCACAACTTCAGAGGGCTGAAAAGTCTCACATGATGTTTTGAGTCATTCTGAGCATGATCATTTTGATCCTGGTCATGTAAATGATATGTGAGAGTAGTCAGACTAATCGATGGGCAAAACTCTATTCAGTTTTTAAAAAATCGAATATCCACGTGTTTTTTCATTTCCTGTTTTGTGTAAATTTCTGATAACTACTTCCTAACCCACACTGGAGAAAGTACAAACTGTTAGTTTATACACCCTGAAAAATGGAGAAAATATGAGTTCAAAGTTTGAGATGTTTGATCTATGCATACTGAACAATCATACAAACTAGAGAGACTATGACAATATTGATTAAGATCCAATCTAAGTAATATGATAGATAGTTGGTTCTTCAAAACTGAGACTCAATGGATTTACATTAAATGCAGAGTTCCTGTGACAGTGGCATTTATTTTTAGTGATCAATAAAGTACTTTGCACGCTCCCGCCAAGCCAGAGCATCTTGATTCTGATACACATCGCATCTAAAACATGTCTGTGTCTATGATGCAAGAGGAGAGTGTCATGGTATTCCATGATGGAGCATTTTCGAAACCCTTCTTTATAAAATGTGCAAACCATTCTTAGAAATTGCTATATACACTGAAGATGGGCTATTGGTATGCACTGTGTACAATATTAGTAATGCCGATTGCTCCGATTTTTACTACGGCGCCCTGTCGATTGAGTAATACTATTTTGTTCAAATTGAATACAATTTTGAACAAACGGAGCAAATGTGATGCAGGCATCAGTTTAGTATGAATTTATTTTGTTAGGATACCAGTACTAAGTTTGCAAACATGCATGTCAACCATGGCCAATCAGAAGAGTGCACCCCTTCTACATGATAGTATAAACCCTTCCTACACCTTGGTTTAGCTTTGGATCACTATGCTATCACTATGTGGCAGAAATGCATTCTGATTGGATATAAATAATCACATGACCTTAGTTCACCTTAGTTCGCCAAGGTATCAGGATATGGCATGCCAAAATGTAAAATCTCTATTGACATAAATGTATATGTTAATTTATTTCCGCGTAAGTGCAGGTATAACATAAAGTCCTTTAAATGAAGGATGCGTAACACTTTCTGAACGGATAATTACACATACTTACACCCGAGGCCTTATTATCAGTTGGTCGCAAAATTTCTGCGTTGCGTGTTGCGTCTGCAAAACGCAACGGTTGAGTTGCGTGATATTATCAGTTGAGCGCAATCGCAGACGGAAAGCAAACGCAAAGAAGCGAACTCAAGGTTAACGTGTAATCTAGCGGGAAGTTCAAATCGTCCAATTTTAAATACACACTGTATCACCAATTATAAACGCAGATGCGAGTAGGTAGTTATCAATTTCACCACCAGGTGGCTCGTTCGGGTCAGATAGCATGGCGGATATGTAGTCTAATGGTAGAAAATTCCCTTTAACTTTCCCTTTAATCTGTTTTAGTGGTTCAATTTTCATATAACCCTCATGTTTTTAATAGTTATGCTAATTAAGAAATGTCCAGTAAAGGAAAGTGATATTTGTCGTTTACAAGAAAAGATATTTCACTTTTTGTGACTTTTTAATATGGGGTCTATTGGGATTCAACCCGAACTAGGATCACATTTTCAAAATAAATTAAATTTTCAAAGTTGATAAACAATTTTCGAAACCATATTTCTTGATTTACTTTTACATGTAGATTTCAAATATCACATCACTTTGACTGAATTTTGAATACTTAATGCCGTACAATGTAAATGATGATTATTTCTATTCGCATCTAGTTAATTGTCTGATCGAATTCTCCATTCTTGTATTATCGTTGGTTCAACTTAGACGTACTCCAAACGAACGCGTTGTTCGTTGATCACATTGCCAAAGGTGAAGAATGTCTGCGACAATAAATTCATGGTTACAGATTGCTAAAACGAAGCTCAAAATAAAAATGTTTATCTTTAAAAAATTAGTACACCGGAATACAAAGTTGCCTTTCTCGATACACAAGTATAAATTCATGAAATTAAAAAAGGATCTTTACAAATATGTTTGCAAAGATTGGGAAATATTTTCGTTATTGACTTTTTTTCTATTTCCGTGTTTTCCGGTCTAATTTTGTTTCTGAATTTCGGTTTTATCCCTGCATGTTTAATTACTAAAGTAGCGGTCACACTTGACGTGGAGGCTCACCGTTCGCCACCGTGTGGCTAATTATGGCCAGATGGCAATGCACGGCATGGTCACACGATGGGCCGTATCCCGCCCGTTGAAAACGTTCAAGGAACGTTGCCTGGACGTTGCCGATGTAAAAGGGTAGGATGTCCTATTAATTTATGGTCATACTCTCCATTGATTTATATGATGACCTCTTTCCCTTATTATCTTATACACAATCAGGGCCAGTAAGGGCCTTTAAAAAGGGGGACCGTAATCCCTGGGGGACCATAATTTCTTTCACACCTGTATAAAAGGTTAGAAGGTCCTATCAAATTATGGTCCTACTCTTCATTGATTTATATGGTGACCTCTTTCCCTTATCTTATACACAATCAGGGCCAGTAAGGGTTGTAAGGAAAGGGGACCATAATCCCTAAGGGGACCATAATTTCTTTTACAACGGCCTTATAACGGCTCCATCGAGGGCGTGAGTTTTGTTTTGAAAGGCGCAACGTCATCAGGGTGCAAAAGTCAACATTTTTGTTGTACATGTAACTAAAGGAATGGTAGTCTTCATGGCCTGAAATAAATGTATTTAGATAAAGTAATCATTCCAACCTTTTAGATTTTACCGTACCATGCACATATTCATTCATATGTAAGCTTGGTTTTAAATCCAATTAAATCCTGTAAAATGTAATGTTCTTACATTATATGTGGTACGTAATAAAGGATGCAATTATGAAAGCAACCACGTGAAAAAAGACCCTAAAAAGTTAGTGACTGCCTCAGTGACTGTACAATTGACCAACATTTTTTCGGCTTTTGTAGCCCTTTTATTTTTTCCATTTACATATGTACATATATATGAATATCATCTTTGATAATAAGATGATGGAAACTGTTTGTTTTAGCCGAAAAAAATTTGGAAGTATGTGTCGATATCTAAATTGCAAGGTTTGTCCTTATTTGGGAATCTATTGAAGGTAAACTTCATTTTCAAATTGATAGTGCAATCTAACACTGAGTTTAGTAGCTAATGTGGACGATCTCATTCCCACCCTTGGTATACGCAGCTAACGAAAATTGACCGGTACGGGTCAAAAGCTGGACCGGTACGGGTTAACGGTTTTATTTGAATTTAAAATAGCCATAACTTGCTCAATATTGACTTCCTCGTGTCTAATTTGAAATATATGATGCCTCCCGATGCTTTTAAGTACCCTAATTTTTTACAGATTTTTAAACGGACCAAAACTCTCTAAATGCGCATTTATGCTCTTTTCTCTCGAGAACGACTGTCTCATTTTCACGATAACTTTTATTTAGAACTTCTAACATATAAGATCTATTTTTCCCCATCAAGGTACGATGTAAATGACATGCTATTTACATCTTGTGAGTTTCAATGACGCGCGTTTGATTTTATAAAAAATGCCAAACTTTGTGACGAAGAATTTCATCCTGCTTGTAGCGAGAAGACGGACCGGTTCGGGGCAATCTGCTTGCAGCGAGAAGACGGACCGGTTCGGGGAAATAGCTGATGAAATTCTTTGTCACGATATCCTCCGCTCGGGGTATATCCGGTTATTCATTCTGCCAATAAATATCAAATTTATTTTTTAATGTTATTATACATTTAGTACACTAAGTGTAGGATAGTGATGATATCGTATATGTTCAATGGCTTTTAACAAATGTAATACTGGTGCAAATGATATGAGAAGACCACGATAAGTCACCAGTGACATGCAGTAGGCTTTAAAACGGTAAACTACATCTCCTCACGGTCCAAGGTCGTAATTAAGGCATCGGGGGGTCATTAACAGAAACTTGATAAAGTTACGAATTTGTAAGTCAATTGTAGTAACCATGGTTATAATGATGTCACAGTAAGAGAACAATGGACTTTATGAATTCTTAATTTTACAAAGTTTCCGTTAATGGCCCCCAGGTAGATAGAGAGATATGCAGTAGTTGTTTGTAGCTTAGTTCTTTGTCCTGTACATGTACAGTAAAATTTTTAATGTTTCTAAGTACTTTGAATTTAAGAAATAAGCAATCAAAGGACCATATATATAGAAGACAGTATATGTAAAAATAGAAACATTTATACAAGTCCTAACTTTTGTTTATTTTAGTTTGTTTTGTAGTTTAGATATCATCTATGGCCTCTTATATTTTGATGCTTCTCTGCCATTTTCGAAAAAATTTAACATGGCTGAAACTCCCTAAATTACAAAAGGCAACAGCTTTGCTGCACATTATACATAACTATCTGAAATTACAAAAGTTAGGACAAGTACAAATATTATGTTTCTATTTTTATATACTGTTGCAATTCATATAGTCATTTCTTTGCTTAGTTTTTAAATTCAAAGTACTTCCAAACATTTAACATTTTACTAGTTCTTGTAATTCTGATAATGGCAGACAAGCTTTGGTACGAAAAACGCTCCCGTGGGTTTGTTGAAAATGCTATTAGTTCTACACTGAGACGTTAGTCTCAGGTCTTCAGAATGATAAAATCATTCATACCCCATCTATTCTCTTAATATATCTACTGTAGCGGTCCAATGCTGACGAGGCACTACGTAAAATCGTCCTCGAGCATCTTGATGGAAATAACCGAAATGTTCGTTGTAGATTGAGCTAACTCATCGAGGCTGTTTTTGCTGCCGAAAGTTAGTTCAGTAGAATGTCGTGATTGTGGCCTTCGCACACGGCTGTCCCTGGCCTTGTTGAGAGTACATATATTGAATAGCGTTTTCCTAAAGCGTCTGTTTGTAACTAGGTAAAGGATAAAGTGAGTATCACTGTACAGGTAACCCAGCATATGGGTGATGTTGGTGTAGAGTGTGGATGTTGTTGGAGAAGGCAAGAAGATAGGGAAGTAGATTAGGCAGAACACTATTGAATTCCCTATTAACGTAAGGCAGAGAACGTTCTGTTCTCGTGACTGTCGAATCTGAATATTACGGCAAGTCGCACCGATAGAAAGCCTCCTGGCCACGTGCTGCTGTCTTTTGAATACAATGGAAAGTCGTATGATGCAATACATTAACACGAACCATGGTACAAACGTCGTGAAGACATCCTTTACTTGAGTATAGATGTTCAGAATGTCATCTCCCTTTACAATTACAACAATGTTGACAATATTTCCCTGGTACGTGGCAAGACTTCTATCAAAGCTTAGAAAAATCACTGGCAAGTTTATCAGGGCAGACAAGACCCATATCACGTGTAAAACCACGCGCGATTTCTGTTTTGTTATTATCCGCTTGGCTGTGAATGGATGACAGAATGCGAGGTATCTGACGAAAGACGCGGCAGTCAACGACCATGCAGATATGGTGAAGAACAACTCCATGATCACTAATGAGTAATTATAGTAAACTTGCCACGCAAACTCCTCGTATTCAATAGATATACCAGAAGTCATCAACGCACATGTGTTGTAGACCATTACCGGAAGTCGACATAATAACATCAGTAAATCGGCAACAGAAAGAGATATCAAAAAATTTGTGAAATTAACGGTATACATGTCCTTTTTGCTCCATACTGCAATGCTAAGTATGCTTCCGATGACACCAAACACTATTGCTACTATGATGATTATTGATATGATAATTTCAGCAATGCATGTTGATCCATCGCGACACTCCAATTGTGTAATATTATTTATGGTTGATGAGTTATGGTTGTCAAATAATGTGGCTTCTGTTGCGTATATAACGGTAGCATTCCTATCAGTTGATAAAGCGCATGTGCTAATAGTAGTGCCATTTCCTAATGAGCATGTCCACTTCTCAAAACTAGAGTCTGTAGTTCCATTATTGTTTGCGTGATGTGCAGCTAAGGAAGCTGTCACATTTGATACTCCCGTTGTTGTATTTGACATATTCAGTGGTAATCCTAGTTCATCTCATACATACATTCATTATATTCTCCTTGGTTGGTCACATACCAGGTACATGAAATTATATGTAAAACGTGTATTAGAATGCGGCTGCTTCGTTCAATATATATTCGTCAAACACCAAAATGGGCTAACTGACCCAAAACATTCCTGAATATAAAGAAACTTGCCTGAAATGAGAGCTACATAACATCAACAGGTCAAATGTGGAATGTCCCTTTACTGTTGATGATTGTCAGGTATGCGCCAAGTTATTCCAAATTGATTTTAGATTAGCCCTTTGAATGGGGAATGCTGGTTTACATAATTTGGTTTTACAAGCTTTTGCGTCGATTGTCTCAACGCATTCCATGAGTTTGCTAGATTTGATATTAATTCGCCGCTATCGTCATTTTATCGTTTACGGTCGTTTGTCATCCACGAGTCATCAATGTGTGGTGTTTGACATAATATCCTGTTATTGATGTTATTGTCCATTGGTTCGCGATATGTCGAGTACAATGATATCCCAAAAGAATGCACCTGAATTTATTCGTTCAACCTTCAATGATCACGGTTCGTGTAACACTGACTGGAAGTACAAATGAAAATCAGCATAAATACAAACATCCAAATCCAAATGAAAACATTTAATCATACGTATGAATCAAGTTACACAAGTTCAGATATAGAACTGATTATAATGTATATTTTACAATTTGGTGAAGTGTGTATACACACCACGGATTACATCGTTAACAAGATCATAGTCGCAGGTGTTGATATTGTGATAACACTGGAGAATTATTCCAGTACAATCGTTTGATTATACTTCACTTTCCATTGAATCAACATGGATTGTTGACTCACGTGAATTATACCATTTACAGTCGTATGTATTCCATCAATGATCATTGGCTTTGAGACTGGAACATTGTAAAACTGGTCATCGTTGTTCGTCATATCTATAACTAATAACTAATGAGAAGATATCTGCTTTATATTTCACTCATAGTATGCCGAGTTGATAACCTTTCATAAAACATGTTCGATATGACCAACGTAACGTTTCAGGTGTCTGGTTGTCTTGGGATGGTTTTCATAAACAACGGTCCTTCAATTAACCCCACAGATAGAAATCTGGGGCTTTCAAGTCCGCTGAGTGTCGGGCCCACTCAAGGTCACATCTACTGATCTGTCAATCAAACCTTATGCCTAATGAGGAAATCTTGGACAGCATTAGGAAGACGTAGGAGCATCCCGCCGTAGGACGTAGGACGACCTGAAAAAAGATCAGAGTCACATATCCCAAGAGAGTCGAGTACGTGTCCGCGTAATTAACAACTTCGCACGCCGCAATCAGAAGTGTCTGCGACATCGACGTGGTTATATCTAACAAGATTTTAGAAAATGGTAAAACCCAAATTTAAGCACTGATTTATGACAAAAGAACTCAACAATACATGCATATACATAGTACCCCGGACAGGTTGAATGATGCAGTCGTGTTTTTACTCTATATATGCAATGGAACAACCATTCTTATTGAAATTTTAAAGATTTATTCTAGAGACAATTCCCAACATGGAAAATAAATATTTTAACGAAATTCCAAATTTTATGATTTTTATCGGCTTTTTTCAAAAAGATGCCACTGTCAATAAAATACAGGTTTTTGCTTGAACAATTGAACTTATTACGTCATTCTAAATATTATCTAGCTATATAATTTTTTGGCCGCTTAAAGTCTTTCCAGATATATTTGTTGCCATATTAATAATTATGGCTGATTATTGTTATTCACTTTAGTCATATTCAATATTATTACAGTGCATTAGACCAATAAAAAACGTGTTGCTCTGGGTCTCACTTTGTGAAGCGTTCCCTAGATTAAGCCCAAATTGAGGAGGTCAATCTTCTTGTCAATGGACAGGAGTTCAACCTGATCGAACTGTTCAATACTGTCCAAAATGAGGTAAAACATTACAAATCTCCAACTTCAAGTGTTTCTGGCATTAGATCTTTCAGAGACGTTAATATAGGTGTGTCACATTCTATCATGAAATTGTCAGGGAAACCTGACATATTCAAAGCATGGTACAATTTACGTGCCACATGGTTGCATGCTGAGTGACAGCGGCGGAAAAAACAGTGGCGAAAAAGGTGCGTTATCCGAGGAAACTTGACCCAGAGTGACAAGTTTTTCATTGGCCTAATGCATTGTAATAACATTAGGCCTATTGAATTTGACAAAAATGAATAACAATAATCAGCCGTAATTAATACGGCATCAAATACATCTGGAAAGACTTTAGGCGGCCAAAAGTTCAATAGCTTGACAATTTTTGAGATGACGTTAAAAGTTCAATTGTTCAAGAAAAAACTGTATTTTATTGACAGTGGCATATTTTTGAAAAAGCCGATAAAAATCATAAAATTTCGAATTTTGTTAAAATATTTATTTTCCATGTTGGAAATTGTCTCCAGAATCAAATACAAAAATTTCATTAAGAATGGTTGTTCTATTGGAAATATAGAGTAAAAACACAACTGCATCATTCAACCTGTCCGGGGTACTAGTAATTAATTATTGGACATACATTTTAATTATATTTTATATTAAAACAAATGTACGTAAAATGAACAACTACATGTAACATAAAATACCTAGCAATATGGATGTATACAGCAGTGGCGGATCCAGAAATTAACTTTTGAGTCTGGAAATAAAAATTTGCGCGGAAAAGAAATTTGGGCCCCTAAACCGAAAATTTGGGCACAAAGGTCCCTGTGCAGTATGGCAAGTGATTTTAGACGGTCATATCTTTCACTATGGGTACTTTCGTGGGTCGATCAATACTGTGGTTTTTATTAAAACAATCTGTTTTCTTTGGCACTTTTTTAAAAATGTTAGGCTCATTTTCTAAAAAGAGGATCTTGTTTATCTCAATTTGAACATATCGAAAGTTTCTTCTACACTATCATATCTGAAAAGGGGATGTGTATTGAAATGCGTTAAAGTTAAAAACACATATCCCATAGAAAAGATCCTCTTTTGAGTAAATAGGTTCAACATTTAAAAAAAAATTGACATGGGGTCTTTAGTAATAAATTTTCGAATTGTTCGATTTATATTTTTATCATTATGGGTACTTCACTTGAAAGAAAAGATACTGTTCTAATAACAACCACTGTATTTATGCCAAGAAAGTACTCATGGTATGACTATCTAAAATCACTTGCCATACTGAACCTTTTGAAAAATTGAAGCCAAGTTTTTGATAATAAGCCAAAAGGCCCATTTTTGAAGCCCTATTATTTTGGGGCCCAAAAACTAAAAGGGGGCCCGGGCCCCATGCCCCCCCCCCGGATCCAACCAAAACTAATTCCCGATGCAGCCATCTTACACAACTTTGGCATGGGGGATACTTAACCAAGCATGGTGTTCGCTGTTTAGATGTTTAACTCAGTCTGCTGCACAACCCTCCAAAGACGAGTCCTTGTATCATTATTGAAAACGAGTCCTCGAGTATGTATTGAAATATGACTCGCATGAAGATAATTGGTATATTTTCAGTATTTGCATAGTCAGTTTGACATGAGTGAAAAATGAAGCTTGTACTCTATTGGTTATGGCTGAGACCATCATAAAAATGTTAGTCTCGGGTTATAGAGATGACTGTAGTATTATGTCCAGCTGTTATGTCAAAATAAGTTTTAATAAGCGACGCAAGTACATGTACAATCCAAGAGATGGAATTTTTATCTGCGAATTTTGAAACTCCGTTTTCACATATAACCATATAACACGACATAGAGTGTCCATAGTTATTTCACAAGTTCAATGGATATATTGTTGTAAAGGGCTTTGACCATCCTTCCAGATCGGACTTGACTGCTATACTTGTACGTATGTAAAGAAGTGAAATCCCCTTGGACCAAGTATGTATTGGGCTTGTGAAGCATTATTATCCACCTCCTCTAGAACATAAACAACGAGTTCAAATGAAAGACTCGCAGCCTACATAAATGACACAGAGTTTCCCCGACTCCCCCCTCCCCCTGGATTCGGGTCTGACATCCTTCAGAATATACCCAACGAATACAAATGAAAGACCATCGCAGCTATATGAATGATACAGAGTTTGACAACTTACATTTGGTATGTCGTTTTATAGCGGAGATGCCTATATCAGAGAACAATCACATTATCGTCGCATAGTTTTGTGATATCTAGGGCAGCTCACTTGAAGCACTCCAACACATCCTATTTATTTATGGTAGAAAAGTATTCGTAGGTCATGTCTTCTCGTGTGGTATTTCTATTATGACCCCCTCGTCAGATACTTCATCTATCTAGTAACCGTGACCACAACGTCCCGCTACATGACTGTAGACCAGCATGCTTAATTTGGTCACGTGGCTTATTTTGTCCAACTAAAATTCATGATTGAGAGAGGATAGAAGGGGGGACTTGGGAATTTGACAAGAGTCAGTGAAATGCTGACGCTCCGAGGCATGGTTGCAGTAAATCAAGATTTCGTTTAACCCACCATTAACTTTCAATACACTGAGACAGAATATGCTCATTGGATTGGAAAGATCACACAAACATAGATTTTAAAAAGGTTTTCCCATTTCCATTATTTTCAAAAAATCTATATCTCTAAGAAAATATTGATGGATTTTGGCCAAAAAGTTTAGCTGATATTATCTTACACAATCTTTCCAGAATATGAATAATATATCCCTGTCACCAATCTTACGATCAATATGACATGATTGGGTTTGACATGCATACAGAAAGGAAAGGAGTAATTGCAAAGAATTTGTGCTCTTGAGAATAATCTTTATTAGTCCCTGGCACCCAGGCCCTTCTTTTAGTTTTAGCTTATATCATGTAACTTACACTCCCCTCTCAACGTTTGGCAACATTAGCCCCCCTCCCATTGAACTACGTGTTAAAGCCTCTTTATGTTTGAATTTTTATTTACATAACCGGCGAGGAAAACACGTATAAAATTGATGGAAATGTAATTTGACTTCATTTCCAATGCCTCCAAATTTTCCCACTTTTTCCCTCAAAGGTCGGAAATTGATGATAAATCTGATGAAATTTTGAAAATTGACATTCCCATGTAAACCAATGGGAAATGGTAGGTTTGCCGCAAGTCATATGACAGAATATTCATCCATCTGAGTTCTTGCAAAATATACAAGTTAGGTAGTTAATTGAATTTGCTAACTTTATTTAATAAAAAATGATACGTTTCTTCAGGTTTAAAAAAGTTATAGGTCTAAAATTATCTTTCAAAAAACTCCTCCCATTGAAATAACACAGGATGCGAAAAATGATTTTCAAAAATGACTTTGAAGCTCTGCAACTTTAGTATTTATAAAGTAAACTGAACACTTAGCGTACAAAAAAGTTAGAGAATTCAATATTTTTTGGTGAATCTTTCACTGGCTAGATATCCTGAAATCAGATTTGCCCCGAACCCACCAATTTCCATTGGATTACATGGAAATGACGATTTTCAAAATTTCATTAAATTTATCATCAATTTTCGATCTATTGTAACTGAGGAAAAAAGTGGGAAGATTTGGAGGAATTGGAAATGAAGTAAAGTTCCATTTTCATCAATATTATAAGTTTTTTCTTCACATGTTATGTAAATAAAAATTCAAACGTAAAGAGGCTTTAACATGTAGTTAAATGAAGGAGCTAAGGTTGCCAAACTTATGGAGGGGAGTGTATATCATATTTTATTCCATAATAAGATATTTTCCCTGGGAAATAAACAGGAAAAAGAATTGATTTTCAAAAATTCCGTATCAGATCCCATATTCAACGATATTAATATGTGCTATCTTGATGTCAACACAACTGTTTACCATTACCATTCGCTATATTTTGAAAATATTGCTTATTATTTCTTTAAAACAGCTTTAATGGTGATTTTTTGACAAAAAATCAAATGTTGCTTCGGAAACTCGGACAACATAACAAATTATGCATCAAGTTCGTCGATAATCTCTAACTGGTCAATAACATATGTTTCCTACCTTCCTAATGGGGAATGGTGGCTTAGGGGTAACTCAAATTTTGGGATATATATTCAGTGAAACATTTGTTGAAAAAACTTTCTGAGTTGAAAATCGAATGGTTTTACATTTTACATGCTAAATGTCTAGCTTATACTGGTAAAATTAGCGATATATAGTAATTTTAACCACCTCATCACTGACCACCTATGTTATTTCAATAAGAGGATCCTTAAAAGAATTACTAAATTTGAAACCATTAACTTTTGTGAAACCTGGAAAATTAAATCATATTTTTGTCCAGTGGACAATATAGCAAATTTAATTGTCTCTTAAAATTCTAATTTTGAAAGCAATCGGATGGATGGATCGTTCCTCATATGACTTATGGCAACCCAACCATTCCCCATTTGTTTAACATGGGATCTGCCATTTTTGTTACATTTCATGAAATTGATCAATTTTGACATCAAATTTTGACCCAATGTAATGGAGATATAACATTGAAATGTTGCGGACTTTATAGGGAATATAATCAAGATACAGATTTATTTTCTTTATTGGGATTTCTTTTGTTCCACGCTTAGAAAATAGTCGTTCAAACAAATATGGGGGTTAACATGTAAACCTATGAGGAAAACCACTGGTCCTTAACCATATTTACAATATACACCACATTCCTGTTCTGAATTTGTCATTTTATGGCTTGCTCATACATACATGTAGTTAATAGTTTGAGTGGCTCAAAGGCATACTGAGAAAAAACGAGAATGGACTAAAAAGTATGAACTTTGATATCTCAGTCGGTAAGTTTACAGGTTAGTAGTTGAAAAGGAAATCTTATCTGTGAATCTTGCCTACAGGCGAGAAAGAGGACATGCTGTCTTTCCCATCCGCCATTTTTTGTTCGTTACCGCAAAATTTTGCAAATCGCCTTCACGTAACCGTCATGCTATAACACCGTGCTGATGAAATCTTAAAGTTTGGAGGATACAAAATATTGGACAGCAAAACCCAAATCCACCATAAAAATAACAATATTTTGTCAGATGTTTTCATTGTCAGTCATTTAAGAGGGGCACTTTCTAGCGAAATCTTAAACAAGTGATGCATCAGAAATGTTAATTTAACCAGTGTGTTGGAGGATACAAAATATTAGACAAATGGTATATGTATTGAAAAAGTATTTCATTGCATGGGCAACAGACATCTAACATCGCCCTTTTACCCTACTATCACACCAAACTACTTCTCACTACGTTCTCGAAAACGGGCTTAAACTGTGCACGAACGGATTTGACGTACTGAGAACCCACTAAGAACCGTTTGGGATCTGTTTACAAACTTCATGAAACTACTCGAACGAGTAGGTCCTCCAGAACTTAGAGCATGCTCAAAATTTCCAGGTGATCGTCACGTTCTGCAATCAGAACGAGTGACAACGTACTTAAGACGACCTGGACGCATTGGGATGGGGACACACTACGAACGGAAGTGTCGTACTTCAATCCTACTAGGGACATATTACGACGTTGTGTAGTCAGGCGTAAATTGCAGCCGTGAGTACCCCAATCTAGTCCGTTTGTAGCTCGTTCATTCTGTTCGTAGACAGACCCAACTCGACCGAATAACTTCCTTCCCTTTTATAAAGGATCACAGTAGGTTCTCATAATTTGGTAATGCAGTAGCACATTAGGACGTATTGAGAACGAGGTACAACTAATTGTCAACTGGTTTAAACTGATTAAGGACGTAATTGAACTGCTCGGATACGTTGTGTAGACGAGACGAACGCACAATTTAACCCGATCTAAACACTATATAAAATAGAGAATATTGCTTTGTTATAAGAAGTGTCTATTTGTAAGAATCTCTTGTAATCAGCAGTAATCAGCAAAAATACTCAGCACATATAAACAGAGACAATACAGAGACAATACTCGCTGCATATATGGAACACTCTGTATATTCAGGTATTGCTCCCCTTTATTTGTAGAACAGCACAAATAAGCACTGATTATATGTGAAGTTAAGAATACTCAAATATATGCAAACGCAATACTCTGTAACTGTGCAATATATTCACACATTATAATTGCTTCTTTCTGACTATATTAAGCTATTTCTAAGTTACACTGCTCATTTTATAACTGAGCATACAAATATAAAACAGACTACTTGTGCGTATTTTTCTTTTAAGCATGATAAAACAATACAACTAAAGAATGTAAGTACCGTCCGTTGTTCTTAATGAATATGACTTTACCTGTGTATAATAAGCAACTAGATGGATTTTGAAATGATCTATTTTTACTATAATTATGATTTTGGACAACTTTACAGTCGCGCCAGAAAAGAGAGATCTTCCTTGTAGTTGCTAATAAAAATAGCTTGTGCAAACACGTGTTTTGTATGGATATTGCTCCCCCCCCCCGACGGAAAGCTTGCTTCACCGCTGAACTTGTTATCTCTTCTCAATGCAACCTAATTCTTCCTGAGAAGGTATTATAATCTAACAACCTGTTTACACCGTTTGTATTAAATCTTGGATTATGCATGGGAATTCAATTTTTTACTTTTTCAAATCGCCGCTTTGATTGTTTCCAATTCCTCATGATCAAAGCAAATGGGAGTCTAGACTTTTTTGGTCATGTTTTCGATTTCAATTATAATCCACATATCAATTCAGAATCATAAATATAAATCACTGGAGCAACGTCCAACAGCTTTTAATCCGCTTAATAAGTTATCGAAACACATTCTTGCCTTTGAATTAAAGCCCATGTTAAATTTCTCCCGGTAAAGTCGGTATTAAAAAAAAATATGACAGGTAATGGAATCGAAAGAAAATTGTATAGTGTTTATGTTTCAATCAGTGTTGATTTCATTGTCTTATATAACTCATTTACATGAGTTTTCTATATTCGATGCTTGGTCATAGTTTGCCCGGATAGTTTGTTTATAATAAATTGATTTAAGTTTAAATAGAAAATAAAGATAGTATTCTAATTTGAATTTTACAAACTGGGTATCAAAAAGCCGGCTTTTTAACTTCAGTTTGAAACTGGCTTTTTGTAATCCTGCTTTTTCAGAACTATAGATTGTAAATGCGGTTGCCTTCATGTACTTTTCTATGTTTCGGTGCAGTTTTGTGAATCAAAATATCATTTTTTGATAATTTGATAATATGAGAATGAAGAGACAAAACCCGGGAATCAACAGTTATACAGGCTACATTCCGTCTCATTATCTATGTCATGATCATTATAACATAATTCCCATACCTGTTTACGGCTGGGTGTAGGTTTGCATGGGCGTAGCCAAGGCGGGAGGGGGGTGACATGTGCGCTTGCATTCCCCACCCTCTCAAAAAGAAAAAGCAATTTTGCAAAATATGAAAAAAACATTGACATTGACATTCAAAAATTCCGGGGGTAAACGCCGTTCCGGGCCTCGCTTCGTTCGCATTGATGCAAACCCAAGAAATCTCACCCCCTGAACAATTGCTGACTCTGCCTCTGGTTCAAATAGTAATTATAAGGTTAGCCATTTTGTGAAATTAAATGAGATAACCTTGACACTAAAATCTATATTCTACATGATCTTTGCATGAAATATCAATTGCGTCTTAAAATGACCTTTTTGAAAGTACATAAGCCCCCCTCCCCCCCCTAGGCAAAAGCTGGCAACGAGCCTGTAATATGATGAATTGCCTCAGTCTCTTCTCAATCGTGTAATAAGATATTAGGTGACATACATTATTTAGGTGACTTTACTGAGTTAAACTTGCAAACAATATATTCCACAATACATGTTTTCTGTAATGCATTTTATCAGAGATAGCCTCGTTTCTATTTCTTGCTTTGTTTCTCATTTCCAAATATATTCACAAAATTTGAAAGATTCGGTATACTCAATTGATTATTTGATAATAAAGATAAAGAAACGGGCACATTTATTGCAACTGTTTCATTTGACAGATCAATTAATAAGTTTTGTGCATGGTAGAGCAAACTTACAAAAAATACCTTTTGACATGCCAGAGCAATATACAAAACTTTAATCCCTTATTATTCAATTCTTGCAAATGAGTTAAGTTCTCACAAATATTAATCCGTTTGTTATAGTTATTTTATGGATTAATTTCTACAGCCGGTGGTTCTAATTTCCGCATAAAAATTATTTTGCAAGGTAAGTTTACATGTATGTAATGATTGTATAGTCCCGTGCTACATTGTATAATTAAATTTCTGTTAAATTGAGAAATTAACTGATTATCGCTGAAGGAATACAAAAGGTAGTTCAACATTTTTAAGAATATAACAAGGCGGGCATGGATACCACGGGGGGGGGACTTAGCTAGATTATTATCAGATGTTTGTATTGTTCACTTCTAAGGATGTTATTTTAGCAAGTAATGCAATCAGACGGCTTGGGTTCAATGGTGTTACTTATAATTAGTGCTGGGATGATTTTTAAATCCATAGGAAAGTAATTTCTGAGATCAAGGCATTTGTTGAAATAAAATATTGAGATTTTTAATACCAATAACCCTTTCAATAATTACATCTAGCTTATTTGATGTGAGTTTTGTCTACTGCTTCTTCTGGCATCTGGGTTCCTTGTAAATTATGATGTAAAGTAAATAAGGTTTTTGACTTGTAATACGTAATGTACGTGTACTTATTCAAAATCTTTATCCCCGATTAAAGCTTTAATGATCGCAAAATAATAAACAAATGTATCAAAATATTGAAAACTCAATATTACATATCAAATCACAGCTATTATTATGTGAATGTGTGAGTAAAATACAATCACTACACGTATATCTGCAAATACATGTATGCAATATATGCGAGATCGCATTTAAACTTGATTGATTTAAATTGATTGAATGTCTGAAAAAGAGCTTTAATGATGTTTTGCTTAAATCATGGTAAATGGCTTTCGAAACATTTGATTGCAACACATATTTCAGTTTGGAACAAAATACTCAACCGGGCCGATGAATCGCAGCAAATGTGACCCAGGCATTAGCGAGGAAAATACATTTGACCCAATAATCCCTTGCTGAATCCGATATAGATAAGATATATATCAAGGCCTACACAAATATCAAATAAGGGTTCCAACAAACACTTTATCAGTAATCTTAACAACTAAATAAGCCATTTATCTGATTAAATTATGTCTATCAATTTCTTGATTGCAGATTATTAAAGAGATATTATGTCGGGAGGGGGTCCAAGATTAATACAATTCTTAAATCACCAGAATGTCATTCAGATTTAATCCTATGAATAAGCTTATTATTTGAAATTAAAACTGAATACATAAAAAAAGTGAATTATTAGTTTGTATTTTGAATCCCAAGAATGAAAAGGTAATTCTATACAAATCACGAATGCTTCTCCAAACATCCGGCCACAATTGTGCAATTGTGTCAGGTAATTAGCACTGTTTATGTTTTGATTACTTATTAGAGATGTCAAATCATGGGTTCATCAATACAGCATTATGATTGTTCAATATAGCAGCAAAATGTTGCAGAATTAAGACGTTCATGTTTTTACAATATCTATTGTTATTGAATGACTGAAGATGAGGGGAGGGTGGATATTGAGCAAGCTGAATGTCTCCGAGCTATGATGCACAAGTAATGATCGTACGTGACACGCACAAAGGTGGTTGACATTTTACTTTGCCATGCTTGCTCTACGAGTAGTCAATAAATATAAAGCCATACGGTGAGAATGTCTACACATTGGCGCAATTTAGCCAGACAGTCGTTTGCTCCACGCCAGACCCTGGAACACGATGAAGCCTCTCGTAAGTGAAAGTTTAGCTTGCTTTTTATTTCTCTTAATGGATAGATGATTGAGCTTAGATATAAGTAGGTTCGATGAATAAAAAACACAATAAAGACACTTGGCAAATTGTTGTAAATATAAGACTTGGCATGGATCTTGATAATTTAATTAATTGATTGTCTTGGAAGTTCCATTATGGCTGAACAGTATGCTATAAACTGGTGTCTTTGTATCATTGATTAAAATACACAGTAGTGTCTATGTATTTTCAGAGCAGTGTATTTGTGTGCAGTGACAGATTTCTCGCAAAAAAGAAATCATGTGATAGCTGAATTTTCATATATATTGGGAAACTTGTAGAAGAAAGGAGTTTGAATGGGGAAAGCAGAATTCGGTATCGTACGAGAATGTACTTCCGGAAGACAGACCATATCTAGCTACAAAAAACTCTGTTTTCTAGATCGAGCAATATGCATACATTGATTTGGAGCATAATTAGTTCGCACCATTTTAAAGATAGAAATATAATGTTACATCATGTACAATGCAATGTAAATATATTTGTTTAGCAGTATACAGGTTTGGCCAAAACATAATAATCCTATCTATATCCATCAAAATGTTTCATCATATTTTTTTAGTATTGAACATATCATTGTTTTTGAAAATTATTTTAAATACACATCTAAAGAAATTTGAAATAAATTATAAAAAACGTAAAAGCTGTTTATGTGCAATTTTTTCTAACTTGTGTTAACGTGTATATTAAGTTTTACCTCCCGTTTATGCCTGGGTCGATGCCCAATTCACAAAACATCGTCTACCAGTCCTCCCAAATAAGCAAAAATTGCATATCTTGTGCTGCATATGATCATAAAGCAATGTCAAATATGCCGATCTTGACTCCATATATGCTAATGTAGTTAGTTTATATTCTTGTGCATGTCTCAATATAATCACATGCTGCATATTACTTATCTCAAAATATGCAGGAATACTCATGAAAAATGGCGTATATGCAGATCATATGCAAATATAACCAGTGTTAATTTCTATATATATCTAGTATACTCAACTGCTTATATTTGTCTATCCCAAATAAGCAGGTATATGCAGTTTCTGCGCTGCATATAATCACCAGTAAACAGCAAATATGCAAAGTATGTCTGAATATAAGCAAATATACTCAGTGACAGTACCCGTATATTCAGTCAGTATTCTCTGTGGATGTTTGTTATATGCAGCTGCATATATTTGTGTTCCATATATGCAGTTATTGTCTGCGTTCTGTCAGTGATGATTACTGTTTATAACATGCAATTCGAAGCAAATAAACACCAGAATTGCTTGTTATTTGCAAGCAATATTCGTTTTTTTATACAGTGAAACTTGATACCAACGTACTGCAGACGATATAAAGGCGAGATGAACGTATTAAAAACTGCTTATGAACGAATTAACAAAAATAGCCAGAACCAGTTGTCACTGCGTTCTTCAAAACGTTACTGAATCGGTTTTAAACTGCGTGCGAACTAAATGAACGTAGCTACAACGTTCTACGGTCTGTTTACGAACTTCATGGACTTTCCCGGACGGGGAATGTGATTTAGAATTTTGAATCGATTCAAAATTCGATGGCAACCATACCGTTCTGTAATCAGGTCATGATGACCTTCTAGACTAAGGGACGCGTTATACGACGTTGCACACCGACGTGGTGCGACCTGAACGAACTGCGAATGAGATGGACGTATTGAAGACTGTTTATGAACGAAGTAGCTAATTATTTTAGACATATTTCCCGACCACAGCTAGATTGAGCCCGTTTTACGACGTTTTCGTTGGACTGGCAAGAACGGGTAAGAACTAGTTTGCTATGATAGGGGGGTTAAGAGTTGATGTCAAACATATTTTTATGTAGTTTAAAAAATATCAACGCAATCGATATCGATGCTCTGTATGTGCTGTAATCCGGGTTTGTATCACCACAAACAAAACAAAACTTTGTTTTTTGACAAAAATCATCATCTAAGCTCAGCTGTTTTTGAGAAATAATTAGCAATATTTCAGTACACATCGCATGATTATGATAACCAGTTGTGATGAAATCAAAATAGCACACATTAAATGTCGTTGCTATCAACACACACGACGCAGACTTTAGCATCTAACAACTGATTTTAAAAATATCAATTATGTAAATTTGCTCTTATAGCCATCTTATTCAACCATTCCATATCTCATTAGTTTCACCATGTTAAAGCATTGACCTCTATCCAAGCCCATGTTAAATGAGAATGAATAAGATTGTATAATTACAACATTTATGATAGTAAATGCTATCATTGAGGCGCCTAGTGTGTATCTAATGTACAAGCCGTTGAAATAATTGATCGAGATAACACATGCTTTGCAAAAGTTCAACAGGTTTTAAATTCTAAAAATCATTAAAAAATCAATATAAACCTAAACAATACTACTGTTGCGTTCTAGAATCAGTGCCTCAGCAACGAACAATTCGTTTACTGGATTTATGAATCAATAGCATTTTCTGTGCTCTTGTTTGAATTTCGGATCTAGCTTCAATATCATAAAAGGTACACGTTTTTCTGTTTCTAGTTTTTTCTAAAATATTAAAAAATTAATCAAGGTGAGTGGAATCTAATAGTTTCTAAACCTGCTACCATATGTAACGTCACTCTGTGTTCGTGGTACTCTGATATTCGATTTACCTTTAGGCAACGATATTTTCGGATGGTAAGTATTAAAATTACAATTAAAGCCAGTAACACTAAAACATTTTGTGTTTCTTCTCAAAATGTGTTTCTATTCGAAATATATATCCATAGATTAAATGATATTTTCCGGTGTAAAAGTGAATACCGTCCTCGAAGTTTACCATGAGCGCACAGAGTTAAGTTTAAACTTCTAAATATCTAAGAAGCTGTAAGTAATTCAAACGAATGCAAGGACTAATAGCAATTTTCCCTTTATTCCCATACATTTGCACGGTGGCTGATTCGGCGCATTGTGTATACGAGTTATGGCCAGGAAGATAGAAACCTGTATAGGCCATGCACAAACTCGGTCGGGATTTCAATCTACAATGGAACAGTAGTTTGGTCGTCCCCGGATTTTGTGTTCCCTCTTTAATTGCTATTTGACATCACAACAAACATCGGAAAATAATTTAGCAGTTGGCCGAAATAAAATCTCCGCCCACTCTGTGTTCCAATGAACGGTCAATTCCTACCATCTGTTTCATTGCCTGTGGTTTTCACCTCACTAGCTAGCACTAACACCAACACTGGCCTTTTTATTTATGCATTAAAGGACCATAGAAATACATGTATAGAAGAAAAAATACAAATAGTGAACTCTACGTTTATGTTTTAGATACAGATGGACAGATGGAAGGGACGAATTGCCCTAGTTACTGGTGGGTCTATGGGTATAGGTGCTGCAACAGTGACTGCCTTGGCAACAAGAGGAATGAAAGTAGTAACATGCGCACGCAGCTTCGACAAATTGAAAGTAAGTGTCCATCAGTGAGGGTGTTTCCATTATGTATCTGGTTTAACTTGAAATGAATTAATCTAAGTCTGAACAACCCATTTAATGGCTTCAAATACCCATGATACTTGAATGTATTATTTCATTCTCAGTTGTTGGCCTATGATCTAAATGGAAAGGGGTTCGAAGTGCATCCAATCCAATGTGATCTCAGACAGGAGGACGAGATTTCCGCTATGTTCAAGGAAATTAAAGAAAAATATGGTGGAGTCGACGTACTTGTTAACAGTGCAGGACTCGCTCTGAATGCTAACATCATCGATGGAGATAAAGACAAGTGGAAGAATATGTTTGAGGTAAGTAAGCCAAAAAGAAGCACTCCCTCCATCTACTAAATTCTCATAAAGCTACATCATCCTCTGACAGATACAGCTGATTCTACCGTCTCACCGCTGGTAGAATCTTTAAAATCTCAAATGAAGCTGGTAAAGCCTTTACAAGAAATGAAAGTTTAACAAAGAGGCAGAAACATGACATGAATTTGTGGCTAGATAGATTAAAATCATGTTTTATGCAAAATTAGTCTATCGACGAAACCAAGCTCTTGTGAACTTATGCCTGCAGTGACGTGGGAATTTAAAAAACGTAAAAAAACTGGTATAGGGATTTGGAAAGATGTTGCAGCTATTTTATATTATTTAAATCCCAGTCAGACGTACGTACATGTAGGGACCCGGGACAGATCACAAGCCTATGAGTCACTCACTGTGCCAGCTGTACCTAATGTCTATTGATGTTTTTAATCAATACAATTGCCAATCATTTTTTGATTCCCTTGCTTATTCAATAATAATATGTCTGATTTGAATTTCGAAATTTTAGAACCTATACAACTTTAAAGCCATGTTATTCTAATATTCGTATTCGTCTGAATTAATACTTGCAAAGTTACGACGCTTCACCAATAAACACTCTCTTTAATTTTCACAGAGTAGAGAGTGATAACACGTTTTTTAAGTTTTAGGCCAAGTGATGTATGTCACGCAGAAAGAAGCAAAGTCAAAGCGACTGTCAAGTCCCAATTTCTCTCGACTCGTTTTTAGCAGTCGAGATTTTCTCATCTTGATCTTTCTAGAAATTCCGATTTTCTCTCGATTTTTCATAAAACGAAACCAGAATTTATCCAAGTTTTTTCCTCGATTTTTAGGAAAGATTCAGATTTTCTTCTGCATTTTTCAAAACCCCAATTGTATATGCATATAATATGCACACCGATTTATTGTTTTCTATGATGGTAATATTATGTTGACAATTCTTCATGAATCTCAACTATATAGTATAGGCCCATTATAAGAATTATTACCGTTGCAAATATCAATCACTTCCCACAACCACTGGTACTCATCTAGTTAAGCTGACGATACTTCAGTATTACTATACACTTTTTGATTTCATTAGGTGAACGTCTATGGACTGATGTCTATCACACAAGGAGCTGTGAAGAGCATGAGAGAACGCAATGTAGACGATGGACAGATAATCAATATGAACAGGTTCGTTAAGAATTCAAAAGGCCTAAATAACATATGATTAGTTTTCGAAATACACAAAAATGTATTTTCTAAATGCCATTTCGCAACTTCATCAGCATCAATACGGCGGTTTCATAATTTTAATCATGGCTAGTTTGATTTTAGTTTATCTGGTCACAGAGTTGGTAAAATGCACGTTTACTCTGCAACGAAGTATGCCGTTGATGCCATCACCGAGAGCATACGTTGGGAGCTCCGAGATATTAACTCGCATATAAGAGTGATGGTAATTTAGGATTATTCATTCAATCGTGGTCAATTCCTCAGTTATAGATTTGTTGCATTATAACATAGCTAATACTAACCAAAGATTTCAAAAAGGCCTTTAAGTTAAGCTTTAATGTGCTGTTTAAAAACTCCTATTCTTACTATTGAAAATGGATTCTAGCACTAGTATCCCACATGAATGTACCTGTTGAGATTCAATCAACTTGAGTTTTTCTGAGAAAAAAATCAAGAGTCAATGGCATATATCCCCATGTTTAGTCAATGGACCCTTGCTGAAACCCATATTTCTCAGAAGAACTCAAGTTGATCGAATCTCAACAAGTAGATTCATGTGGGAGAGTATTGGTAGAATCCATTTTCAATAGTTAGAATAAAGGTTCTTAAACAGGACATAGGGCTTGCTTTTTAGAACTTTGTGTTGGCTCTAAGCCTACTCGATGGAGTTCATATGTAATAAGTAAGTCCGATCAACTAAGACAATGTATATTTATTGACTGTACTTTTATTGACTGAGATACAATGTTTTCAATATCATATTGTGGCGCACAACTGTCCGCGGCATATATCCATGAAATTATTTTTTGGGAGGTCCTGAACGGGCTTGAAATGCAGATCTTAACCGTTTTTGAAGTTCCGTTTACGTAACAAAAGTGTGGTAATAGGGAGCTTAAGCTTGCAATGTTTTTCACAACCTAAACGTGAACAGGAAATATTTAAGCGATGCGTTTGTATGGGCGATTGGTCAAACGTATAGGTTGGCGTTTCGATTTTATATGCAAGCTTAAACTCCCTATTAAATCGACGATTCTGTTTGTTCGCAAACATGTACATTTTTAGACATATGATACTGAAACACGCATTTATTAAAAATGTCGTGGGAATTCTGCCTACAACGCGTGAAATATCAGAAATAAGGAAAGATAAACAGAAATAAGCCAAGAAAATCGTACCTTCGATATTTTGTAACAGTGTAATCGAGTGGAGTACCAGAGGGATGGCTTTATTTACTTTAAAATATTTTTAATATAGAACAAAAAAGTTTTGATTGTGCACCTGTATAACCACTTTATACGAATATGGCGCAAATTATGAAAATTGGTCAATGGAGCAACTTCTGACTAAAATATGCGTATTTTCTACACGATTGCGTTTTCGCTGGCCAAGATGCACTAAAGCATTTTTCACAGCATATAGTCAGCCAATGTCCAAAGTTCTTAAATCGTATTATAGCCGAGGGTATTGTCTAGGATGTTTATTTGTGCACAATTATTATATAATCCTAGACTAGGTTTTGTCTCCCCTCCCCCACGATTTTTTATATTTCGTTCCTTTAAATCTTAGATTTAGAAAAGGTATTTACCCACGTTTTTTGTCCTAAATGACAGATCCTAAATACATCTATCATATCTATTAACCGTTTCTGGCTAAAAATATTATATGACTATTGATGTTTTATAATTGAAAAAGTAAAAATACACCAAAAATCTCCCCCTAAGTTACTTTTACCTAATGGATCTTCAATGAGCAACTATAGATGTCATTAGCTACATGTACTACATCTCAATTTTCAGCAAATCAGTCCAGGTATGGTGAAATCTCACTTCCACGCTACTATGCTTGGGTCAGAAAAAAAGGCAGAGAAGAAATATGCAAACTCTCAGGTATTTTGGCCGTTTGGACATATTGTTCAAAAACAATTATTTGGGTTCAGTGTACATTCAAATAATAGACAAAATGTTATATAAATAGCGATAAAACAATATAATACAAATGATGCAAACCTAATGGTTGGTATGTGTCCATCGTCACACCAATATAACTATTCTTTTTTGTAAAATTACAAAGGCAAAATCTCATTTGTAAAATTACAAAGGCAAATATCATTTGAATTACAAAGGCAAAATCTAATTTGTAAAATTACAAAGGTAAAATCTGATTTGTAAAATTACAAAGGCAAAATCTCATTTGTAAAATTACGAAGGCAAAATCTCATTTGTAAAATTACGAAGGAAAATCCCATTTGTAAAAATATTTTTCAGCACCTGGAAAGTGATGATATTGCTGACATCATTGTCTACTCCCTCTCCACTCCTCCACACGTTCAGGTAAATCACAATTAATTGGTCATCGGTAATCCTGGAGAGATAAGGTAGGCATTTCTTGCTCTCTGATTAAGATAAGTTAGCTTCACCCTAAAACAACATGTAGAGTGTGTTGGTATTGTGTATGGCCTAAGGGGGAAACAATTAAGAGAATTTATGGATCGCGATAAAGACGTTCAAAATTCAGAATATCAAGGATGCAGAAATGACCATATGGCAAAATTCTAGATAACCGATCCTTGAAAAACAAAAGGGTATTCAGATTAAGGGATACAATCATCTCTTTTTCTCAACCAGTATACAGGGTGTGTCAAAAAACGCAACAAATAGTTATCTAGTAAAATCACAAAACTAGTGATGACTACATCAATTTCATTCAATGTACCATAAAGCCACGTCTCTCCTCTTTGCAATGATATGTCATTCATTCACATGCACCAAGTTTTAGAAATTGAAAAAATCATTGCAAGGGCTAAGTGCCAATGGAAGTTCCTCTTACTTGAATTGTTGTGACTTTTTCTTTTGGAGCTATCTCAGGAGCATCTGTGCTCACAACTTCTCCACCAGATATTGCAAAACCTCGAGAAAGAATTGCCCATGGGCTGCTTTTCTCTGCTTTAACCCACAAATGACTCAGGGCTAAACCACGCATGACGTGGACAGATCAGCGCATCTTTATGTGCAAGGAAGTGGTGGCAATTTGGAGGGGTATAGGATGTATTCTTGCAAGAGTATGAGTATGAACACGTTACTGTCTATGCCACACCTGTCACACCTTCTTCAACTAGCCCCATGCCCCTTGTTCTGACTGTTTAAAACTTGGGTCCGAGCTGAATTTTGCCCAACTTTGCAAAATAAATGATTATTCAGCCAGAGATGACTCCAAGTGAATGATACTCCATTGCAAAGAGGAGTAATTTGGCTTTTTGGTACATTGATGAAAAGGATGCAGTCAGCATTGGTTTTATGTTTTCTTCCCATATTGCATTGGCCTCCGTACACTGACTTTTGCGATGTTTATAACTTGGCCAAAAGCTAATTTCGGCCCACTTTGCAAATGGAATGATTACTCGCCCAACCATGACCAAATAGCATTAGGTCTAGCATATATAACATTTGGACGAAATCTGCCAGCCGGTTTTTGTGTTATCGGAAAAGATCGTTTACACTGTATATATAACTTTCCCGAGAAATGATCACATAGAAAATGTCTCCATGAGCTCATTTTGCTCATAGAACATTAATCTACTTCTGAACCAAATACTATAACTGGTAATTCAGTTATTAAAAATTAAGTCATGAAAAATTGCAGCCATTTTGAATTGATAAATGAGGAAAGTTGTTAGTAATCTTGAAAATTACCTCTTGCACATCTATTTCGAAGTCTTTAAAGCATCAGCATATAAAATTTGAACCAAATCTGTCAACTGGTATTTGAGTTATTTTCAAATCAAATATTGAACAAATATTTCACTCTATTGAGGTGAATACCTGTACATCTTTCACAAGTGATATTCCACGAAGCCCGAGGGCAAGTGGAATATCACCTTGTGAAAGTGCTACAGGTATTCACCGAAAATAGAGTGAAATATTTGTTTTATTATATCACTGTCTAGCTAAACATCCCTAATATTATTAAGTCATTAAGTCTTCAGATATTTTTACGAATCTACTCGGTTCGTCTGCCATTTTGACTTAAACTGAACTAAATTATTTACACTGAACGAAAACAAATTCTTTGAAAATTCCCGGGAGCGTGGGATATCGCTAGATATCTCACGGTTGTCTTATCTGATTAGCATTGCCACTGAATATCGCCAGATATCCCACGACATGTGACCCGGTTTTGACTAATCATACTGTCGCTAGCTAGATAGTGATATAATAATATCAAATATCATATTTTTATGAAAAATAGCGGCCATTTTTAAATTCAGCCAAATATTTGTCTGTATGTTTTACGATATTGAACAAATATTTCACTCTATTTTCGGTGAATACCTGTACATCTTTCACAAGTGATATTCCACGAAGCCCGAAGGGCAAGTGGAATATCACCTTGTGAAAGTGCTACAGGTATTCACCGAAAATAGAGTGAAATATTTGTTTTATTATATCACTGTCTAGCTAAACATCCCTAATATTATTAAGTCATAGGTTAACATTGAAATACATACGAATCTACTCGGTTCGTCTGCCATTTTGACTTACACTGAACTAAATTATTTACACTGGACGAAAACAAATTCTTTGAAAATTCCCGGGAGCGTGGGATATCGCTAGATATCTCACGGTTGTCTTATCTGATTAGCATTGCCATTGAATATCGCCAGATATCCCACGACATGTGACCCGGTTTTGACCAATCATACTGTCGCTAGCTAGATAGCGATATAATAATGTGATTTATTACATCTTCGAAAATGTGAACATTTGGATTCTGACAACGCCGGACACAAGTAAAATGCCCTTGTTCCATATTGTAAAGACGTGTGATCACACTGAAATAAGACACATCACTAAATAACTTTGAGCTTATATAATGTTCCTTAATGGTCCTCAAAAATACAGGAAATTTAGTATACTTTACATCGATAACACAACACAATTATATGAGCTCCGATGCTTATCCGCCCTCACCCCTTCGCCCCATTAATAGGAGGTATCGGGTGGCCTGGACTTCGGAGGCGACTATCTATCTCATCACTCGGTCCCCACGGGGCTCTCTCTCTTATCCCAAAAATTAATGATTATGTAAGGTTGCATAATCATGATTTTGCGCTGTCATTGCGTAACATTATCTCATGATTACGTAATCTTTTCTTTTGTATACAATTACGCAAGCTCTGATCGATAGATAGCCGTCTCTCCATGCCAAAAAGAATTGTAAATATGCTATATTTTATATAATAAAATCTATAAAAACGTACACATGTTCTTTGGATATAAATGTTACGTTATCACTATCACTTTGCTACGTCGAAGTAAAATAATTTGACAGAATGACTGATTTATTCCAACAAATCTTCCAAATATACCATCTGACCAATGTTCTATATAAATAAAAGTCCAAGTCGCATATATTTTCAAAATGGAGGTGTAAATGAATATAACTTACCCTAAATTATACTTTAAAGTTGCTCATAGGAAATACATGGCGTCTGCTGAAAATATTACAATATGCAAAGTTACTCACTCACCGATCAACGTGTATGCTTAATTCATAGCCAGTTTATTTAATCATCGGTATACTGATTAAAGTCACATTACTTGTGCTAGAAAAAATACACCAAATGAATTATATAAAGGATTTAATAAAACCCCATAGAGATACAAGTGCCGTGAGTTTTGTGCTACTAGGCATGATGTTTGAGATACGTTGAACGCCAGTGAGAAGGGTTAAAAGCTATTTTTGATATTTCAAGTTGATCATTGAACAATTTATCTGATTGAATAACATTACATTTTTATTACCTATAGATGCCATATATCATACCTCTTGACAAAACAAGGCTAACTGCCAAGTTAGCTAAAAAGGTTATGTTTTAATCTACCAAAGGAGTCGTTGCAAGTTTTTAAAAGTGAGTATAATCAATTGATATTTTGTAAAAAGCATTAAATGCAGCTTTTGAAAAACGAAACAAAACAACCCATCTTTTTGGTTTGTGTAATTGATTTAAATAAGAATATTCATTTAATAAACAGTTTCTGATTTATTAGTGAGGGGGTCTGAAGATTTTACAAAGCATACACGTGAGATTAACATGACTTACTGTACTTATCATGTAAATTCCTCTTATCAGACACCAAATGAAAATAATTTAATAAAGATTTGTTCATTCGTTTTGCAGTGTCCATCTTGAAGTTGATTTATTTTGACTGTAAAGGTGAGTGGCTTAAATGCAAGGACATTCCAAATCATTCAATGCATAAAAAGCAACTCTAATCATTTCATTTTTTCACATTTTCTATTTTTAAAGTTCTATTTTGGATAGGATAAAAATATTAAACTAAAGATGTAGAGCAAATGAGAAATATTAAACTGTTCCATTTAATTATTATACTTTAAGCTCGAGCTCATGCAATAAGATATCTTCTAGCAGACAATGGTATTCCTCATGAAGACATCATTATTCCATTTCTCTCTGAAGCTGGTGTCGCCGATGTAGAAGCAAATGGCATAACATTGGATAGAATATTTAGTGATGCATATGATATGAATGTAAACCTAAGTGAGGAATGGAACACACTTAAACCTGATATGGTAGGTACAGTACCTCACAGTTTCACTATCTCAAATCATTATTTTGTATTGAATTGAATGTTATTAATTCTCATCTCATTTGTACATTCTCATTGCGGTCACTTGAACATTCTCTAATCAATTCGGCGTTGTTTGTAGCAAAGGATGCATACTTTGCATATTCGTATAGCAAGTGTCAATGAGAACTTTTTGTTGATAAAGTTATGAAGGCATTTGTGTTATAAACGGTCACAGGCGTCAAAGTTTACAAAAAGGTGTTCTATTCCAGCCATTCAATGTTTTGCCAGTGCTTAAAACCCCAGAGGGCAAATTAATATCACAGGCCAATGCCATCCTGCGCTTTCTTGCCAGGAAGTATGACCTATATGGGACAACTGATGATGACGTCACCCAGATAGATATTCTAACTGAGCACGAGAGCGAAGGGAGGGAGCAGATATATGTGAAGGCTTATGGCGACTATGTACGTAAGCATTTAGAATGTCGAGTACTCTTTGACCAAAAAGTTATCAGAATCAAATGTGTCATCACAACCACTCGATCGATGTCCTGCATCAATTCAAAAGAGCCTGGCAACATTTATACAGTTTATAATTCAAAGTAACAAATATTGTTCAACTTCCACAATATCGCCATATCAAAATGAAAATATCCCAAGGACAATTACACTTTTAAAAGTATAATCCTATGTACCATATTTTGTAACCGATTATAAAATTATGATATTGAAAATTATAATTATAGATTATTCTTGAAAATACAGGAATTGGGCATCCATTGAAGAAAGGGACTTTCATATAACTTTTATAAAACTGTTAATGTACTTTTAGGGTACTTATAAAATAACTATATAGCATGGGCTTTCAATTAAATACATCTAAGATTTCACACTTGCAGCTTGGATACTTTTGCAGGTACAGATGTCTTTAAAGTGATATATTCATTAAACTTTAAAATCGTTGTTGTTGTTTTAATTAGGCCATCCAAAGAGAAAAGTTGGTGAAGTTGATCCTCCCAGATAATCTTAGGCCTCTGGAGGTAAGTTCAGACGACTTAAAACTCTCAAGGTACTTTCCAACATTCGCAAAACAGTAAGCCTTGTGTTCAGGCCTTGGAATAAACAGTAAAATCCGAACACTTTTTATCATCTCAATGTGTACACCTTTTGCAGCATTTCTTCTCACGTTGGCTCTTGTGTTCTTTTGTAAACCTTCACATGCGAATAACTGCTTAAAACATGTTTAGCCAGTTAAAGTGGCATAGAATAAGATAGGTTTTACTGAATATTTATTTTACTTATAGAATGAACTGAAGAAAAATAATGGTGGAACAGGATTTCTTGTGGGAAAGAAGATTTCTTTCATTGATTACAAAGTAGCCGACTTTCTAGACTCGTGCCTGGCAGTAGATGCAACAATCCTTAAACCCTTCCCTTTATTAAAGGCCTATCTGGAGAGAATTCTTTCAAGACCAAAGATAGCTGAGTTGAGGGGGAAGGAGCCATATAAATCCATGACATTCGTGACTTTGCTGTAAAGTCAACTGGCAAGGATTCCATAGTTGCCGAGGCCCCCACGCTCAACATACACCTACTATATACGGAACTATGTTGCCCATAGTATAACTAACTTTTGAAATGAGTACTGTAAACCCCCCCCCCCCCGGATATCTCCTAAAATAATGTGGACCTACCTTTTGTGCTTTCTTGAAGAATTTTCTGACATTTCGAGGTAATAGGTAACATTTGGTGACATATGTACGGTGTATTTTGATGTGATTGCCACTTTGTTTTTATAAAATTCTAAATTGACTAGAATGCGAGGCAACTAAATGATTCGGAAATTAATCATATATTTTTATCCTTTAATCGCTCAGAAGGTGCAAAATAAGCCTAAATATTCAATTTTTATATAAATACATAAATCATATATTTTGATCCTCGAATTGCCCAGAATGCACTAAATCAGCACAAAAATCGTAACTTTTTCAGGGGACCATGCCCCTGATATTTTAATAAATCATAGATTTCTTAAAATACGTAAATCATATATTTTGATCCTTAGTACGATCAGAACGATCAGAATCGCCCAGAATGCGCTAAAAAGGCCTAAAAAATCAGTTTTTTTAAATACGCAATTCATATATTTTTATCCTAGAATCGCTCAGAATGCACCAGATTTGCCAAGAATGCGCCAAATAAGCCTAAAAACTCTTTTTTTAAATACGTAAATCATATATTTTGATCCTAGAATCGCTCAGAACGTACAAAATCAGCCCAAAACTCCTTAATTTTCCGGGGGAGCATGCCCTCTGGCTACATCACTCACAAGCTATTATTTTACAGGCCATGATAATTTTGCTCGAATTTTGTTCCGTCTAAATCAACTAACTAGTCATTTTAACAACATGAGGGAATTACTGGGCATTTTTCAAAATTTGGGCCCTTACGTATTTTCTTCTGTGCAAGCGCGGAATTTTTTTGGTCCCCTCCCTTGTTTTCATGGCCACCCCTGGTGTCTGTAATAACACCCTTGGTCAAAATGCGAAGTTGGTTAAGCATGAAAACAATTTTGTGTGTGGATGGTGAGGGGGGTTCGAGCCTCCCCTAACCAAAACCTGGCTACGGGCATGAAATCAATTATATTTTATTATTTACGATGCAAAAATATAGACTTTTTAAAGAAAGAACCAAGGGACTGGAGTGGAAAATGAACCATGGGTGGAAAAACCGTGTAGTGTTTATTCTGACGAAAGTTTATTTGAGTCTTATTTGAGTAGTTAAATAAATGCTTTACAATAGAACTGCTAATGAGTCTTTATGGTATAACATTATTTACTATGTAACATTTTAAAAATTAATCATTGATTAACAATTTTGTATTTTGCAAACATTATATCTTTTTTTGTAAATCCGATTATCATAAATAAATGCTTTCTCAATAAGTGTTCAGTGGCTTGTTATATAAAGGGTGGGCCAAACATGGGGAACTCACACATATATCATTTTGAAAGAATGTGTATGAAACACATTACGAGAAAATTCTTTATTTTTCGCTTTTTTATTCACAAAATATCATTTTTATTATCACACCGACCAAAGTTCGGAAGGGATATAAAGTTCTAAGCTCTTCTGTTGGGACTATAACTCAGATCAAATACCAGTTGACGGATTCGGTATGGGCTGATGCCATATGTGTAAGACCTCTGTTCGAAAAATAATTTTCGATATGGCCGCTTAATTTAAAATACCAGTTGACAGACTTAGTTCAAATTTTACATGATGGTGCCTTATGCATAGCAGTTTGAGAATTCAAAATGACTGCCATTTCTCAGGGAAAATATCGGAGTTGGTTCAAGGTTATAGGTTCATGCCTTATGGTCAGTATATTTAAAATATAACTTTTTTTCAGAAACTCGTTCATCAGCCAAAATATAAATGACATAATGAAGCATATAAAAAGGTTAATGTATACTCCAGAACAATATAAGGAATATGTATTATACAATAAAACGCCACCTCTCATACTGTATATGAAGTTATGTTAAAATCTTTGCAAGCTGAAGCGCTACATTTTGTTTGTGAAATAGAAAGAGTTAAAACATAAGATCGCTAATTTCGTTAGTTTTTAGGATTTCGTTGCTATTTCCAAAACATATTTTAGTATTGTTCTGTTCAATTATAGATACATGATGTGCTGGTCAGGCCAACTGAACAAGTGCCATAACAAGCATCAAGTGGTGTAATCCTACAACAAGTGGTGTAATCCTACAACATGTGGTATGATCCTACAACAAGTGGTGTAATATAACAATAAGAAGTGTAATATTACAATAAGTGGTGTAATCCTAAATGTGGTGTAATCCTAAAACAATATTCAATAGGGTTCCTACAAGTGGCCTGAATATAACATAGGTCATGGTGACAGGAGACCTAAATTGGGATAGTTAGAAAATGTATTTATGAGTTAACAAGGCACAGGGTGAACAATATCGTACCTTAAACATAGCAGTGTGGGCTTGATGACCCAGAAAGCAAGATGCCTGCCGAATAAATAATCAGTTCAAGAACTTCTTACCATGTAACATGTGTAAAAAATTGAAGTAAATCCATTATGTGGTTTTCCTGGAATCGCGATGACAAGATCGCCACCAGAATACAAGATGGCTGCCGAAAAGTAAATCAACTATAGAACTTCTTACCATGTAACATGTGTGAAAATTTGAAGTAAATCCGCTCTTGAACTTCTTACCATGTAACATGTGTGAAAACTTGAAGCAAATCCGTCAAGTGGTTTTCCTGCAATCGTGATGACAAGAAATTGAGACGCCGCCCGCCCGTCAGGCTGACAATAAGCTGACAATATCGTACCTTTTTAGGTACGTTCTTTTTACATTTTAAGATTACGTTCTTTTGAGAAAAACTGCGGCCATTCAGCTGTCATCTTAAAATTCCTTATCGAGCAGAGCTCCTGCGTCCCTAGGCATCAGCATACAAAATTTGAATGAAATCCGTCTAATGGTATTTGAGTTATCAAAGATTACGTTCTTTTACGAAAAATGGCTGCCATTTTGAAATTTGGCCGCCATTTTGAAAATATCTTCTTGAACAAAAGCCCCTTTGTGCCTAGGCATCAGCATATAAAATTCGAACGAAATCCGTCTACTGGTATTTGAGTTATCAAAGATTACGCGCTTTTACGAAAAATGGCGGCCATTTTGAAATTCAGCTGCCATCTTGAAAATGTCTTCTTGAGCAAAACTCCTCTGTCCCTAGCCAGCAGCATATAAAATTTGAACCAAATCCGTCAACTCGTATTTGAGTTATGAAAGATTACATTTTTTCGAAAAATGGCGGCAATTTTGAATTGAAGGGCCATATTGAAAATTCCTGCTCGAGCAGTACTGGAGCAGAGGTTCTATCTCCATAAGGCATAGCCCAAAAAATTGAATCAAATCCGTCAACCGGTATTTGAGTTATCGCCCGGACAAACAGACGGACAAATGGACGGATGGCGTTTATATATCCCCATCGAACTTCGTTCGATGTGATAATAAGCTTCATTATGGTATATAGATTATGGGGCCACGTGATCTAAAATTGAATGTGGATGAGGGAGGACAGTCATTACGAAACACCCACTACATGTTCTATGGTAAAAAAATCGAACATGGTATTTTGTATATTTTTAGAGTAAAATGGCAAAAGCAATTTCAACATTTTTATAAATGCAGAAAGTTGCAATGGTGTCTAAATCATGCAATCTTTACATAATAATAAATGGTGGCTCCCCTAATGTCGTGTAAGATTGTACAGTAGTGGAGGGATATTGATCTTTTATATACATTTAAGGTGGTGTTCACTGACAATATACTTCTCCTTACATGATTCACTCATGTTTCTGACTTGTTTACTTTCAATAAATCAATATATAAGGACTATTCAATATTTATTTTATGACACAAAATAGATGTTCATTTAAATAACATCTAGTTGTAACCTTCAACTTGTTATATGTCACTGGATAGATTTATGAGTCTACATGACCAGTGTCACATTGACATGGGATTGAGTTTTAGGGTCAATAAACTTATTTGACAAATTGTCAATGTTCGGTGTTATGAACACTACATGTAACTTTAGCATCTCAACACTTGTTGGAATATGGTGGACACATTAAAATAAAAATAAAAAGCAATTTCAATATAAGTATACTATATTATTTTATTAAAATGTTTAAACATAAAAAAATGCTTTTGTATAAATATCAGTGGCCATCCTGTTCAGTCCTTTGTTTTATTTGTACACTTCTTTTATCTTTCTCTTTGTCCAGATATCTTTTAAATGATTCTACTTCTATTCTCTCTTCTTCATCTGCAAATAGATCAAATCAGAGAGTTGAATTACAATATTTGAACATGCATGCTCTGATTAAGTGAGCAAAACCAACAATTTTTAAAGAAAATATGAACCTAGAAACAAAATTTCCAGAAACTGGTGAGGAACATTTAACTAGGTGAACAAAAAAGGGTGTACCTAAATTATAGCAGTGTGGCTGCAAGGAAGCAAGATGGCCAATGAAGTTAATCAGCTCTAAAGCTTCTTACCATGTAACGTGTGTAAAAATGCAATTATGTTAAGTGGGTTTTCTTGGAATCGCAATGGCAAGATTTACCAAAAAACTTCCAAAATGGCCACCAGAGAGCAAGATGGCCACTGAAAAGTTAATCAGCTCAGACTAGTGGTTTTCCTGGAATCGTAATGACAAGAAAAGTGAGACGACACCACCCACCAACCAAACTGATGACAATTTTTTAGGTTCAATAAAGTCAACTGATAAATGCAAATGTCAGGGTGTAACAAAAATCATTGACGTAATAAGTCTGTAAATACATGAAATCAATACATTCAATATCCCCGATGCGAGTAGAAATACCTTTACTTTATTAAAAATCACAATTCATTCAAACTGATGTCATATTTGGAATCTACATGTAAAATTACATTTAGAAATGTGGTTTTGAAGAGTTTATCATGATCGGTGAACCACTAAAACTGATGCATATTCAAGTGTAAGGGAATTTTGTAATACCCTGCCATGTTAATTCCCCCGAATCAGCCACCTGGTGGCGGAACTGGTAACTACCTTCTCGCATCTGAGTAATTTAAATGATTGGAGGGAATTAGACATCAGTGGAGGTAATTCTCTTGGAGCTTGTGCCCTCCTAATAATATTCTATGGACACGCAGTAATTATGAAAAAATAAAAAGAATAACTAGACGAAAGCAACGCCAAAGCATAGCAAATGCCATCAAACAGCCATGGATGCCATTTTTACAAAATCCTTCTACTACTTTTTAAGTTATAGCAAAAATTGTAAAACATCAGACATTAAAATTTCAAAATGGTCACACAATAGCCAAATTGTCATAAAAAAGTGTAATATGCCAGCCAATGTCATAAACAGTGTGGAATGCTAATGAGTATAATTCACATATCAAATATGAACAAAATCACTCCACTATTCAAGTTACAGCAAAATTTGTAAAATAGCGATGTGGAGAAAATCAATAAACTCAAGGCCTGTGTTACACTTGCTTACTGTATATTGAATGCTCTTACTATGCTAGAATATTTTCTGTCCCTATATCTTGACACTGTTAAGTCGAAGTAAACACTTAACTTTACTTTAAGCGAGAAAGCTACATGTAATTTGTATATTGGGCGATTTATACCAAAGTGTTGTCATTTCAATTTCATATGCCATGCAGAAACTCTACATTAACCAAATAAGAAAGCTAATTGAAAGTTTACCTTGTGGGCTGTGTTCATATGCATCATCACTATCTGACTCTTCATCAGCTCCAGGCCTTATCACCATACCTGGCATCCTATTACTCCTCACCTCACCCTTCAAAGTATCTGCAAACACACTCAATTATTAGACAAACACATCTATGCAGCCATTTTACAATCAAGTATATTATTTTATAGATTTGCAAACTGCATTAATTCGTCTTCGTCTCCATTCTGTAAAGGTAAATAGCAAACTGGACTTCTTATGCCGAGGTCCTGGGTTCAATCCCAGCATGTGGCAAAAGAAGCTAGCTAATGTTAATAAATAGAACCGTGAGTACTGGGGTCACATGGTGAGTTTTCTGTATTGATGTTGAACAAAAAGTTAAAACTGGAATCCTATCGACGGAGGTTTTAAGGCAAATAGTCCAAAAGTTTATTTCGCGAGACAGATGGACAAATCAATGCAATCAATGTTAACTAAAATGGCTGCAAATAAAACAAGAACACTAATGTGTACAAAATGTCCCCACCAATGGGTGATCCCGTCAAATGGTTATCCTGAAAATGATAAGACTTTACTGACACAATTTGGGACGGAAAATCCAAAATGGCTGCCTTAAAATTTACCCAGAATCCCCAAAGTTAGTTAGTTCTAGATTTTCATACTAAGAACCACCCCTGAAAATTTGAAATTGATTCGTCAAACAGTTAAACAAGACTTTACAGACAAGATTTAAGGATGGAAAATCCAAAATGGCTGCCTTGACATTGAACCAGAATGTCAAAAAACTAATAAGTTCTAAGAATCATCCCTGAAAATTTGAAACTGATCTACCAAACGGTTCACCTGTAAACGCGTAGACAAGACTTTACAGACAAGATTTTAGGAAAGAAAATCCAAAATGGCTGCCTTGACATTTACCCAGAATGCCAAAAAACTAATAAAATTTAGATTTTCATACTAAGAATCATCTCTGAAAATTCGAAATTAATCTACCAAACGGTTCACCTGAAAACGCGTAGACAAGACTACAGACAAGATTTTAGGACGGAAAAAACCGAAATGGCCGACAATAAAAAGTGATCATGAGTTTTTGCTGATTTCCTTTTACAAAATTATCACATATATAACTACTCTTAACAATAACATAGGCTTTTACAACAAAGTACACCTGAAATTATTTATAAAGTTACTAAATAGTTAAAGTATGAAAACTCAAAAACACCATTCAATATGATACAAAGTATTATCGCGCGCTAACTTTTCTTAAGACATTCAAAATGGCTGACATGACTGAGCTAACGGGTCCAAAACCTAATCAGATGTAGAATGAAGTGAGCTGAACAAGATGTTAAAGTTTTAAAAGCAACTGTGAAGCCGTTTTTCTTAAAGTGTGCAGACAAGGATTTTAGCATTTGAACTCAAAATGGCCGACAGGAAGTAGCTATCGAGTTAATTTTTTTCATCCACATCTGTATGCACTCACAAGTTATTCCTGAAAATTTGAAGGTGATATCTGTAGCAGTTTTGGAGAAAACTGCCGGACGTATGGACGGACAGACAGACAACCAGACGGACAGACGGATGGACGCACCTAGGATGACAATATGGCCCCACACTATGTGGTGGGGACATAAAAACGGATATAATTTTTGGCCGATTTTTTGCAACAAAATTATTTCATACTCCTACTCTATACAGTGACATGGCTTTTACAATGCAGGAAACCTGAAATTATTAGTAAAGCTAGGAAATGGGCCAAAAGTGAATTTCGCGAGACATAAATGGCGACCATTTTGAAAATAGTGAGCTTTTGAACCTTTCAATAGAGGTTTTAAAGCAAATGGTCCAAAAGTGAATTTCGCGAGACAAAAATGGCAGCCATTTTGAAATCTTTTGAACCAGGAGTTTTAGGGAGTTTTCTTTATTGATGTTGAACAAAAATAACTTAAAACGGGAATCCTATTGACAGAGTTTTTAAAACGGACGGACAGACAGAAGGACAAGTGGGTGATTGCAATAGCTCAGCATGTGAGCTAACTAGTACACCAGAGAGAGATGATTACTAGAGTGCTGCTAACTGCTGACTCAATAAAAGGCTGGCACTGGTTAGAACTGCCTATGGTCCTAGCCAGGATAAAGATACAAGGTCCTCTTAGATTATACAGGGGTGTTTCTACCTTCAGATTAAGTTATGTTATCCTACCACACATACATGTATTTGCCATATGAGCTCTAACGGTTTCATAATTTCCTCGGTTTGGTCGGTTCAAGGTTTTTATCTTTTTGGTTTGTTTTACGGTTCAGTTTTTCGGTTCTTATCACACTTATTTATCAATTTTAACAAAAAAACAACAACAAAAATGTGATAGGTTTCTGGATTACGTGTGTATACCAGTACATAAACATACATCTTGTTTCCTTGGCAATAGGGTCAACCTCCCCTGATGTATCTTTCTTGAGTTGTTCTATCTGTTCCTTGCGTTCCCTTTCCTCTTTTGCCTTCCTTAGTCTCTCATACTCTGCTTTGTACTCCCTAAAACGTATTAACATTATAATTTATATATGCAGTATACTCATATGTACACATATTAATATACAGCTACAGGCTGCACACATAAATGCATCCGTTGAGTCATTCATATATATTCTGGTAAGACCCATCTGATAGTCTGGAAGTACCCATTTGTAAGCTAAAATTCTCTGTAGATGAAACAGTTTAATAATATTGTAATTTCAATTGATTTATGTATTAATGAACCCTTTTGTGTAATATCGATGTCTACAGGAAATTAGATACTCTGTTCAATCTATGCACTACGTTTCTATTCATAAAAATCACAAATTTATGTTCAGATAGGTATAGTCATGCTCAGGAGAAGGTTGATGGATGTACTTACAGCTCATATTCATCAGCTTTCTCATCAACAGCTTGAAAGAACTCAGCAATTCCTAGACCAGTAGCAGCAGAAACACCTACAGCCTGAAACACATGCAGTGCCATAAAATGCTTGAAATTGCAATTGCAATACAACCATGCCCCTGTTCATTGCTAAAAGCGAGATAGCAAAAATAATACTCCATTGGTAGATTAAAGTGTGTAACAAAAAGTGTGTGGTGTTCCATATAACTTCGAGAGAACACACATTAATAATAATATGTTTAGTTCTGCATCAGTAGCCAATTAACATAAACCATGTGATGTTTTTTATTCTGTGACTCAAAATGATTCAAAACAAGTAATGCAGGTGATTTCCACAATAAACCACTAGTTTAGACTATTAGGGCCGTAGGTCATTTGGACACCATATGCTAAATTAATGAGGTGTATGAAAAAGAAGGACCCCCAACCACCAACCTATAAGCACCGCCTATGGATTTTGGACCCAAGGATGGAGATTGACTGGTCGGTGGTCAGTCTTTCCCATACTTCCTTCAACCCTGCAATGTAACAGGGGCCATTGAGACATTTCCTTAAGATTACTCAAAGAGTTTTGGATTATAAAGTTGCTAACCTTGAGATTATTATAGAATTCATCCAGGACCAGACTCATGGACCTAGTAAGGTTAGAAACATATGAGGTTTCTTGCTCAAGAGCTTCTTGGAATACCTCAAAGTCATGCATCCATTCCATGGCAAACCCATTATCAACAATGTCAGTCTGAAAACAACAATAGAGTTTTAACAGGCTAAATGAGACAGCAATTAACACATATAATCATGAAGTATGAAATATGGAAAATTCTCTTAACCAATGTTGTATTTTAGGTACTTTTTAATGTTTCAGTTTAGTTTATATGAGGAATATGCTATTATAAATTGATATCCTAACCATGTGTAGCAATTTTTACATAAAATCAGAGGTACTAGAATTCCATTTTTACATGCCACAGCAGAAAAAATGCAGAATTACTAGTTTTTCAAAAGGGTGATTTTTGGTTTGGAGAACCAAAGAACCCTTAGCACAGGATTTCATTCTGTGTTTTCATGAACAGAATTTTTGCAGAATTTCACATTTTGGCTTGCAGAATTTCACATTTTGGCTTGCAGAACTTTTCATTTTGTAAAGCAGAACTCTGATAAAATGTTAGCGAGTCTACCTTATTCATGACCACAATGAATGGCAGCTTTGTCTTGTAGAGAATACTACATGCATAGAGCATGTTTGACATAAACGTAACAGGGTTAACACTCCTAGGTGTGTCCATTACATACACTACCACTGTGGGGTATGACGAAGCCTGCAAGTAATATATGCACAATATACAGCAGGGATCTCCCAAGGTACTTTCATTAATCAGATTGATTATTCCTAATAATTATGTTTTATGGCCAAATATCTCAATATTTGATCACTTAAAAAAGGGTGCAACAGATTTTGAATAGTGAGGCATGTTACGTTTTAATATATTTTAACAGGATAGATCCAGCTGTACTAATCCTGGGGAGACCACTGCACTGTAGAGCATGATGGACATGGATTTATTAATACAAGGACACGTTAACAACAAGGGAAAGATCAATACCCGGTGATTTCAGCGGGAAGTGGCGTTTCGTTCAGTGGATGAGCTGCGTGCGCACGCATAAATGTGATTATCAATATTATTTAAGGGAGGGATATTCAAGCTTATTTTCGTCATAGGCGCGACCCAGGGCTGTTGTCTTAAGGACATTTCGTTGAAAATTAGCCATTCGGCTGATAATTTGTAAGAGTTTGCGATCTTATAATGTATAACTGTTATTCAGACACATATTTTGACACGATTCTGTTGGAATTAAGCTTTGAACCGAGAGATATTCACGATTGATATGCACATTTTTGATTGTGCCATTGCTTTTCCATTGCACAATCCATGTATTGATAGAAGCCCATCCTTCATTCTACTTCCCATTTATTATAATTTATGCTGTAACATTTAGACTTCGCTGGAAAAGAATAGGAATTATTTTTCTTGCCAATCAATCGTGAACGCAATCAAAATTTCAGAAAGGATCAATCAGGCAATCGTCCAAAATCCAAATCAAGTTGTAACATTATATGATATTCAGCAAGAAGTCCGGTAGAAATATAGAATATTTAAACATCAAAGCTGAAAGTTAAAAGCTAATCTGTCAATTTTCTGTCTGCAAAAGAACGTTTACATTTGACACAATAAAAGACTGAGGCTTTGAAATCTAGGATTCCCCAGGAAAATATGACGTTATACTAATTAGCATAAGGATTTCCCTAGTGGTCTGGGTCGAGCATCGTCCGAAAACACAATCTGATAAATACATGCTAATTTCTAAGGAGATGGGAAGTGTATGACGTGTTTATCGATTTTGTTTAACGATTTAATCAATTATCAAATTGTTTAAGTGGATAAAGTAGTCACACTTGCTTCAATTCATAGCGTAATCAAGGGATAGAAACTGCACCGAATTCCCGATATCCTACCCCGTATTATGTAGGCTATAACCACAGTGACCTGCAGATGGCGCTATCACAAAACTGCACGAACCGATAAATTCCCGGGTATTGTAACGCCCTTGGTTAACAATAAGTTTGGAAAATATTTCTTCATTTTAATGTGACTACAAAATACAAATAAGTGTTAGTTTCAAAACTTTCAGGGATGTTTAATGTGAAAGTCTTAGAGAAGACAGATATCCAATTGTTTTATGAATTACTATTAAACAGAAGATTTTGATAGAAAACTTTAATAATTATACTATAAAATGTAAAAAGCACATATTCATTTCAGTGTAATCAACTCACCAATGCCTCTGTTATAATAGTGCCTGATGCTGACCATGTAAACACCTCTATCTGGCCAGGTGTGTCCAGTATAATATACCTGTAACAATATATTAAAGTGTTATAATAGTGCCTGATGCTGACCATGTAAACACCTCTCTGGCCAGGTGTGTCCAGTATAATATACCTGTAACAATATATTAAAGTGTTATAATAGTGCCTGATGCTGACCATGTAAACACCTCTATCTGGCCAGGTGTGTCAAGTATAATATACCTGTAACAATATATTAAAGTGTTATAATAGTGCCTGATGCTGACCATGTAAACACCTCTATCTGGCCAGGTGTGTCCAGTATAATATACCTGTAACAATATATTAAAGTGTTATAATAGTGCCTGATGCTGACCATGTAAACACCTCTATCTTGCCAGGTGTGTCCAGTATAATATACCTGTAACAATATATTAAAGTGTTATAATAGTGCCTGATGCTGACCATGTAAACACCTCTATCTTGCCAGGTGTGTCCAGTATAATATACCTGTAACAATATATTAAAGTGTTATAATAGTGCCTGATGCTGACCATGTAAACACCTCTATCTTGCCAGGTGTGTCCAGTATAATATACCTGTAACAATATATTAAAGTGTTATAATAGTGCCTGATGCTGACCATGTAAACACCTCTATCTGGCCAGGTGTGTCCAGTATAATATACCTGTAACAATATATTAAAGTGTTATAATAGTGCCTGATGCTGACCATGTAAACACCTCTATCTGGCCAGGTGTGTCCAGTATAATATACCTGTAACAATATATTAAAGTGTTATAATAGTGCCTGATGCTGACCATGTAAACACCTCTCTGGCCAGGTGTGTCCAGTATAATATACCTGTAACAATATATTAAAGTGTTATAATAGTGCCTGATGCTGTCCATGTAAACACCTCTATCTGGCCAGGTGTGTCCAGTATAATATACCTGTAACAATATATTAAAGTGTTATAATAGTGCCTGATGCTGACCATGTAAACACCTCTATCTGGCCAGGTGTGTCCAGTATAATATACCTGTAACAATATATTAAAGTGTTATAATAGTGCCTGATGCTGACCATGTAAACACTTCTATCTGGCCAGGTGTGTCCAGTATAATATACCTGTAACAATATATTAAAGTGTTATAATAGTGCCTGATGCTGACCATGTAAACACCTCTCTGGCCAGGTGTGTCCAGTATAATATACCTGTAACAATATATTAAAGTGTTATAATAGTGCCTGATGCTGACCATGTAAACACCTCTCTGGCCAGGTGTGTCCAGTATAATATACCTGTAACAATATATTAAAGTGTTATAATAGTGCCTGATGCTGACCATGTAAACACCTCTATCTGGCCAGGTGTGTCCAGTATAATATACCTGTAACAATATATTAAAGTGTTATAATAGTGCCTGATGCTGACCATGTAAACACCTCTATCTGGCCAGGTGTGTCCAGTATAATATACCTGTAACAATATATTAAAGTGTTATAATAGTGCCTGATGCTGACCATGTAAACACCTCTCTGGCCAGGTGTGTCCAGTATAATATACCTGTAACAATATATTAAAGTTAGAATATTTAAGACAGCGAGTGGTTATAACATGACAATGAATGTTAGAAGCCATACATTAATCTGAAATTGTTATATAATTTATGTCAATACAAGAAAGTGAGGACTTTTTGTTATTGTATAGTTTTTGTGACTGGTATTTGTCATTAGCATCTGTGACAAATGTTACAATTTTCGTGAGCTATCAAGAATTGAATTTTTACTAAAAAGTGGTGGTTACCAAAATTCAATTTTGAATTAAGTAACAATATTGGGAATACTTTCTCGAATATAGACCCTATTCCCAATAGATTTTTGCCTAAGAAATTAAGACCAACAACTGATAACTTAGCATTTATGTAAACAATCACTGCCATTTAAAAAGTTAGTACCCATCTTGAAAATTTCTTCTTGAGCAGACATCTTTATTCCGATCCTTATAGGCATCAACTATAACATTTGAATCAAATCAGTCAAGTGGTATTTCAGTAATCAAAGATTACAAAACATGATTGCTTATTTTGAATTTGCCAATAAGGTATCAGTACATCATGCAGGTATACTAATACTGGAAATTCCTTCTTAAATAGAGGTCCAATTCCAATATTAGACATAATTAGTTTATTCTTATTAGTCATTAAACTAAATCTGTCAACTGGTATATAAATTATTACCAGGATAGACGAACATAGGATGGAGGAATGACTGATATCTCTATAACCTTCCCGAACTTCAGAATTTTATATTCTAAATATTTCTTTATGATCTTCTTACTAAACAGGCAACTGAACATCATTCCCTTTATGAATAATCTGAGACAGTGTTCCTTTAGTTTAACTATCACTTACTCATTTTTGGACTTATTTTTGTCAATGAATCCCATCACTTGGTCAAACCTTGTAGCGAATAAGTTGAGTGATGTCACAATGCCTCCATTTGGACCTAAATTGTATCTGAATAATGACAAGGATCAACTTCACTAATCAAGGGAAGAGTACTCACATTTGTACTTAAAGGCTGATTCTAAAATAACAATAATAGTTGGAGGCTGCTTGGAATAAATAATAATTTGTTATATAAATTGAATTGTGTACATGTACATGAACCAATATGAGACATAATACTGAAGAGATCTGACTTAATTAGACTCAATAGCAACTAGAAAAAAATGATGTTCTTCTTTCTGAAATTTGCAAAAACTAGGTCACCTGACTTAGATGAAAGATTTTATTCCTTCCTTTTTCTCATGTCTCATATATTCAGAAATAAAGCAAATTGCAAATGGACAGACAGAACCAACAAACAGATTGATGAATGGACCAACAAACAGATTTACACCTACCCGATCACCTATGTGAGCCAAAAATAAGCATTTGGTTAAAACTGTATGAAAAGATTGAGCAGCCCAAAAATTAAAATGTTAGTACATGTATTTGAAAAAGGATACTGTTTCATGACTTCTTTGTAGTTAACAGTGTCTCGAATATCTGAAATAAAATAAAATACATGTATACATATAAATCATTAATTAAAACCAGAACAACGTCAACGCCAAAGCGTAGCGAATCCCATCGAACAGAAACAACTTTATTTTTGTATTCAATAGTTAGTTTAGTCTTAGGTCAGTTTTGTAGATTGTAGTTTTTAATGACTAATATGTCATTGTAATGACATCAGAGAGTCAATAAAAGATATATATAAATGGCTGGCATTTTTACAAACGAATAGCAAATATCATAAAACAACACACCAGAAAGGCCACCATTTTCAAAATGGTTGCTCACTAGCCAAGTTGTCATCAGAAGAAATAATGTGCTTTTAAGTAGCCACCTCTAAAATTTTTGAAAAATCGCACACGTACTTGTAAAATAACACACATAAAAATGGTGGCCATTTTTCAAAATGGCCGACTACTCCCCAAAGTTTTATTAGAAAATGTGCCATGCTTAAAGTATTCACATATCAAATATGAACAAAATCGCTCCATTACTTTTCGAGTTATAGTAAAATACGTTAAAATGGCGGCCATTTTTCAAAATGGCCACTGTCTACCAAAAGTGTCATTAGAAATAGACAGTGTGCCATGCTTATAGTATTCACATACGAAATATGAACAAAATCACTCCACTACTTTTCGAGTTATAGTAAAATACATTAAAATGGCGGCAATTTTTCAAAATTTTTTTCAAAATGGCCGCCTTCTACCAAAAGTGTCTTTAGACAGTGTGCAATGCTTATTGTATTCACATACCAAATATGAACAAAATCGCTCCACTATTTTTTGAGTTATAGCAAAAATCGTAAAATGACGAGTAAAGGCCGCCATTTTTCAAGATGGCTGCCATGTGCTTCTTTAATATCTACATTTGTAGCATTATTAATGTCCTTTATAATTTTTTTACATTTAAAACATATTGCTATTACAGTTTTACATATTACACCTAAATTACTGTAAAATCGGCACTAAAATGGCCGCCATTTTGAAATGAGCGGCCATTTTGAAAATCGGCTTTCGAGCAGATTTTCTACTCCCATAGGGTATATGTGTACAAAATATGAACAAAATCGGGCCAACAGTATTTGAGTTATTGCCCGGACGGACGGACAGAAGGACGGACGTACGTACGGACGGACGGAGGCGTTCCCTATATCCCTCCGAACTTCGTTCGATGGGATAATTATCACTTATTATATTGTATTTATATATAGAGGATATCCTATGATTTATGAGTGATATGATTTTTATCCACGAATGGATATGATGTCTGCACGAGCAAGCGTAGTGAGAGAGTGCAGATATAAATATCCATGAGTGGATTAAAATCATATCACGATTAAATCATAGGATGTTCTTTTTATTCCATAGTTAAAGTCATCATCAGAATCGTCGGAAATTAAGTTATTTAATTCGAATTTTCTAAACGATCCGGCGATGTTGACACTTTGCCTCGTTTTGAGTCTGAAGTAGCAAAAATCCATAAACCATCGCATACGGTGCCGTATGTCATGGCTAAAAAAACGTATGCTATGGTTAAGTGAAAATTTGTCAAAAATATCATATTTTACCACTGATTACAAAAATACAGTTATTTTCACATGTTATCCTATGAATATCATGCTAACTATGGAATAAATATTTTTATAGCAGCCTTTGGGGGCTATATTGTTATCAGTTTGTTATAATTGTAGTCATTTGCCAAGCAAAAAAATTGAGTCACACATTAAACTGAATTTTTTTTAATGATGACATTTTCAGTATCAAATACAATTACCTATATTAGAAGGGAAGGGCACCTCATGACAGGCAGGGTCAAGATTAACAACATACGGTGGTGTTTTCTTTGCATGAAGATGAGCTGTCAGCCTCTAAAAATAGCAAAACAAGATTTCCTTATAATACCTTAGTGCCATTAAAACATAATCAAAGAGATTGGACTAAGAGATTGGAAGAGATGTGGATATACATGTATGGGTATCAATTTATTACATAAGTCATGAATGCCAGTTCCATTAAATCACATGTACATAGAATATATAATATAAGAATATATATGGTGATCAGCTTAAAGCAGTGATCTCCCCAGATTTAAGCAGTCGGGCACACAAACTTTGAAGTGTTAAAACAGGCTATTGACATGTACCCATTTAAAACCCAGTTGTACCCACTTGAAAATGAAAACTGGTACCTTAGACAAATTTTAGTCAGATTGTGAAAACTGCAATTTTACATAATAGACATGAGGAATGAATCATCTGATGTGAACAATGAATGTTATCTGGGACTGATATACTTAATGATTAGTAATTGTCAATCCCAGATAATATATCAAATGTGCACTAACAGTATCATCATGATATACCATGACATCTCATTTCTTCTCAGCCCTGAGAAACAGATGCTATATGAGTATCAGAATGTAACAGTATATATAATATTCAAATTGTAATATACATGTATGTACCTGAACTAGGGTTGTTTTCCCTGATCCAGCCATCCCAAGTGCAATAATGCATATAGGTTTCTTGGGGGATGTCTCTCCTTGTTTCTCCTCAGAACCAGCTGATGGGATGTGAGGGTCTCCTTCAGATTCATCCATCTTAGAAATGCGTCACAGCTAACATCAAATAAAAGATGAAATGACTTTTACAGTAAAACCTGTCTAATTAAAACCCCTCTTGGACCAGCCAAAGGTGTTCAGATTGGCACAGGGTGGTGCGATCGTCAAAAATCGGTTTTCAGTCGGGGGATGCGATTGTGGCATAAACAAGCCAAAAATTAAGATTTATCTTGATTTTTACAAAAATTTATGCAAATTCCTTCGAAACTGAACTAGCAAATGAAAGCCATTCAAAGCTCCCTTCTTCTTCCTTCTTTATTGGTTAAGCGGGGGGAGGGGGGATGCGATCATTCACCAATCGCACCCCCCCCCCCTCTCTGGTTACGCCTATGTGTTAAAACAAACTTTACACAATATCAATATTTAAAACTGTATCTTGTAAGTGCCTTATAAAGCATCAGATCAATCACTAAGAACCCCTCTTATCTGCCATTTGCATTTGGAAGGATAAAGACAACGGCCCGTAAAGACAAAGGGGACACGGCTACATATATATCGCAATATACGTAAAATTGTTATGACATTTCCCTTCACCAGCGCCTACACCAATATTCTTAACACCACTTATTGAAGGATGCATGCATCAAGGGGTAGACATCATTCAAAAGACATAAACATGACCGGGTCGGTCAGAGGAAGGTTTGCATACGATGCAATTTGTACGTGCAAGCTCATTTTTCACATATAAATTAATAAAGTCGATTCCTTGGGAATACGTTATTGGGTTTATAAGCGTAACAAGGGGGAGCGATGGGTTCGCACCGCCTCCTACAACCAATAAAATACAACCATAAGGTAGAGGAAGAAAAGTGCATTAAAATGATTTTTTGTTTGAAGCTTCTAGCTCAGGTTTGAAGGAAGTTGCATCATTTTTGTAAAAATTCAAAACAAATATTTTTTGCCTCATTTATGTCACGATCGCACTGACTGAAAACCTAAAATATTTTGGTTATTGCATCACCCCTCCCCCCCAACTGAAAGATGGCTACGGCCCTGGGGTTTTATCGAAAACTATATCGTCAACATTTTATCATTATGCGGAAAGTCCAATATGAAATCTTAAATGGTATATATGTTGCATTTATTGAGGGAATTCCAGTGTAAACTATAATGTGAATGTTTGATATGAATACTTCCATACAACCATCAATATCCATTCTTTTGAAATAAGATGTTACAACAAAGGGAACATTGAAAACTACAGTGGTAAGAGCATCTTTCTGACTGCTAATTATGTGTATCAACATTTTGATTGCACCTCAGCTGGAGATTAAATCTTAATAATTTGATCAAAGGGATTGTAATTTTCCACAATTCTCTTATCTATGTTACAATCTGTATACTTGTTATATTATGAGCAGTATGTGTTGATAAACCAAAGATACGTTTTTTGGTATCAACATTTAGAAAAAAGTGTAAGATACCATTCTAGATACATTGTATACAGGGTGATCACTAAGTTCTGGGAATTTATCTGTCATTTCATTATTTTCAATTTACTTGAAATTTTCAAGGTAAATGGGGAATGTAATTTTGGGTTGGATAAAATAGTCTCATTGTCATCTGATGTCACAATGGATAATTGTTGTTACTATAGTAACATGACAAGTGGCGAAGCGGGTCAAGTTAAATAGAAATGAATTCAGATTTTGCTTGATCCAAAAGTATGGTTAATAAATACCTATTTGGTGGACATATTTCTGTGATTTTTCATATTTTCAAATACTTCTTACTTTAGTTTCTAAAGTGACATCTGTATTGTTATATAAAAGTGTACTTTGCTCTATTTTTGTATCATCAATCTGCATCTCAAAGTCACAATCATGACTCTAAATAGCGGGGAGTTATCTTCGATTATGACTATGCTCCTTCCCATTACTCAAGCTGTCCATACTACTCTTGAAGAATTAGGGTTCACACAAGTTATTACTACCCCATATTCGCCAGACAATATTCACAAGATGAAGCACCATTAGGCTTCACTACATTTTGGGTGCTAAAGCATTATATGAGAGGTCATAATTTTGATTCCGATAAGGGACTGATTTCAACGGCTTGAGCAAATCTTCAAGGGATACAAAGGGAGGACTGGAACACATCTTTAAGGACTAAGTTTGTCAACAACGTATGTGTGTCCAGGCTAATGGAAACAATTATAAATGAAATGATCCTCTCAGCAATGAAGAATACTTCTGAATAAATGACTTCAAGAGTACTGTTCTGTCCCTAGTACAAGTAGTTTGAAGCAACCATCTAGGCAAGATGAATATGTTTTGGCAGGAAATTTTCAGATTAGCATCTGTCAAAATTTGCTGACCCGCGGACCACTTTTACTTTTTTTGTAATTACAATAAAATAAATTGTAGATGTGATATGTATATGAAACATTGCTTGTCAATTCAGAATTATACAATGTATACCTGCTGAAAATTTCAACTCAAATGGTTGAGAAATCTTGAAATGGCAGACCAATTCCCAGAACTTAATGATCACCCTGTATTTATTACATACTTCATAGCAGGGTTAGAAAACTCAAAAAGATACCAGATTTTATGATAATGTTTACATAGGCAGCATGGTTTAAAACAATTGGTGGATCTGGAGGGGGGGGGGTGAAAAGGCGACACCCGGGAGGGGACATTATCAAGGTGGTTCGCAGGAGTGGACTTAAGACATTGGCAAGGGGAATAGGACATACTGAAGTACAGAAGTAAATATTGTATTTCATAAATTCTAAAACAATTTCTAGCCTAAATCCACAGTTGTCAAAACAGTTCAAAGAAATGGACGGATTGTGAAATAATTCTTATCTTCTTTTACACTTGTTACTTGGAATTAACCACTTCAATTATGTGGATGTACATTTTTAACACATAAACTGGTCGCTTTAGTTTCATCCTTGGTCCCTTCCGAAATCTGTGTTCTGTCAATCAGTGGTGATATCAATTGTCTCAGTGCGCCGGATATACACTTTTTCCCCTCGAACCCCCTGGCCATGGGCCTGATGAAACTAGTTACTACTATCATTATGATCCCTAAACACCCCGCTAGTTATTTGTCTATGATTGTATTCGCAAATGCAACTACTAAATGAATCAACGAGTCGATTAGCATCGCCTGTACAGGGGTTTCAATAAATATTTTTTCAACAGGCCTTCGGCAATTTCAACAGGCTGAATTTTTTTTTCGACCATTCGCCGCTCGCTTCGCTCGCATTCTCGTTCATATTTGGAGTTAAATGTTACCCCTTGTGCTTCATCACCGTGACGTAAAACGATAAAATCAGTATTTTCCTGTCACTTTAATACAAACTGTATATGAGCAATAGATCTATTTGACTTGTTCATTACTTTATGTGTTTTTTAAATTTTGACTCGTGTAAATTTATAAACTCAATATTCCTTTCTGACACATTAACAATGAAATATAAAGATTAACATTCAATAGTTTGATATGCATTTTTGACTTGTAATATTTTATTTGTTTTCAAATGTTGCCCTTTGTGCTTCCTCACTATGAGGTAAGATAATGCCAAGAAGATCAATTGTATTGATTATACTGTTTGTTTTCAAGTACATGTGTAATTGTTAATAATATAGTGTCCATTGAAAGTTGACAGGACAGTGATAAAGGTTTTTTGCTACTGACCCTAATTAGTCTCAAAGCAATGTTGGTTTGAGAGTAGGTCAATAAAAATGGTGGCCGGATTACAGTAAGATAATTATCTCAGTGTTTCTCTAAAACACTGCTGATTATCTGCCTATTATACTTAGATTTTGCCTTCACAAAGTAGGCCAATTTATATTCTTTCATTTGATATGTCAAACTAAATTGATTTGTCTCATGTGTAAGCAAAATCTCTCATCATTTGGACCGGCAATTTTTTTCTCAATTTTTTTTTCTCTCAAAATTTGAACTGGCGTAACTGGGATTTGAAGCGGCGTTTTCGCCGCCCGCCGGCTGTTATTGAAACCCCAGCTGTAGTAGCTGACAATATTATTTCAAAAGACGGTATGAAATTGCCAAAATGTTAGTAAAGTCAGTTTGTCACCGTACATACAAATGCTTTGTTCGATATTTCTTTCTACATGTTCCAAATAGTCTGCGAAACATGAATGAATTAAATAGATCAAAATTAAAAGAACCAGAAAAAGTACTTGTAATATTTCAATACTAAATTAGTAAAAATAGTTGCGTATAATTACTTCATGTTAAAATACTATATGTATATGCTTTTGGTAATTAATTAGTTGCATTCGCGAATACAAGATATAACTCTACTTTGCTCCTGTGCAACCCCTTACTGGTCACAAATCTGGAAATAATTACTTCATGTTAAAATACGATATGTATTGCTTTTGGTAATTAGGTCAGTTGCTTACACATAATTAGCAATGTGCCAAGAGCGAGTAATAAGATTCCAATCAGCGCGTGTCAAGACTTTTGGCATGGTCTTTGCACTGCGTTGCATGGCGTGTGTCAAGAAGTGCATAGATGTGTAAAGAGTTGGATTCATCGCGTGTCAAGAGGTGTAAATAATTGGCACGTCTAGGAACCCGGCGTGAAAAGACTAGTTTCTAGACATGTAAAGAATTGGAATCCCATATTTCACGCAGTGCCGTGTCTGTAAAACGTAACCTGGTCCTGGTCACGCTACCATTTAACTATAGTTACATCTTCTATAACAGGACGGGTCCGTTTCACTACGTTCTAATAGCGACTGTATGCCAACTGTTTATAATGAACAGCAAATTTGTTCACTTACCACTTCGGTGACAGGGCATTTTGGATACCCCCTTCAGGCACCTCTAATATTGTACATATGTAATACATGTAGAGTGTATGTCTCAGATCTTAATTTTACTGGATCATAATTTTTGATAAAAAATGTCACTCATACCATAAAAGTGCATACACAGATATACTTAGATCAAAGACATTCATTTAGAATATAAGATACAACATAGGATATATATTTTTTACCTACCCGTGTTTATTCTGCTCCGAATATTCAATGTATGCGTCTAAAAACGTAAAATATTTACGTTCACATGTTTTGACAGAGCTCTTCAAATCAGCAGTCACCAGATGTAAGCAGTCAAAGACCAATCAGAATGCGAGGTTTTAGTCACTCCGTATAGGCGCTAAAATTTTTCAAAACAAAATGTTTACATTTACATTTTGACTGGTTTATTTAGCAGAAATAAGGATTATTTGTCTAATTACAACAATGGAGAATTACCATATCCTTGAAAATATTGGCGAGGGATCTTTTGGGAAAGTATATAAAGGACGAAAGAAATATACTGGTCAGGTGAGAGTTCTCATAGAATAGATCTAGATCTAGAGTCAGTACTGAGTACGTCTATTTCCAAACACCCCCATCAAAAAATGTAGTTAGCTTGGCTGTACTGCACATCTATGCTATGATTCTATATATATTATGTGTATTATCCACTGTAGGATGCATTTGCAGAAAAAATTACGAAAAATTGTAAAAAATACCTGGGTTATTCCATTTTTACTACAAGGTATTTTAGGGGGGTAATTCCGAACAGGAGTTTTTTTGGGGGGTAAATCCGAACACTTACATGGGGGTAATTCCAAACACTTAACTTAAACTTAATTGTTTTAATTATTAGATTGATGGTATATCATTATATGATACCCTTAACTTATGATACTGGATCCTGTCACCCCTGCATATCAAGAAACCCAAATTTAAATCATTTATTACTGACATCTATTTATTTAAACGCACAGAGTTTGTGGGGGTAATTCCAAACACTAGCATGGGGGTAATTCCGAACACCTAAATCATCATAATTGATTATTTTATTGTAAGATTGTTGGTATACATCATTATATTGTATCTTTCAGGCTATAAATATTATGTAGAGGTAGTAAAGGTACTATTATTCAATTCAATGATCTGCTTGCCATTATTTGGAACCCGTTCGTGTTTACCCCCCTGTTTGGATTTGGACGTATTGACTCTAGCCTAGTTCAACGTCGTTAAACTCAATAACGGCGTTCTTTATTATTAGGAATTTTTTGGGGCCGTTATTGAGTTTAACCTCCTTACTATTCTTTCCTTTGATGCAAGTTCTGAATCCATCGAAACCATTTTTCCGCGATAACGTGCAACTGATACTTGACAATAATATAAAAACACATACAGTTGGGGACATAAATAAATGACAGGTGGATTTGCTGAAGTGAGGATTTCCCATGTTAAAAATAAGAGAATTTACAAGAGGCCATACATCAGTGGATGAGATTATACAAAATGTAAAATATACAAATTTTAAGGGATATATATCTAGACAATTTTGGAAATTATGGGCTTTCAGACCACCATAATTAGGAAATGGTGATCGAAAATCGACCTGTCATTTATTTTTGTCCCCAACTGTAACATCAAGCGATTTAACACAATATTTTTGTGTAAATGTTCATTTATACGAGTAAAATGAGGCTACACTTACCAATCTCTAAAGTGACATTCCGCATGTCCGTCATTGTGTCTGTTCGTCTGAGTGTCCCGCGAAACGAAATTGTTGTCAAATAGATTGATAATTATTATCGGGATTACTCGGGATAAAAAGATCAATTTTGAGGATAACAGGTATCTTTGATTAATTTATATAGCGCGTGTATACACGCAAAACAGTTATTAATTGCAAACCCACTGTTCGTTAAGGACAGGGTGCATGTTGGGAAATTTTCTGCATTCCTCAATTGAGTCACATGTTATTTTTCAAACAAGAATAACCCCCTTTCCACATTGTCTACATCTTCCAGGCTTGCACAAAGAGTGCACTTATGTGCCTAGAAAAGCCTTGTGAGAAGATTTGTTTTGTAAATTGTATAAAAAACGAGAAAATTCAGTGAAAAAAAATTCTGAAAATTTTCTGAATTTTTTCACTGAATTTTCTTGCTTTTTATACACTTTATCAAAACATCCTTCTCACAAGTCTTTTCTAGGCACATAATAGCACTCTTTGTGCAAAACTGGAAGATATAGACAATGTGGGGAAGGAGTGATTCTTGTTTGAAAAATAACATGTGACTCAATTGAGGAGTGCAGAAAATTTCCCATCATGCACCCTGACCTTAATGCAGTGCCGTGATGACGGTTAATTCCTGAAACGATTTGCAATTTCGATGTTACCGAAACTGACTGACATTTTCGTCATTTCCAAACATGTCTCCAATAATTTCGTAATTATGCATCAATAGGGTCTAAGGGGGATACGGGACGGGGTGTATGTGTTTATAAGGTATGTATGCATGTTTGAATCACATTCTTTGTGTAATATTGCCATGTTTTCAGGGTTTAATTTGTTCCGCTTGTCGAAACCTGCTGAACGATTAAATTAACGCATCAAAGGCAAAATGGTCATGGAGGTTAGACCTAGCCGGGCCATAACACATGTCAGATAAAAAACGAGGCCCGGGCTAGGTCTAATGTTGTTGGACTAGATCTAGCCCAGCCTACTTACTGAACACAGCTGGCTCAAAAGCCGTCAGCTCGGTAGAGTAACTTTTTTCGTTATTTTAACCATATGAACTGGTTCTCAGAATAAAAAATTTGAGTGTACAATGCCTGCCCTGTCAACCCTCACGCATTAGGAGTGATTGTCACGCATTTGCTAGAAAAATAGAAATCACGCATCAATTTAGCGTGTATGATCAAATATCACGCAAATCACGCATTTTGTTGATATTTTTAAAAATCGTTTTTTGTGAAATGCCGCCACGGTAAAATAGCGAAAAAAGCGAACGCATTCCGTTCGGTCTTTGCACGCGATTGCCGTTTATGTCACGTATACCAAAATGAGTGTCTCCAAGGCTTCATACCAGCGTATGCATAATGCATTTGTCACAAGTTTGCGCTGAAATTTCGCTAAAATGAAGTAAGGGTAGTCTCTGCCAGGTTTGTTTATTGTGGTTAGCTTTCATGGTAAGTGCTCAGAAGCAAATAATTCATGTGCTCAAAATAATCAAATATCCTGATTGGTTTGAACTTTGCTGCATGTGCGCACAATGTGTGCCATGGTGTTTTCTGTTGATTTCTTTTCGTTTCATGGAGTTTGCGTTTCAGTGTAACTTCCGCAAAAATGGTGGACCAATGACAGCATTAACAGGTAAAATCACTTCAAAATTTTAAGAGAACTTTTTATTTTACCTATAATAGCAAAACTTTTGTTTTATTTGTGCATTCTATTTATCAGATAAGAGTCTCAGGGGTATGAAGGCAAGTTCATTTTGGTAGGAGCACTCTGATTAGTTTGAAAACGCACTCTTTATTATTTTATATCAGCACTGTAAGTATCATGACAGAATTTTCATAACTGTCTTACGGACCTCTGCTAGATTACCTCTTCTTGGTTTCTAGGCTCAATAAATATACTCAAGGACAAGACATAAAATCTTCGAAAAATTTATATTTCCTTGATTTTGGAGTCAGTTTATCAATAATTATCACATGTCATTCCTCAAACGATGCATACTGTTGTTAGCTTCAACTCCAATCTCTAAAACCACACATTCAAGAAAGCGTCTGTTTATAAAAGCATAAAATAAGCGAGCGTATATTTAATGGAGCACTTCGGCTATCTCCATTGTTCAAATGATTATTCCCGAAGTCAAATGTATTTTCTGAGAATGTGACGCCACTCTGGATGACGTCACATCAGAGATTACCGAGAAACCCCATGACGTTTCTTTAAGATACTGTAGAAACAATAATACTGGTTTGTTAGGCTAGGAGATCCTTTACTTTCATTAGCTGTTTGTTACAATGTGACTTAATTTTAGAGACGAACAACATCGGACACTGTCGGAAATTACCGAAGCACTCCATTATCTTTACGCTCTGAAAATTTGAAATAAATGTCCCGGTAAAATTCGATTTAAAGCGTCAATAATTGATATCATGCAACCATTCAAACTAATACATAAAGAAGAGATTACAGGGTAAATATTGATCACTCAATGTTTGAGAGATGGAAAAGATAAAGGTCAGTACGAACGTCATATTTTTGGGTGGTCATTATTTGATGTACCATTTTTGGTTTGTACGTGTTTATTCTTTTGGCCTACTACCAATAGGGGCTGGATCTGGCTCTGGATCTGTGAACTGTCTCTGTATAACGTCGACACCAGTTTGGAGTAACTTTGACATATGGGGTAACTTCGACACCTAGTTGTTCATTTGCTCTAATTTTCGATCTAGGGGGAAGCCTTGTTTTTGCCTCCCATGGATCGAGATCTAGCGAGATTTAATTTTTCCAGAAATAAAACATGTATGGCAGAAAACGGAATTCTAACTTCTAGTAAGTAAGTGTCGAAGTTACCCCATTTCTTATGTCGACATTAATAAAACAAGACCTCTGTCTGGCCATTTCTGAAAAGTCAGATAATAAAATATCACCTTATCAAACATGTATTTAAACTTTGTTCATAGATAGTTGCCCTGAAGTTCATTCCTAAGTTTGGCCGCAGTGAGAAAGATTTGAGGAGTCTTAGAAAAGAAATAGAAATAATGCGAGGACTTCACCACCCTAATATAATTGAAATGTTAGACAGTTTTGAAACAGAAAAGGAGGTAAGTAGGAGTGTATCATTTTGGAATTAATTAATAATAAATCTGCCCGCTCAGGCTGGGAATTAAAGCTATATCTGCCCACTGATGAAATATAAGTTTTTACAAACCTGCTTTATGTACCTGAAACACGTCCAAGTATAAGATAAATATAGTTATCCCATAATTGCGGTCAAATCTATCTATGGAATACGTAGAATATTCCATGAGATATCACTTTTTCCACGGATTTGTAAATTCCTGCTTATGTGATGTGCATTAGTTCATGATCTTACATGGTGATTTCATGATGTCACAAATATGGAAATGATTAATGTTCACTCGTCCAGATATTGATATCAACTCATGGATAAAAATGATATCTCTCAAAATCATAGGATATCCTATACTTATCTTATAGTTGAGGTCAAATATATACGATAACATGTAAATTATGTTTATGATATTTTGCAAATGCGTGAAAAAAGTGATATCTGTGGAATACAGAGAATATTTCACAGATATTACATTTGTTCACTGATTTGAAAACTCCCGCCAATGTGACATGTATTGTTGTAATGATTTCATGGCGTCACGTGATATGAATGAATGCTGTTCACTGTGGTTGTTGTGAAATGTTTTATTATTGAACTATGGGATAAATAGAACATCCTATGAATTTTCATGATATCATTTTAATCCACTCATTGATATCAATATTCTGCACTCCTATGCTGTGATCATTCGTCCAGATGTTGATAACTCATGGATAAAAATGATATTACTCAACATCATATGATATCCATTAATTTTATTGTTTTTATTTGACTGATATCATGGGACAAAAGTATCACTCCACTGGTCAGGTGATATCATCCCCAAAGACAACCTCATCTTCTAAAAACAATATTCATTCAATTGATGATTGGATGCAATTATAGGTGGTTGCAGTTACAGACATTGCAGAGGGAGAATTGTTCCAAATACTAGAAGACGATGGAAGTCTACCAGAATCTCAGGTACATTAATTGAGTTCGTTTCTCCAATACAAAGGCTGATTGCTGATAGAAATACGTGTTATACATGTAGTTTTATATTGATTGAAAGATTACCATGTAATCAAGTCTTAGAATTCTCTTGAATTATTTGTACAAGGGTTGTTCAAAATGTTTTGCACAAATATATCTTATTGTGAAAATAATGTACCAATCTTGTTCATAGTTGGTATGTATGTGTCCATATCTTATTCCCTTACACTGTCAAAGTTTCATGTATAATAACGCCTACTACTAAACACTTTATGGTCGCTATAGTAACTACGGTGATGACGCTATGGTCCATACCATTTTGTATTTAAGATAACTAGTAAGACATAAAGATCAATGTTACTAAACATGCTAAATTAACTTACATAGACTGTCAACTTAAAGAGGGACATAGGAGGCAGACTATTGGAACAACCAAAATAACTGGATTTTTGATACTGAGCTGGTCAATTTTCTCAAAGGAGGACGTGGGTTATCGCAAACAATTTCAAATGATTCTAACTTGAATTATGAATATTTTCTGATCATGAACAAGGGTGTATCTTTTAGATCCATTCATTATCTTCAAGAAAAGTAAATATAATGATAATTTAGTTAATCAGACCTAAGTGATATTGAAGGGGCAATGGACCATGCAACGTACTTTTTCAAAAATGTTGACCTAATTTTCACCAAATGTTGTTGAATGCATAATTAGAATGTGCTTTGAGACATGTTTGATTTCCCAAAAGGAAAAGATGATTGCTCCAGGGACTTTAAAGATACAGCATTTGGATGACCAAAATGAACTGAAACCAATGGATAGCATGAGATTTTTCAATGGAGAAATAACATGGGGAACACTTATCTTAAAGCAATTAAGTTTTTCTTTCAAGAACTACGTATTTGATACATCAAAATAAAGAATAGTAATGCATTAAACATGATTGCATTTTTGGTGAAAATGGGGTCAACATCTTTGAAAAAGTGTGTTGATGGGTTTGTCAAGTATGGTTAGCGTTTCAGTCAAACGCGAGTTTTATCATTCAATATACTCTACAGTAGTATTCATAAGTATAGAAATCAATTGGCATCATTCCATTTCCTTAGTATTTCATTCACTATTTCACTCACTGTCCACTCATATAAATACCTTTGCATTTGTGAACCACGTTTATCTGTTGTGCGTTTTCCTGTGAAGTCAAGTGTGAACATGTTCGTTTAGTGTCGATGTCATCTACCTTGTCATAACACATGGCGTGACTTTGTACAATATGTGGTCAACATTTGTGAAACATACTGAGTTTTGGTGTAGTATGTAGCTGTCAACGAGAAATGTATCTGCGTATGTGCACAGACTGTCTCCTGGTATTGTCTAGTGCGTCCATAAACTGTATCTGAGTTGTATCAATGTAATATTGGACTAGTGTAAGATGTCTACCAACACGTCCAGCCTGTATCCTCACGTGGTGAACGTGATATTAGACTCTCGTTAATTCACGTGCAATGAATTATCTACTATAACGTCTGTCTACGTACAGCATAAAACCAAGTGACTATTATCACATTCATAGACTCTTATCCAGTAACGTCGATGTGAATATAAACCGACTCAAGTAAGAAATCTACCAACACGTCCAGCCAGTATCTTCACGTGGTGAACGTGATATTAGACTCTCGATAGTTCACGTGTATTGTACCATAACATCCGTCTACGTACAGCATGAGCCCAGTAACCTTCCACGTATCCAGTGTGCATGTTTTGCAGCATCAGCCGTCCAGTTTTATGTGTAGTATTAGTGTACTTTGTCTATTTTTGTAATTAATGATTTGTGATTATAAATACAATATAGTAATTTGTTTAATGAAATCAGACACTTAAGTTCATTTATTAGTTTTATTGAACCTGACAACTTGACAGGGTTGATTGCTAGTTAAATATCTCCAAGTTTGTTTGACTTAATTATTACTGTATATAATTTTCCTGTCTTCATTGTCAGAAAATAGCCATAATCCAAGATATAATTTTCTGAAATTGTTTGCGATAACCTTCATGCTACTTTCATAATAATTGAGAAAATATATTGCTTCAGATTTTGTTATAAATGTGTATCTTTTAATGTTTTGATGTTCATGTTCTGTAGTTGGATTTTAACTTCATCCTTTTGTTGGGTTGTGAGACAATTAAAAACAGAAACAACATTTTTCAAATTTAAAAGTTCTCAAGCTTAGCCAATCAAAATCAAGTATTAAGCAATGCTGTTAATTAAACTTCCTAATTCTGACTTTCTGTACCATATTTAAGTGTGGATGTAACCGGATATTTAAATGGGAGTTGCTAGCAACTTTAAAACTGGCCTTTAAATTTAAACAATTTCTGGTATAGTTCTCATGGCAAATGTGAATCTTTTCTTAATGTTTCCTATCTTGTTTTCTTTGGTTATGTCAAAGAATGACCGTAAACATACTCTTCAAACATCTTGAACAAATCACCTGATTTTATGATGTCATCAAAGTTCTCAATAATTCATGAAATATTGGAGAATGTGGCTCGAAATAATAAAGTTGAAGCAGAAAACATTGATAGAATACATGATAAAGAATAGGGAATCAGTATTACACAAGTTAAATTCATTCATTCATGCATTGTGATACGTTGTATATGATGACTCCAATAGCTTACTAAGTAGGTATTACTTGCTACATTAGTATTCCAAGATGGAATTAGAGAAGGGAAAATGTATATAGGATAGCTGTAGTTACGAGAAGGCTTGATATCCTATAGGTAGGATGATTCAGACCAGGGGCATAGCCATGATTAGGGTCGATTCGCAAGGCCGAATGCCAAGCCAAACTAGGGGGGTCTGGGTCCGGAAAAATGTGGATTTTTGGGCTTATTTGGCGCGTTCTGAGCGATTCTAGGTGCTATTCTATGGTATTGAAAATAGTATTTGAGTAGTCGTAAAAATAGATTTTGTCGTAGATTTCCAAGCCATGAATCCCATACATACAAACAATAAAAATAGAAAAACTTATGTAATTATTCATTTCTTTTTCCATTTTGAAGTTTCTACAGCCGGGATCTACAGACCCTAAAACAATACAGAGTCGCTAACCCATGCTATGATAATTATTTGAAAAACACCTAAACGAGTTTATTCTCGTTGTCTATGGTACCTTGTTCCCGGGACCTTGTTGTTTAAGGGTTCAAAAAGTTCATTCATTCATTCAATTTCATTTATTGCTTATAACATATATAGTTTACATAATTAGAAATAGTAGGTGGCGTCATTTTCAGACGCTTATACCCACACATACGAGAACAGAATATGGTGTACAAAAATTAACATAAGATCTTGAACCATTATCAGAAGTAGTCATATGAAAGTGACACTAATTTAGTTTACAAGTGATTGAAAGCTTAACTGTAAATATCTCAGATGATGTGAATGGATCATGTGAATCTATTAGGACATATGTTTATATACACATTAAGACTAAGACTCAAACAATTTATTTGAAAAAACAAACAAACTAACACATGGTGTCAAAGGTCAGCATATATGTAATACAGAATATTAAGAATGAATGTACCAAACTAAAGTAAAATCATACATGATATATAATTCGAGTAGTAGAATATCAAAGAGTTATCAAAGTTTAAAGTGATATAATTTCAAAAATCATATATAATATATTCCAATGATGATATTAGGTTGTAATCCTAGACATTTTCTCATGGTTGATAGAAATTCAATCGATAAATCAATCTACTTGTTGGATTTGCTATTCACAAGTTGTTGGTAGATCTCATGAGGATTAGAATTAATGTCCACTTCCGTACGGTGACGATTATGAAACCCTTCAAAAGAACAGAAAATTTTCCCATTAAACATCCAACAATCTTTCACAAAATCCATATTTCTCACAGTTTTCATCAGTTTGACATTCTTTCCAGTGGCGTCCTCATGGATAGCAATACCAGATTTGGCAAGTTTCTTTCTATTTTTGATCATACGTTGTCTAGCATCACTTGAGTTGAACTTCGCAATAAGTGCTCTCTTTCGACCTGGTATTTTAAGTCCAACTCTGTGTGCGACATCAATATCTGAACTAGAAATATTTGATTCAATCTGCTGGGCAACTTCAAGAATTAATGATTTACAATCTTCATTGTCCGTCTCCTCAAAGTTTAAATTACGTTACTTGTTTTGCGTAATGTAGACTAAGACTTACAGTATCTTTAACTACTTTGAGTTGTAACTGGTGATTTAAATCCTCAGAATAATTGTACATACTTTTAAGTATTAATCTATCCAATAAGTGATATAAATATTGTATTTTGAATCAATCTTCTTAATCTTAATCATCTACGGTGTCAATGTTCGAGTAAGAGTATGCTAGGCGATAAAAATGTGACACAACGATTTTTTACCCTAAATTCCATACATATCAATTTTTACTAACGCCATAAGTGGATTATTTATTATAAATGGACCGTTTTTCAAAATTCAAAAACATTTTAGAATATACTGTCCTCAAGATCTTGCTACCCTGTGAATTTTATCATGATTAGATAAGGATAAAGTATTTTAGTTTTAGGTTGACTAAACTTGAGAAAACTGTGACGCTTGTCGTTTTTGACGTTGTAAGGCTGTTTGCGCCTTATACTACCTATATTGTTTTTTTTTGGTATTTTGACACCATAATGTTACGCTAATTGTCCCCAGTTTAGTGCAATGTGTATTACCCGCTTTCAATATAGTTACAGACAACGGAGAAAAGTGCACCCTCGTTAGAAGGATATGACCCGGGGATATGACGGGAAAGGGGCACGCAGTCCATCCTCACAATGGCCCAGAATAAGATGTTTGCATAGGGTTCAAAGGCAGACTGGGCTTAAATAAACTCTGATCACTTGTTTGACAATTAAAAACATAACACTATAACAACACTATTGGATTAAAATATATGATTTACTTATTTCAATTTACACTTTTGGTTTTTGACTCTCAATAGTACGAGGCTGCGTATTCTGCATATATGTGGCTACGCTCCTGCAGACATTTACTTATGGACTGCACTGAGCGAAACACTTATTAGTACAGACCATCGATGAATAAATACCTGGGGGAAATATTGACTTTGTTCACAGTTTATAGAAGTTGTGAATACAGTCATGTTCGAATAATAATTATTATGCAAGTTGACATGCAGAAACATATATCATTACGTCCAACATTTTTGTGATCATATTTTTCAGTACATCATTCAGCAGTTGGCGTATTACTTCAAGTGTCTAAAAGTTGTTTTGCTGTTAACATGAAAAATATAATATCCACCAAATTGAATATATATAACTTTAGGTGCAAAGTATTGCTTGCCAGCTGGTATCAGCCCTCTACTATCTCCACTCTCACAGGATTCTACATAGGGACATGAAGCCACAGAATATACTACTTGGCAAAGGAGGAGTTGTCAAACTATGTGACTTTGGATTTGCAAGAGCCATGAGCATCAATACACTAGTTTTGACTTCAATTAAGGTAAACACTCATTAAAACTAAGTCTTAAAAATTTAAGATGGGATGACATTATGACATTATCAAATGTTTGTTTCATTCTTTTTATGTCTCCACCCCATATACCACTGTAGGGCTGTGCCGGAACCGGTTCGGACGGTTCGGAATCGGAACCGGAACTTGGTCTCACGGAATCGGAACTTTCGGAACCCCTTTTGGTTCACAAATGAAAATAATTATGTATGAGTGAGTTCGACGGCGATCATGACGATATCGTCGTCCAAGTTTGTCAGGTTAACACTTACCTTTCCTGTCAAGCAAGTTTGAATGTTTTTACGAAAGAAATAGACTCTAAAATCAATTAATCTGATATTGTAAGAGTTAAAATGTAATTAATTAACGCTGTTAGATTGTAAGACGTCATGGAAAAGTAAATTTATTCATTTATCTATGAGTATTTTCGCCCCGTCGATTCCTACTTCCAATGAAATCCGAAGGTCAAAGTTCGTAAAACAAAACTTGATTTCTGTTGATTTCTCCGCTATTTATTTTGTTTATGCGAGTAATACACATGCAAATTGGATGTAGTTTGAAGGAAAACATCACTGGAGGAACAATGGTCACGGATATTAACGATTCAAAGCAAGTACTAAGGTAAGGGTCCGATATTGTTCCGAAACCCTTCGGAACATGATATTAAAATTCCGAATTCCGGTATTTTAACAAAAGTCCGCGGTTCGGACCGATTCCGGTCGAATGGCACGGCCCTATATACCAGTAGTGTGGGGCCAAATTATCGGCCTATGTGCGTATGTTTGTCAGTCTGTCTATCAGTATGTCCATACATCAGACAGTGTTCTCCAAAACCGCTACTTGTATCACCTCCATCTTTTCGTTGATAACCTTTGAGTACAATATGAAATACAAAAAATTTCACAAACCTGTTGTTTTAAATTTTCTTAAATGTATTCAGTGGCAATGATTTTTTAACTCTGAATTAATTTAATAATAATAGAAATAAAAAATAATATTATAAAAAAGTAGATAAATGTTTTCAAATGAAATTGTTACCATTTAGAAGACCATGGCCATAACATTCATTGACAATGTGTAATTTTTCAGAATTTTTAATGACTGGTTTAACTGAGAAAATTGTGTTCAATTTAGTACACCATATTGCTACCAATCATTTGTTCTTCTAATTTTTTCATCCCATTTGGTTAAAATTGATACATGTAAGGTAAAAATCTTATCTATTCCAGGGAACCCCACTATACATGTCACCAGAGCTTGTAGAAGAAAAACCATATGATCACACTGCTGATTTGTGGTAAGTCAATATATCACTTTAAGCAAAATTATATATTTAATCAAATAATGACTTAAATGGTTTTATAAAAGTTTCTCATTTATTTTGGTCAAAAGGAAAACTATTTTAAACCTTGACCATTGTGTCTAAGCAAAACTTTGGCAATACAATAAAACCTGTCTAATCCAAACACCATTGGGACCGGCTAAAAGCGTTCAGATTAAGAGGTGTTCACATTTCAAGGTTTTGCATTTGCAATATTCTGGACTTTGTAACAAATGTAAACTAATTCTCAGTAAAAATCTATAGTTCTTTTGACCACATCGCTTTTACATTCCATTAAGTTGAAAATTCGATTCAAATGAACTTAGTCTTGTTAGAAAGCCCCATTGAGATTGAGACCATTCAAGGTTTCTCTAAAATTTTTGATATCATGACAAATCAGTGTTTAACTTTCAAATATTTGTATGAAACATGTAATATTTTATGAAAAGTGTTCAAATTAGACAGGTTTATTTTTCAATATGACTGTTCACTTTTCAAATTGGGAATTGTTCAAATTTCAGGTTTTTTTAGCTCACATGGTGGCTATTGCAATCGCTCACTTGTCCGTCTGTCTGTCTGTCAACAATTGGCCAGTTTTAAAATCTCTGTCAATAGGATTCCCGTTTTAAGTTATTGATGTTCAGCATCAATACAGAAAACTCCCCTATGACTCCTGGTTCAAAAGCTCGCCAATTTTCAAAATGGTCGCTATTTTTGTCTCGCAGAATTCACTTTTGGCCCATTTCCTAGCTTTACAAATAATTTCAGTTGTCTTGCATTGTAAAAAGCCATGTCACTGTAAAGAGAAGTTGTATGATATAATTTTGTTACAAAAAATCGGGAAAACATTATATCCATTTTTTTATTTTCTGCCATTTTAGTTAACTTTGATTTGTCCATCTGTCTCTCGAAATCCACTTTTGGTCCATTTCTCTTGAAACCTCTGTCGATAGGCTTCCCCTTTCAAGTTATTTTTGTTCAACATCAATACAGAAAACTCCCCTATGACTCCTGGTTCAAAAGCTCGCCTATTTTGAAAATGGTCATCATTTCTGTCTTGCGAAATTCATTTTTGGCCCATTTCCTAGCTTAACAAATAATTTCAGGTGTTCTGCATTGTAAAAAGCCATGTAAATCAACAGTACCATGTACAGTATAGCATTTATTTATTGAGAAATATAGACCGAAGAGCAGGGGTAATATCATCGAATACACCCCGCAGTGCTAGGCACAAACGTTCTCTGTACAAAAAGCTTTTGTGCCTAGCCCTAAGGGGTGTATTTGACGATATTACCCCTGCTCTGAGGTAGGGCTGTGCCGGAACCGGTTCGGACGGTTCGGAATCGGAACCGGAACTTGGTCTCACGGAATCGGAACTTTCGGAACCCCTTTTGGTTCACAAATGAAAATAATTATGTATGAGTGAGTTCGACGGCGATCATGACGATATCGTCGTCCAAGTTTGTCAGGTTAACACTTACCTTTCCTGTCAAGCAAGTTTGAATGTTTTTACGAAAGAAATAGACTCTAAAATCAATTAATCTGATATTGTAAGAGTTAAAATGTAATTAATTAACGCTGTTAGATTGTAAGACGTCATGGAAAAGTAAATTTATTCATTTATCTATGAGTATTTTCGCCCCGTCGATTCCTACTTCCAATGAAATCCGAAGGTCAAAGTTCGTAAAACAAAACTTGATTTCTGTTGATTTCTCCGCTATTTATTTTGTTTATGCGAGTAATACACATGCAAATTGGATGTAGTTTGAAGGAAAACATCACTGGAGGAACAATGGTCACGGATATTAACGATTCAAAGCAAGTACTAAGGTAAGGGTCCGATATTGTTCCGAAACCCTTCGGAACATGATATTAAAATTCCGAATTCCGGTATTTTAACAAAAGTCCGCGGTTCGGACCGATTCCGGTCGAATGGCACGGCCCTACTCTGAGGTCTATATTACAATTCGAACATGAAAACTCACCAAGATGTTTCGAATATTCAATATGGTCTATCATTACTACAACCTGCCGTTATGATGTCACACATTACACATATTATCAGGGTATTCTTTGCGAATGTAACCTGGGTGAAATGTTGACTTTGTGTACAGTTTAAAGAAGGCATGAATACAGTCATGTTCTAATGTTTTATAGGGCTTTAGGGTGTATACTATATGAATTATACACTGGTCAACCTCCATTCTATACCAACAGTATATTCCAATTGGTCAGCATGATTATTAAAGACCCCCTTCGCTGGCCCAAAGATATGGCACCAGTGTTTAAAGACTTCTTACAGGGACTTCTCACAAAGAATCCTGCACAAAGGATGACATGGCCAGAAATCTTGTATCATGAATTTGTAGCAGAGGGAGTTGTTGGTAAGCTAAATGTCTCTTGTTACATTAGATAGAAGTTTGAGTTAAGACGTAAATCAAAACTGGATACAATTTTCCAAAAAACATTGAGTCCTGTGTGCTTGAATTCTTCATGTTAAGCAAAAACATTTTGATACATTTTGCACATGTGTACACATATTGGGTGATTATGAAACTTTTGACATGTTTCTAATTACTCTAGTATCTGATGAGACCATGGACCTGAAAAGTCCATTCACTCGCCCCCTGTCAGCATCCATGGCAGTGGCAAAACAGAAACAAGCTCAAGAAAAAAGGCATCCCCCTGGAACATCAAAAATATTGAACAAAGCTAGAAAAAAGGCAGAAAAGGTATTTCTAATTGTTAATAATATGTGTCTATCCATGCACTAGACATGCACCGTTGCATTCATCATTACAGGATTTGTAGCTTAGAATCATGACCGACAATGACAAACTGTCATAAATCATTAGTGTTAATGTGACTGGAACATGTGGAACAAGGCCCTAAAGAAAAAAGACCAACTTAGGCAAAGGCTGCATAAGCCAATGCATTGATAAATGCATCTAGTCCTGTTTTGTTTAGGAACCTGAAAAGTGTATTTGTGAGTTATTGCCACGATTGCATGGTCTGCAGCCACCTAAAGGACTTGCATTATCAAGTGCTAACACAAGAAATATTTATTTCTTCAACCCTGATTTTGTTTTGTGTTTTTGCATTTTAGAAAGGGGAGAAACAGAAGGAAGCCTGGGGTACTGACCCTCCAGTACCCCCCTCAGGTCAAGGGGAGGGACAGCCATTGCCAGTACACCCAGAGAGACCCCACACAAGACAGTGGGAGAAAACTAGCATTCCTGTGAGTTCTAAATTGCAATGTGAAATCTCAACTGGAGAATCAGTTTGACTGTTGATTTTGAGGCTGTTTACTCAAAGCTATTGTGCACTTAATAATCTTGATGAGTGAATTTGGTATGGATATACTAAAGGCCTCACTCTGTAAGTCTACATTCGTGTGGATTTTTATCACTGTTCTATGGATGATAATCTAGAACCAATTAGATTTTGTGCACTTTGGGTAAATGTCAATGGGACCACTTTTAATATTTCACTCTAAAATCTTGCCTGTAATTAGTCTTGTCTTCTATTTACATTTCAAGCCAAAGAATTTGATGTATTGTTCTGAAATTTTTAGGAGGGTGTAAAAGTCTAAAACTGTGATTAGAATTATTAGTGAATTATTGTTAAACTTGTGTCAGTGTGTTTTGTTTATTATAAAGCCATTGAAATTTGATTTTGTACATGAAATTGAATTTGAACATATTGCACCATTAAAATGTGATCATGGGAGCTGGAGGTGCTCAAGGTTTCAGCTGCAGAGAGTCTGATATGATTATTCAGATATCTAAATTTTTCAAAAAATCATAAGAGATGCATTTAGGGATAAGAGTTTACTAGAGAGATAAGTGTTTTTTTGTGCAGTTTTTGTTTTATCTAGTAAATAAAATGTCAACTCATTTCAGGAAGTCGACCCCACTCCAAGGCCAGATAGGATAAGTCAGGACTATGCCCAGGAGTACCCTAGTATTGAAGTAGAGAGTAGGAAACTCACCAAGACAACTGACAAACATAACACTATTGAGCAGGTTAAATTGGAGGAAGGACAGGAGGTAAATGCAGCAATTGATGGAGGGTGTTTGTTTAGTAGACACATTTATCACAAAATATTTTAAAATGTACAGTTCAATTTTCAACAGTATGTTAATTCAGACAAAATTGCCATTCATGAAAATATGAAAGAATGAATAGTGCTGAACAAATGCTTCTTAATCATATAAAGCTCAATTTTGGGGCTATTTTGAGTAATTTACAAAGCAGCCATTTAGCTCATCAAGTGTGACACTTATCAATGTGTGTCTTGTCTATATTTTAAGTAGAAAATTTTGTCCAGAATTATACATATCATGAAAATGCTCCATCAAAATCAATGGTTCATGAAAATTCTAAGGATTGGAGTGTGTCCATTGTTTTCAACCCAAGTATAAGAAATGCATGTGTCTAGCTGAACATGCTCTTGTCCACAAACAAAAAATTAGAAGATCAACATACTTTCAGAAATGAAAGCATAAATCCACTTCAAAATAAAGTTAATATATTTGTCATCTCTAGGCTGGAGATAGTGAGGATGAGTGGCAACTCTGCTGTGATCAGACTGACCCTGAGAATGCAGACCCTGATGATGTCATGGCATTCCTAGGTGACCAACATTTTATTGCGAAACTCAAGACAAAACTTGAAAGCACATCATCACAGGTTCTTGCTGGTGGCCTTGAGGGCGCTTCACAACTGAGAGTTCTACTTAAGGTCATTTCTAACATCATAACAATAAAATGGTAGGTTGTTTATATTAATAAACTAAAAGTACAGTGAAGAGGACCTTTAACCAAAACACTTAATTTGAATAATAAAATATTTAGTATATTGGAGACACTTCATACCAATAATACATAGATAGCAATACGTATTATGTATCAGTGGCTTATGTAAGACCAGGCATAATCACTGGTTTTGAAAGTCACTGTTTGCATAATACTGTATATTGTTTCATGGCAGTTCTTAATTTTTTATTTTCTGCTTGGGCTTTCAGTGATGCAGATTTGTTAATATTGTTTTTGAAATAGTATATTAGACATAACATACTTTATTCTAGTATTTATTTTATTTCTGCTTGGTTTTTTCAGTGATGCTGATTTGTTAACAACATTTCTAAGCAGCACAGGGATACCTGACCAACAGATCTACCTCATACAGAAGATTGTTGACAGTGCTAATGTAAAGCAGGTAGGTCACATCTCATTCTACTAGCAACAGATCTACCTCATACAGAAGATTGTTGACAGTGCTAATGTAAAGCAGGTAGGTCACATCTCATTCTACTAGCAACAGATCTACCTCATACAGAAGATTGTTGACAGTGCTAATGTAAAGCAGGTAGGTCACATCTCATTCTACTAGCAACAGATCTACCTCATAGAGAAGATTGTTGACAGTGCTAATGTAAAGCAGGTAGGTCACTTCCATTCTACTAGCAACAGATCTACCTCATACAGAAGATTGTTGACAGTGCTAATGTAAAGCAGGTAGGTCACATCTCATTCTACTAGCAACAGATCTACCTCATACAGAAGATTGTTGACAGTGCTAATGTAAAGCAGGTAGGTCACATCTCATTCTACTAGCAACAGATCTACCTCATACAGAAGATTGTTGACAGTGCTAATGTAAAGCAGGTAGGTCACATCTCATTCTACTAGCAACAGATCTACCTCATACAGAAGATTGTTGACAGTGCTAATGTAATGCAGGTAGGTCACATCTCATTCTACTAGCAACAGATCTACCTCATACAGAAGATTGTTGACAGTGCTAATGTAAAGCAGGTAGGTCACATCTCATTCTACTAGCAACAGGTCTTCATCAAAAGCAGGTGATTTCTTGAGATGCTTTTACAAAAATCCTTGTGTTTTTTATTTTTAAGGGTGTTACTATCTCTATGCTAAAATAAGAACATCAAGCCCAACAAGAACTTAGAATTTTTAATGTGTCAGGAAAGGTTGTTCTATTAGGAAAAGTGTGTCTTAAATATTAGCAAAAAAGTTAAAATGGGCATAATGTGAAAGGTTTTATCACACTTTCTCAAAGTGCTATTATTATCATCATTTTGTGTTGATAGTTAAAGTGAATATATTTTCCATACATATATCTCTTTGTTATCTTCTTAAGTGGATTTTACATGTATTACCCTGTAACGTCAATCCCACCAAGACAAAGAAAATGAATTCGAAACTTAATAAGTCTTATTTTATGTGTTTCAGCAACCTTGGTGTCAACAAATACTTCTAGATCTAGTCATAACCATCCATGCTTTCATTGCATCAGAACTTGGTCAAACAGAGCACCCAAGTAAAAAGGGGTAAGGCAGTAATCTACTCATATTCAACAGCATTTGGTTTCCCCTCATAATGTTTAACAAACGAGCACATATTCTGTATATTTGTTTTTATTATTTATATTTAGGGAGCAGCTGTACTGTGATAGCTGTATGCAGTTTTTTGGTCTCATCCCAAAGCTGTTGTCACAGAAGCTTGATTGTGACCTCAGACTCAGGGAACAGACTCTCATGGTAAGTCAGGTATTACTTCTACAACCAGATGCATCAAAGGGGAGGGGACTGATAAATGTCCTAGCAGCCTCTAAAAGATACTTTAAATTCTGAGAAGCAATCAAGTTTGACTAACAATTCAACGAATATATTTTCACACCATATACTAGAATTGACCCAACTGTGAACCCCCCTTAATAATCAGCCTTGATTATTTTTGATCTTTTTTGTTTACATATGAATAAATAGGTTTTGAGTAATTGTAGCAATATCTTTATTGAGCTTTTGCTGTTTTCCATTTTAATAGATTTTTAGACTCTATATTTTCTTGTTCTTATTTATATATTTCAGTGTGTCATCTTCCTTTGTGAGAGCCTAGAGAGGAGTAAGTCTGGTATCCCAGACAAATTACTAGCTGGCCTAGCTAATGATCACACTTTAACAGTGGAGACATTTCTTCATGCTACTCAGGAAGACACTGTTGCCATAGAACAGCTGCAAGGTACATGTTCAATTGTTCATGTGTATGTTGGTCTTATCAGGAAGTTACCATTGCTTCAATTGACAAGAGAAATGATGCTGTTAAGGCCTAGCATAAAATAATGCTTTAAAGTGCAATTTTTAATGTGGAAATCAGATAATTTACTAAATCTAATTTTGTGATGTTAGTATTAAATGGAAGAAAAAGATTAATCATTGTTTCTACTAATTTGTGACAAAATCTAGTTTAGCGATCGCTCAAAAACAAACATTTAAGATTACAAACCTCAACAGTTTTTCTCTAAAATATAATTAACGAATTGAATGTATCTTCATGAAATGTTAATGTTGTGTGTTTAGAAGTATGTGAGGGCAATATGGAGGCAGCAGCTAGTAGGATGCAAGACATCATGTCCCTGGGAGTTGCAACATTAACTGCTCTGACTCATCAACCTATTGAGCCAATCAATTGCACCAAGGGAAAACAAATGGTTAGACACTGATGTATATTGCATCTTAACTCTACCCAAAACCACTTTTGTTTAGTGGGTGGGAAATATAACATTGCTTCTCAGTAGACCATCAAATAAATTTTAGCATACACATTCTCATTCCCAACAGATTTCCACTTTTGGAAATTAGAAAGTTAAATGTTTATTATTAATTTTGCAGGTGGCCAAGGCTTTAGCAGGAGTGCTTATTATGCAGGAGAATGAAGACTTAACAAACAACTACCTCAGACTTGTCATGTTTCCAGATATGACTTGTAATGTCATAAAGGTATTTCAAATATGGTCCCTAATTGTGTCAAACTGTTTTTAGATATTTCATAAAACGTAATTCCTCAGAGGTCCACCTGTGTCATTAATTCATAATTACACATTTCTCATCAAATGTCACAGATGTATATAAAATATGTCTACTACACGGGTGTTAAAACACGAATATACCATGAGCACATGCTTTGAGGATCCGCATTGTTTGAACCTACCGCCGAGCACACTTATACATTAAGACCCGTTACACAGTCATGATACCGCCGAGCAAGCTCATTGCATCATCGGGTCTGCTTTACCCCCGTGTACTATACTAGTGTCACAAAGGTATTCGAGATATTTCACCTAATGTCACAAAGGTTGTCTAGTTGTATTTAATGTTGAATGTTTCAGATATCTCATCTCATGTCATTTAGATATTTCAGATGTCTTGTCATAAAGGTATCCTAGAATTGTTATCTAATATGTATTATATTCACTGGCATGTAGCGATTATAGCGGTCCTGTCTTGGCTTATTGAATTGTTACGAAGTTACGTATGCGGTGCGGAAGTTAGAGAGCAAATGACCATCATTTCAATGTAATAGTTTATGCAGGAAAATTGAGATTAGGCCATTGGAGTATTTGTTTCATGCATTTGTAAAACATTACCCACTCATAGGTCATACTTATCGTTAAACCAATAACTCAAATATATGCCCTTGTACACCGATCACCTGTTGAAATTAATACAGGCCGATTTCAACAAATGTAAACGGCGATATATTTAAAATCGTATTCAAGCATGACCACGTCCCAGCTTCTTTAGTTTTCTTTACAACTAAGCTATGACTGCAGTCTATTCAGTGTTGCGTATCGAACCTTGTTTATTATAAAAATAGTGCAACAACAAGCAAAATTCACACATTTACCTTACACTTATTCTGAACTGAAGACATTGAATTTATCTCTTAGGTTTTACATTATAAATATCTTAAGATGCAGAATACGAAAATAGAGGCTTAGTCTGATTTTAGAGAAATGAAAAGAAAAATGTCCACACCCTACACAAAATATTTATGGTTCCCCGGGAATACGTATGTGCTGCTTGTATATTAGAATCGTATTCCAGTTACAGGAAGAAGTACATATCATGGTAAACTATATACAACAGTTATGCACTTGGAGGTTTTGGATACAGGGAATATCCCGAGGGATATATAATATATCTTCCCTTGGTCCCTTCGGTCCCTCGGGAAGATATATTGTATATCCCTCGGGATATTCCCTGTATCCAAAACCTCCAATTGCATAACCCCTATATATTGGCCAAGGGATAATCCCAATATCCTGAACCGCGACTATAGGATAATATGTTTATCCCATACCAATCTTGGTCATCTGGTTCACATTGTTAAATCGTGGAAACATTTTAGAATATTATGTCCAGTTTTGTTTTCTTGGCCGTGGGCGGATTTTCATATTCCCATATTTATTTTCTCGAATTTTTTATTGATTAAGTGGATGCTCTTTCCTTTTTTTTAACTATCAAACAGACCCTGATTGTCTGTGTTTTCTCCATTGCCGTTTACAGTCATTCCGCGAACGTTACAAATTATGAACAAATATGCAAGCGGCGATTATGACGTAGCGGGCAGATATACTATATCTGCCCGCTTGGAGCGGGACGTAAAGCTTTATCCCATGGTTGCAAGGAGGATATAGATCGAATATCACATGATGATATATTTGATATGTGGATCAAGATATCATATTTTAGCAAACAATTTACAAACCATCGAATATCACTTTTAAACTATCGAATATCACATCTTAAATAGAGGATATCCTATGATTTATGAGTGATATGATCTTTATCCACGAATGGATATGATATCTGCACGAGTGAGCGTAGCGAGAGAGTGCAGATATCAACATCCATGAGTGGATTAAAATCATATCACGAGTAAATCATAGGATGTTCTTTATATTCCATAGTTAAAGTCATCATCAGAATCGTCGGGAATTAAGTGATTTAAAACGTATTTTCCAAACGATACGGCGATATTGACACTTAGCCTCGTTTTGAGTCTGAAGTAGCAAAAATCCATAAACCATGGCATACGGCGCCGTATGTCATGGCTAAAACACCGTATGCTATGGTTAAGTGAAAATTTGCCAAAAATATCATATTTTACCACTGATTTCAAAAATACCGTTTTTATTTTGACATGTTATCCTATGGATATCATGCTAACTATGGAATAATGTAGGAATATCCTATGGCTCTGAAAAATATCACTTATATCCATGAGTGGATATTGATATCTTCGCGAGTGAGCGCAGCGAATGAGTGAAGATACTGATATCCATGAGTGGATATAAGTGATATTTTTGAAAAACCATAGGATTGTCCGTTTATCCCATTGGGAATTATTATCCAGTGAACATTGAATAGTCAGATAAATTGCAATGGAAATTCCATTTCGTCTGACATTTTGATTGCGATAATTCAACGAACGTCATATACGTGACGTAACAGAGTGGTGTGTATTTAATGCGAACGCCGTAAATACAAGATCCCAAAAAATAAAAATATATAATAAATATATAAACAATCGTTTTGCTGAATTAATAAAAAAAATTGAAAAAATCAAAGCCATCTAATATCACCTTTGAAACCATCAAATATCACTTTTGAAACCATCGAATATCACCTTTCAATAAGTGATATTCGATGGTTTCAAAAGTGATATTCGATGATTTGGGAATTGTTTGCTAAAATATGATATCTTCATCCACGTATCAATTATATCTTCACGTGATATTCGATATATATCCTTGTAACCATGGGATAAATAAGGGTTATGTACTGGGAGGTTTTGGATATGGGGTTTTTCCAGAGGGAGATATGCATATCTACCTGAGGGACCGTAGGGACAGAAAGTAGATGTGCGTATTTCATACTTGAGTGGGTTTGGGGTAGATATCACCCGGGAATATATATCATATCTGAGGAGCGGGCAGGATATATTGTATATGTCCCGCTCTAGGCCAAATGCGGGCAGATATAATATATCCATCCCGCTCCCGGGAATTTTTTCAAAAGTTTAAAAAAGTTTAAAAAATTTTAAAATTTAAGTTTCAGAAGTTTAAAATTTTTCAAAAAGTTGAAATGTTACAATTCTATTGTATTGAACTGAAGGAATATTATGAAAATGTTAAATATTAATTGTGCTTTTACAGTAAAGGCCTATCTTGTCATTTGAAAAAGGTGGAAAGGGTTATATCTACCCCAAACCCACTCAAGTAAACCCACTCACTTATGTACGGTCGGTTTTGGATACAGTGTTTATCCCGCGGGAAATATGTGTATCTCCCTCGGTCCCTGCGGTAGCTCGTGAGATACACATATTTCCCTTGGGATAAACCCTGTATCCAACACCTCCCAGTACATAACCCTTATATATCTCACGAGGGATGAACCCAATATCCAAACCGACCGTACATAACTGCTTTATCCTATACCAAGTAGAGTTTTCAGTAGTACAAGGTGTAAAAAATAAACAAATCATTCATATGCAAAGTCATTTTATTGCATTTCCACTTTTTTTGAAGCGGGAAGATACGCCCCGAAGCGGGAAGATATGCACCGAAGCGGGAGATATGACGGGAGATATGGAGGTTCTTGATATGGAAACCTCAAAATCAGGATACGGGATATATCTTACCAACTTATCTCCCTAAAACCCTACTTGGCATAGGATAAATCAAGATAATTTCTACTCGCATCTAGTCTATTCCACATGTTTGGGAAAAGTGTACAGGAAAATCTCCATGTTCAATTGATGTATGATCAATATATACGAATCGAATGTATTCTCGTGTGCATTACAATATCCACATTGAAACATTTTTGGCCTGCAATGGACGTATAATGAATTAGAATATGAGGCCGTGTTATCATTCTAATGTAAAGTCATGGTATTTACTGTGGTATTGGGTTGCAAGTTAATATCAGATTCAATGCAAATTAATCATCTAATATCAGATGCGCGATCAGTCCAATAATCTAATTTCAGGTCATCAGTTCGATATCTAGCACTTGTTCTAACGACACGGTATTACTAGGCTATCATATTATAAATACACACACATATAAAACAATCAAACTGGTACACGATATAAGCACGACTGCTCTTTCAATTGAGTATAAATGTTGATAAACTTTCCCGGAAGCCAAGACATACACGTTTAGACGATGCTATTTTCAGTTCAGTGTAAGAGTAAATGCCCGGATATCGAGGCTTTTTCGTGTAAAGTTTTAACCAAGCATCTAAAATCGGGTTATATTGCGTGTAGAATTTATCGATATCAGGGCCGCTACATGCCAGTGTATATTCATGAAGGTATTCCAGTATTATCCGATTTAATGAAAGGAGCATGTAAGTTATGGCAAGCCATTTTCAAAGGGCTATATCTTTAGTTCGAAAAATAATTTAACCACAAAATCAAATGGTTCTGTTAGATCCATGTCTTATCTTCAATAAATGACATTAGGATGATAATCAAAATGATTGGATTATCTCTTAAGCTGTCCCTAATCCACCCATCCTCACCAATTTCCCCTAATTCAGACGCAATTTTCACCAAAAGTGCAGGCCTTTTTAATAATTTTTAGTGCAAAGTTGTATTGAACTTTCAGACATGATTTAAACTGTAAAGGGGAAAAGTTAATTATGAACCTACTTTTTGGTATTTTTTTTCGTGATTTTTTCGGATTTTTTCTGATATTATAAGGTGCTTCATACTTATATTATACAATTACAAAATAGAGGGCAGCTAAGTGTCATGAATAATTTGTTTCGCTGTTTCAAACACTCGGATAGTGACTTACTCAGCCTTATGGATTGCCTTAATCCTGTATTTTACCTTGACAATTGTTTGTGTATAAAACAGTTGTGTCATTCACGTAGAGCTATTTATATACTGAATAGTTCTTTCTAATTACAATGTGCCTGGTTTTGGCTATTCAACCTAGACTCTTTGTTTGGGCAGGCTGAAATGAATAAGTGTAAAAATAAAATGAATCACAGGGTGAGGCAAAAAATGTCATCCAAAGAAATGTTATTAGCTCATTCATCCAGTATGAGTTGAAATCATATTTAGTTAATTTTACCATGTAAAATCTTTTTGTATTTAACCATGTTTTATGGGTCCATTCCTCAAGGTCACAATTCTATGGCCATTCTACAAATTTCAGCCTCATCCCTTCAGGCAGACCTGCACTGGTCGGTTGAGAATGTAAGGTCACCATCACAGAAATTGTTCTCCTACTTGTTGTAGGGGTTGACATTATCTCAGAGATAGCCCGTAGTCATGAGATGAGGCTGGCATTTTGGACCATGTTTCGTTTTATAGCCATAAAATCCAAGACTATTTGGGCAGGGTCGATAATAACGACATTTCTAAGGGCAATATAGTGAAATATTGGACCGAGGGCCAATAAAATCCAAGACTATTTGGGCAGGGTCGATAATAACGACATTTCTAAGGGCAATATAGTGAAATATTGGACCGAGGGCCAAAGGCCCAAGGTCCAATATTTCACTATATTGTTCGCAGAAATGACTGGTCGTCTAAGGTATAGCAACATGTTCAGTTTGTAATTTTATAGAAGGTCACTGAATCCTCTAATCGTTCATTCAGCTATGGATAAACTATGAGTACTGGGTTTTATGAGAAATAATAGCAAAGGGGCTTGGCCTGAGGCTATTAGCTCTCATAAGACCCATTTCGAATAATTTATCTAACTTAAAACCCACACTGACTCTTAGGAAGGGTAAATGACCCATGATCCAAGTTTAGAAAAATTCTTTTGTATTAACTGTGAGGTAAATGTGTAGAGAAGTGGGTTGTTTTAATTGGTTCAGCTTCAATGCACCGCATGTATCAGGCAAGGTACAGTTAAAAAGTGTATTTATTTTGTGTTTACAATTCAACTATTGAGTGATTGAAAATGGTTTAATAAGTACAGCTTCGGTGCACTGCATGTGACAGTCAAGGTGTAATATTGAGCCAAACACTGTCAATCATATTTTGTACCACACTGGTTTTAGATAGCTTACAGTGTCCATTCTCTAAAAACAATACAACAAGAATGCACTCCTCTTTCTTACTACTGTACATTCTTGAAGGTGAACAAGTCTTCAAATTGATCATTTTTTCAAAATGATCGTCAGGGTCTCAAAAATTCAAATCTGACTTTAGATTTTACAATTATTGACCGCCAATGACCTCAAAGTAAAGAGGGTCTAAAAGGTATTTTTCAACTTGCTTCGAATTGACCGAATTTTCAAAATCACCTACAAGTTCTCAGAAGTCAAATCTGACTTTTGATTTGACATTTGACCTCTCAAGTTCAAAAAGTTTAAAAAGGCATTTTTCAACTTGCTTCAAATAACCTTTTCTTTTCAGGATTTGACTTAAACTACAAGGTGGTGACATTCGTATCTCATACCCATGTACATGGGTGGTGATACAGTTTTGAAGGGTTCAATTTTTAAAGTTCTAAAAGATTATTCAATCTAATGCTATCTGAGGTATAAATACATTCATAGTATCCATAGATGTGAAATTCGTCTAGTCAAAGATAGATAGATATAGAGTCATAAAATAAAGCCAGAATTGTTAATGTTAGTTTTTCATTGATTGTCAAAATAGCGCCATTCAAACATGTAGGTCTACAAGTGCATTAATGCACCAACAATTCATATAATCTGAATAATCTGAAACCTTAGAATTAAACTCTTCAAAGAATATATCATGCCCCAAGTACGCGGGTACGTGGGTACGAGGTATAAGGTTTTTCATACAAAGCCCGAGGTATTGACTGAGGGAATAGAGTGATCGAGTGACAATATCATAATTACACAAGGCAATACACCTATTGTCAAAGGGTAAAACCCATAGCATTAAACTGTTTATTCCATAAAAATCCCAAGCAGCAAAAACAATCCAATAAAAAGAACAGGCGTGTTTATTGGCAAATAATATCCCCATGGTCAAAATAAATAATTCTTAGGTGTAACATGAAGAATAGAATGTTATAACTCTTTGGAAAATATTAAAGTGCTCGGGCAAATATAGGCTGAGATAGGGGCCATTTAGTTCAGTAAGGTTGTATTGACTTACATGGGACTGTGCATCATTGACTTAACATGAGGATATCAGCAGATCCCTATAGAGGCCATTGGTTTCCATTGATTATCACCAAAATACTAAAGATACACTATATACACCTGAATCGACTGCAACCTTAATAATTTCATAATATGACACAAATGATTTATCTCATCAATTGTGCAAATATGAAGTTTGCAATCGATTCAGGTCATACTTAAAATTAAATGATTGTGCATTTTTTCATCTTTTTCCCCCTACAAAATGGCTATAAAAAAATGCTCCAAAAACAACTTTTACACTTATCAAAAATCATACAACTTTGTATAACCAAAGAATATACTATTATGTTTCATTATGTAGTAACATATGTGGATAAGATGTAGGGATGCTTAGGATGCAAATGGATTTTGACAGACATAAAAATACTTCCTGGTTTGGAATCTATGCCTCTACACTTCATGATTGAATTATGACCCTAATAAGTGGCCTATACATCAATACAGTGCTGAATATAGGTCAACAAGATACTAGTGTGCATATAAACACATTTATGTTTTACTGAACATACTTTACACGACACAGTCATGTTGACATATCCATGCATGCTCATTTCTATAATACGCAATTATGCAACAATGAATACACACTCAGGGTATTAAGCACATGTAGAATATATCATGCCATCTATGGAACATATATAACTCTATCTATAAACATCATTGCATAAAATAGGGTACATCTAAATGTCACTCTAAGTGACATCTTTTCATACACTTCACACTAAGGTCATGGCCTATGAGGTAAAAATGACAAATGGATTAACAGATAATGCTTATCTCATTTAGATCATTTTTTTCTTTTTGGAAATCAATCATGTGACATAGCTCAATGTTTTCGTGCATTAATCTCATTAAAAAATTGCTACTTTTAGGTCAAAAATTCGGCCTAAAAAAGTTATTGTTTTTGGATTATACTAATCCCAAAGTAATCAAGTTTTCCTTTTTAGAGGTAGATCATTCCTTGCAATAAATTGTAATTTTGCCATAAAAGCTGAAATAAAATGCTGCATTTTTGGTGAAAATTGCGTCCGAATTAGGGAAAATTTGGTGAAGATGGTTGGATTAGGAACAGCTTAAGAGATAATCCATTCAACTTGATTATCATCCTACTGTCATTTATTGAAGACAAGACATGGATCTAACAGAACCTTTTGTTTTTGTGGTTAAAGTATTCTTCGAACTAAAGATATAGCCCTTTGAAAATGGCTTGCAATATCTTACGTGCACCTTTCACAAGTGTTTATATTCAACTTAGTTTTCATAGGCAATTGCAAGATCCATTTGAATCATACTTTTGATGCACTTATCCATTTGGATTATTGACAGTTGCAGTCAGATCTACAGAGTTTGATGAAGACTATATGATAAAGACTATATAATAATAATGATGGAATGTCTTTTAAAGGTGTTGTATGCCACAAGTCAAGAATCTACAGGCATTTGTTCTTTCCTGGCCTGCAGTGCAAGACATATGACAATGATTTTAGCAGTTTTAGAGGGAAAGGTAATGCAAGGCAATAAAATACAATACATGCGCCTCCAATAATTTGTAAAAACCTTTTCTCATTGAACTTCAAAAATCAGTCAAAATTGGGATTACTTGGAAGTACTAGTCATATAAATTGACTTTATTTTCATTAGTCAAACGCAGCACCATTTAACACACAGTTCAATGAGGAATAGGGTTTCCAAACTTTTGGAGGACAGTGTACACTATTTAATTAATTGCTGAATATTTTTTTATAGTTGAAATCCATACAAATATCAAAACTTGAAAAATGATAATCCCTGACCTATTAGTTAGCAGTACATTAAGTTCCAAATTGAAATAAAACTGCTTGTACCTTCTCAATTTGAAAAGGCAATTAATTTTGAACGATTTTGAACAATTTTTCAAGCTTCAATTCTTCAGAAAATCAGGTTTATACCCTACTCTATTGATTCAGTGAGTTACATCTCACTGATAATTAAAATATATTTCCTGATTACGGTTTGTTTCGGTAACAAAATTTGGGAACGTCGAAGGTACAATTTTTCCTTATTTCTTGCGTTGTAGGCAGAATCCCCACGACATTTTTTCTCACAAAAGTCTGTATGTTTTAGAAAATGTAATTGATTGTGAAAAAATAGCTCAGAAGACAACAGAATCGTCGATTTTATTCCTCACTTAAATTACATAAACGGTATGCCAGTTAAAAGTGCAGTTTTTTTTAACATATTATTTATTTCCTGAAAGTGCAGATCTTAACTGTTTTTCGAAATACCGTTTATGACATTATATGTACATTTTCTTGAACATATGATACTGATACATGTTTTTGATTAAAATTCCATGGGAATTCTGCCTTCGTGTGAAATAAGGGAAAAAAAGTACCTCCGACGTTCCGACATTTTGTTACCGAAACGGTACCAGCGTAACTGAGTGGATCACCAGAGTGACTTACATAATTCCAGCTGCCCATTGCAGACATGGAGCTGAATACAATGGTAGAGATGACCATACATCTGCTGTGTGTCATAGTGCTACAACTACAGGATATTCCACCAGAGTAAGTTAACATTGTTGAAGAATAGACCTTTCCAGTAAACCATGCCACCTTTTGATAGATCAGAGACATTATAATATATTGGCTAGATTGATAATGTCATTGGTTGTAAGCAGTTATCTGTCAATGCAAAATTAGGATTTACTTATTGTTAATCTTGTACAACCTATGACATCATCAATCTGCATGGTCAAATATATAATAGTTTCTTTGATTAGCACAAGGTGGCAGGATTTATTGGAAAGGTATATTTAATGTATGAAACATACTTTTAACACAGTCCTGGAACTCTGAATGTAGAAGTATATCTACAGAAACATGCATTTCCCTAATCCAAATTTTTCTTTTTACAAATTGGCAAATTCAAAAGTTAAGGCACAATAATGATATAGACTTGAGTTAAACGAAAAATATGCAGATTAAAATGTAAAATTTTGGGATTGTGACACACGTAATAAAGAAATTTCACTTTTTCAGTATTGCTGATAGTGTTCCATTGCTGATCCAGATATTCCTGGACTCTCAAATTGCAAGTCATACGGTAATATATATTTATTATGATTATAATAACTCAAATCGTAAAATGTACTACATTTTTTCATTTAAAAAAGATATTATATTCAATTATTATATTATACCCACATGTGTATTCTAGATACTCATTGGCTTATTCATGGTCACTTAATGTCAAATGTCTTAATGTGAAATAGATGAATTAATTCTATTGAAAAGTTCCAAATCCCTAACAGGGAAGATGAAAAGTGCTAATCACCAGTTAGGTCATGTGACCATTCATTTGGAAATTCAGCACGAGTTTGACAGAATGTCGAACAAAGCACGAACCAAAGGTGAGTGCATTTGTACTGACATTTTGTCCAACGAGTGTAGAATTTCATATTGAATGGCCTGTCATTATTTTTTCCGATCCAATCATAAAAAATGAAAACATTGTTCAGAGAATTGGGGATTGGGGTCCATGAAGTAACCAAACTTACTGTTATTTTCCCCATGAATAGGTGTGATGTCACAATATATAGATACCCGGACGATTGAATAGAGCACGGTCGTGCATGTATGGAGAAATACAGAATGTTCATTATTGGCTGTACTGCATTCCAATCGGTTGAGAAATTCGTCATGTTTGAATACTTTTTATCTTCGCTGCTATAGCTGGGATTATAGGAGTTGAATGGGAAAATTTCTTTATTCTTATTCTGTTTAAAGAGTACGTTTGGGGTATATAATATTAAACAAACAGTGGCTGTCCACTGACATGTTCCCTGGGCCTGCAGCCTCGGAAACATGTCAGTGGACGATATTCCCTTGGGAAAAATGTTTTGCACTTTTTCCCTCAATGGCAGTCACTTTTTGTGTAATAATAATTTGAGAGTCAAACAATATTATTTGTCAGTGAAATAGTGATTTTGTGTTTTCACTAAGTATTTCTCACAATGAAGCACTTACATGGCTGACTAAACCTATTTAACAAACTTAACTTGATTTACTTTGATTTTTGGGGGGAAATTCAGTGTATCAATTAAAAGTTGTCTTGTTACATTTTTTATGGATAAATCTATAAACCTTGAATACTGAAAATTAAGTAATAAATCAAAAACATTTTTAAAAGCTTGTCTGCCTTGCTTGTCATTGATTGATATTAATTAATGCTAGAATTATTTATTTAAGAAGTAATTTTCTTTTTTCAAAACTTTGTATCATTTGAAGCTCGTATGATAGTTGAAGTGTTGTTTATTCCAGGCTGCCGCAGCGCTGCTGTTTAGTCAGCTGTTGTTCTCAGGGGTAGCTGTAGAAATACAAGTAGAGGACATATTGGAAGCAGCTGTATCTATATTCACAGATTTAGCACAGGTATGCTATTTGTTGTATTGTATGCTGTTTGTTGTATTGTATGCTGTTTGTTATATTGTATGCTGTTTGTTGTATCGTATGCTGTTTGTTGTATTGTATGCTGTTTGTTGTATTGTATGCTGTTTGTTGTGTTGTATGCTGTTTGTTGTATTGTATGCTGTTTGTTGTGTTGTATGCTGTTTGTTGTATTCTATGCTGTTTTTGTATTGTATGCTGTTTGTTGTGTTGTATGCTGTTTGTTGTATTCTATTCTATTTGTTGTATTGTATGCTGTTTGTTGTAGTGTATGCTGTTTGTTATATTCTATGCTGTTTGTTGTATTCTATGCTGTTTGTTGTGTTGTATGCTGTTCGTTGTACTCTGTGCTGTTTGTTGTTTTGTATGCTGTATTCTGTGCTGTTTGTTGTGTTGTATGCTGTTTGTTGTGTTGTATGCTGTTTGTTGTATTCTGTGCTGTTTTTAATTGTATTCTATGCTGTTCGTTGTAGTGTATGCTGTTTGTTGTATTGTATGCTGTTTGTTGTATTCTATGCTGTTTGTTGTATTGTATGCTGTTTGTTGTGTTGTATGCTGTTCGTTGTAGTGTATGCTGTTTGTTGTGTTGTATGCTGTTTGTTGTGTTGTATGCTGTTTGTTGTATTCTATGCTGTTTGTTGTATTGTATGCTGTTTGTTGTATTCTATTCTATTTGTGGCATTGTAGGCTGTTTATTGTATTGTATGCTGTTTGTTGTATTCTATGCTGTTCGTTGTATTGTATGCTGTTTGTTGTGTTGTATGCTGTTTGTTGTGTTGTATGCTGTTTGTTGTATTCTGTGCTGTTTTTAATTGTATTCTATGCTGTTCGTTGTAGTGTATGCTGTTTGTTGTATTGTATGCTGTTTGTTGTATTCTATGCTGTTTGTTGTATTCTATGCTGTTTGTTGTATTCTATGCTGTTTGTTGTGTTGTATGCTGTTCGTTGTACTCTGTGCTGTTTATTGTGTTGTATGCTGTATTCTGTGCTGTTTGTTGTGTTGTATGCTGTTTGTTGTGTTGTATGCTGTTCGTTGTAATCTGTGCTGTTTATTGTGTTGTATGCTGTATTCTATGCTGTTTGTTGTGTTGCATGCTGTTTGTTGTATTCTGTGCTGTTTGTTGTGTTGTATGCTGTTTGATGTGTTGGATGCTGTTTGTTGTATTCTGTGCTGTTTTTAATTGTATTCTATGCTGTTCGTTGTATTGTATGCTGTTTCTTGTATTCTATGCTGTTTTTTGTATTCTATGCTGTTTGTTGTATTCTATTCTATTTGTGGCATTGTAGGCTGTTTGTTGTGTTGTATGCTGTTTGTTGTGTTGTATGCTGTTTGTTGTGTTGTATGCTGTTTGTTGTATTCTGTGCTGTTTTTAATTGTATTCTATGCTGTCCGTTGTATTGTATGCTGTTTGTTGTATTCTATGCTGTTTTTTGTATTCTATGCTGTTTGTTGTATTCTATTCTATTTGTGGCATTGTAGGCTGTTTGTTGTGTTGTATGCTGTTTGTTGTATTATATGCTGTTTGTTGTATTGTATGCTATTTGTTGTGTTGTATGCTGTTTGTTGTATTGTATGGCTTGACCCTTAAATGGTTAGGCTATAGAGAATTACACCAATGCTTAGGGGGACAGATCTTTCCCCCCTGTGATCTTGGAAATGGACAATCATATTAGGGTGTATTAGGTATCATTGGAAAGTTTATACAATTCCCAGTATTGAGAGCTTATTTTTAGCCATTATGTCCCTATCATTGAATATATGCCTGAAGTCTGACGTCAATATAGCCCGAGCTTGCGAGGGTTATATTGACGACAGACTGAAGTTTGATGTATTACATACCTAAAGTACATTTACATAACATTTCATAAAGATAATACTTTGAAATACATGAAAAAAGACCAAATTTTTACACGATTCCAGTCTAAATCACTTTGTTTACATGTTATGACGTCATAAAGTTGTCATGGTAAAAAAGTTTGGCGGCTATACAGGAATATATAGCTGACCTTCAGCTCCATTGACTTCCATACAAATGCTTCGCTAGGTATGTAATACATAACTATATTGAGCCATTATTAATGAAGAAATTCATGTTCTTAGAACAAAGGGTTTTTTCGTTTCAAGTCAAAACACTTATAATTTGGGTATTTTACTAACTTTGAGCACCTCTAACTTTCCTCTTAGGGGGGTTAAAGTCACAATTTCTTCGCTCAAACATGCCTAATTCAGTTTTAGGATTAGCCAGAAAGTTTCAGGTCAAAAGATAAACTGCAAAAAAAGTTCCTTAGGGGGGCAGATCTGCCCGTTTAAGGGTTAAAGTCCTCCAAATTTTCTTGCCAATTCAGGAATAAATGAGCCAGAATTTGACCTTACTGAGTTCACAACGAATCCGAGTAGACTTTTAGGGGATGTGGGGCTGTTCAAACCAATTCCATCACGTAAAAGAATGAGTAGAATCAATGAAATCTCACACAGTATCTCTCAGGACCAACAAGGTAAATGCGTGGTCATCCAAGTGACTTCAAGTTGATCAGCCAATCAAAAAGCTTTTTGTTGTATTGTATGCTGTTTGTTGTGTTGTATGCTGTTTGTTGTATTGTATACTGTTTGTTATATCGTATGCTGTTTGTTGTGTTGTATGCTGTTTGTTGTATTGTATGCTGTTTGTAGTAGTGTATGGTGTTTGTTTCATTGTATGCTTGTTTGTTGTATTTTATGCGATTTGTTGTGTTGTATGCTCTTTGTTGTAGTGTATGCGGTTTGTTGTATTGTATACTGTTTGTTGTGTTGTATGCTGTTTGCTGTATTGTATGCTGTTTGTTGTGTTGTATACTGTTTGTTGTATTGTATGCTGTTTGTTGTAGTGTATGCAGATAGTTGTGTTGTATGCTGTTTGTTATATTCTGTGCTGTTTGTTGTGTTGTATGCTGTTTGTTGTATTCTATGCTGTTTGTTGTGTTGTATGCTGTTTGTTGTGTTGTATGCTGTTTGTTGTGTTGTATGCTGTTTGTAGTAGTGTATGGTGTTTGTTGTACTCTGTGCTGTTTGTTGTATTGTATGCTGTTTGTTGTATTGTATGCTGTTTGTTGTGTTGTATGCCGTTTGTTGTATTGTATGCTGTTTGTTGTGTTGTATGCTGTTTGTTGTAGTGTATGCTGTTTGTTGTATTGCATGCTGTTTGTTGTATTGTATGCTGTTTGTTGTATTGTATGCTGTTTGTTGTGTTGTATGCTGTTTGTTGTATTGTATGCTGTTTGTTGTATTGTATACGGTTTGTTGTGTTGTATGCTGTTTGATGTATTGTATGCTGTTTGTTGTGTTGTATGCTGTTCGTTGTAGTGTATGCTGTTTGTTGTATTGTATGCTGTTTGTTGTATTGTATGCTGTTCGTTGTATTGTATGCTGTTCGTTGTAGTGTATGCTGTTTGTTGTATTGTATGCTGTTTGTTGTATTCTATGCTGTTCGTTGTATTGTATGCAGTTAGTTGTGTTGTATGCTGTTTGCTGTATTGTATGCTGTTTGTTGTGTTGTGCTGTTTGTTGTATTCTATGCTGTTTGTTGTGTTGTATGCTGTTTGCTGTATTGTATGCTGTTTGTTGTGTTGTATGCTGTTTGTTGTGTTGTATGCTGTTTGCTGTATTGTATGCTGTTTGTTGTGTTGTATGCTGTTTGCTGTATTGTATGCTGTTTGTTGTGTTGTATGCTGTTTGTTGTATTGTATGCTGTTTGTTGTGTTGTATGCTGTTTGTTGTATTGTATGCTGTTTGTTGTATTGTATACGGTTTGTTGTGTTGTATGCTGTTTGATGTATTGTATGCTGCTTGCTGTATTGTATGCTGTTTGTTGTATTGTATGCTGTTTGTTGTGTTGTATGCTGTTTGTAGTAGTGTATGGTGTTTGTTGTATTGTATGCTCTTTTTGTAGTTTATGTGGTTTGTTGTATTGCATGCTCTTTGTTGTAATGTATGTTGTTTATTATATTCTAAATGCTTTCATTGTTCTGAAAATCTACTCACCATTAAAGGGCCTATTGGGGTACTTTGTATAGTTTTGTATTTCTCTGGCAAAGTGTGCTGTTACATTAAATTATTTAATGTACAAAATAGCTATTGGTTAAATGTGAATATAAGTAGTTCCATGATGTAAAGGACTAAAGTATTATTTCTAGATTTGCTGCAAATGTCCCCTTGAGTATGGTGTATTGGATGGGGTACTGCTATTACTTTGTCAGCTCAGCATGCAGGTGAGTCAACAACAAACATTAATATTACATAAATTATGAAATAGTTCGCTTTTTACACCAACATAAAATTTACACCAATATCAACAGAAAAAAATTCTATTTAACTTATAAGTGCCAACTTTAAGTACAAATGCCTCATATATCTTTTTTGCACAATGTTAACAATAGATTTAGTATTGTATTCTTTTCATTATATTTATTGTATTCTAAGATCAACCCAAATACAAACTATTACCTGGTTGGTATTCTTATTTATCCCACGATTAATGTGTTATCTGTACAATAACAGCTATTGATATTTCTGATATTATTGAAATCCGTGTGATATTTTCCAGAAAATCGTTTATCAAACTCATATGCGTGTGATATCGTTTATCTCACGCATATCCGTGTGATATCACATTTGCATTTTGCGCCACAATATTGTTGGAAATTAGGTCAGATAATTTATTCTCTTTTGAGAAAATAGGTCCGTTAATTTATTCTCTTTAAGTTTCATTGGTGTATTGAATTACGATTGTGTATATAATTTGATTAGAAGGCTGCTAACTAAAGATTAAAAAATGGTATTTATGACGAACTATATCATGTTATTTACTTTTAATTGTTAAAATAAAGTGTTTCAAATATTCAATTGATATTCTAATTTCTAGTTTATATTGTCTGCCGATGTCCTGGAAATTGGATCAGAACATCACAAGGTGGTTGTAATCATGGGATAAACCCAATATCACATAATTTCTCTTGATATCATTTTATCGCCTCGTAGATATCAAATATCAACACTCATTCGCTTCGCTCACTCGTGTTGATATTTGATATCAACTCGGCGATAAAAATGATATCACTCAAAATGATGTGATATTCTGTATTTCTACCATGTTTTATGCACAACCATTTCTACTTTTCATTCAAACATCCTACAGCATTAGATTTGGGATAATACATATATAATCAATAAATATTGGGACACTCCAATCTCTATGTACATACAGAAATAGTTTTGTTTTATAGAGTGAGGTTCCAATAGCTAGAATGTATATAGAATGCGGTCTCTGGAATGCTATCTGGCACAGGAGTGCCCAGGCTCTTAATGTCCACCAGCATGACCCCAAGCTTTCTATACAGGACTTGGAGGGTGATGGGGAAGCTGCAATGAAGCCTCCAGATTGGGATCTCTTGTCTCCACAGGGCCTCATGGCCATGCTGCATTTATCTGTGATTGTTTTTACAAAGGTAGATATTCTGTATCATAATAGAAAACAAATTGTGTAATATTCTTAACAAAGATATCTCATTGTCAGATTTGAGGAATGTGGGATCATCTTGAGAAAATGGGCATTGGGCTTCAATTTTTTAAAGAAATACCCCCATAGTTTCAAAAATGTACATTAAGGGCATATACATTTTTGTCAATTTCCAGGTCTGCTAATGTATGTTCTCTTTAGAGGTGGATGAAACATGTTTTCCATTCATTATTGGCTGAACAAGCACCCCATGAGTTTATATTCAACTGTGATTGATTATTGAAGAAATGGAAACATTTATTGAATGTTGTTTATGCATTTAAGAGTCATTTGTTCATGTTAGATTCTCAAATGAATCATAATTATTTCTGAAAATACTTTATCTAAATCATCTAGAGTGAAAACATATTAATTTAACTTCCAGGAGACATTCCAGTGTGTTCCACAACTGGCCAATGCTGATGGGATCGTGAATCTAACAGTTATGCACCTGTTGTCAAATGAATTCCTGCATCTTCTTGCAACAAGGTACTTCACTGTAATTGTGATATATTACAAACTGTTGGGTGTTCAGAATGGGACATTGGAAGTTACACACTGGTGTCTACCAAAATTATTTTTCTCTTGTTGACTGAATATTTACAGTTATATTGTGCTCTTGTATTACTTGAATAGACTTGTACATTAAGAAAACTCATAGCATATTATATGTTCTGCACATACAAGAATTATTTTGAGATTGTCTCAACATGCTCTCATGTTTTTATGTGTGATAATTAAATCTTTCTCTTTATGTCCACTGACAAAAAAGTGCCAGTTTAAGCTCTCTAATATTATGTTCACCTATTTTTAAAATCTTTAAAATCTTAAAATCAGTTTTTTGTAGATATAAATGATTTCATATGACTTCAAAATATTATGTACATATCTCATAACTGATGCAGATTATGTGTTTGTAAGCCATGATACAAGTGTATACAATGGAAAGATAATTTTACATTAAATATAATGTGCTTCCTACCTCTATTTTCATTCCTTTATTATACATTTCAGTTCAAACCTTACAAAACCAGGGAGTGAGTTTGCCTCTGATATCATAGAGCAGGTGACACAAATCCTCTGCTTTCCCTTCGCCATTGATTTACAAGAAGATATGCTAATGGAAATATATGAGTAAGTCTAACGAATGTTTCGTTTCTACCTATTAGGAAGACCAACATTTTTCTTGAAGATATTTTTGCAGTATTTTGAAACTTTGAAAATCCTCCTTTATTTACTTATATTTAGCCCCCTATTCAAGGCTCCATGATATATTTTTCTTGCCCATGCTTATAGTGTTAGATATTGTATAAAATAAAGCAGATTGTGTCCATATCCATTCAAACATTTCAAAGTGATGGTCTATGCAGAATTTTTGGGAAATATCTTATTTTATCTGTTTCTTTTAGATGCTTTTATTGTAAGCAAGTTGTGGTGCATCTATTGTTTAGTCTCATAAAGTTTGTAGCACTAGAGCAGTGCCCAGTTCCAATTGGACTGTTAGCCAGGTTGGTCATGGGAGAGACAGTGTTTGTTGAGCAGTTTGCTGAAGCTGTACAGATCACTAATGTAAGTTGAATCATATTGAGGTACTTTAATTTACACACTGATGTATCAAATTCAAACCAATCAGAACACAGTGTTTCAAATAATCTGCTTTCTTGAAATTACGACAAAGCACTATGTCTATTTTTATATTCAGTGAATTTGACCAGGGCTTGCATTAACGGCGTCCCTTACATGTAAGTGACGCAAAAAAAAATTGTAGGACGGAAAAATAAAAAATATTTCCGTTTTTGGGACGGAAAAAAAATTGAGTCAAAACTTTGAACATTTTTTGAAAATCTTGAAAATCTCAATAGTTGATCATGTTTGACTTCTTTGAGGTGTATATTAAGATCAAAATATGTGAGATTTACAACTTTATTTTGAGTAAAAAAGAAAAAGAATGCAGAAAAACGAACTATTGTAATGGGCGATAATAGGTTATCAGTTTGCATGTGACATATTTTTCTCACTGAAAAGCTGATATAAAACCTTCAAAATGAGTTCAATTGTACAAATGATGCATACTTACCTAGGTGAAGTAGTCTATTTGTGATTATATAAAGTCAAAATGGTCTAATTTATGATATAAATCAGAGGATTCTGATCATGTAGAAAATGTAGTGCTACACTAAATTACTGAGCGTCAGACAAATTCATACTAAAAAATGTTCTTATTTTTTCAAGCAGTTGTTCAGTGCAAACAGCAAGTATAAAGATAATCACAGTATAATAGTACTTACTATAACAGGCTGGAGGTTACATAACATAAGTGAATTGAATATAAAGAACATGTTTAAATCACAGGGCACGAATGGCAACATTTTGAAAACACATAAGACATGTATTAAAGATCAAGTCATGCACATTCCAAAATAGCCCATTATAGCTAATTTAGCTAATTTAGCTTATATATTGGAGGACACGCTTTTTTCTGTCGGGACTCACTTTTTAAAAATTTTTCTTTCATTGGGACTCACATTTTTCAGAGCCTAATGCAAGCGCTGTTGACTATACCCTCATCAGTTTCATAATTTCAAGTTGATAGTTGAGTTAAAACCTGTAAGTATAAGTTATCATAGGGAATAACAAGACAGGTTGTGGGCGGATTTCCTTCTGCACTCATTGAAAGTCTTGAAACATCACATACATTATTAAATCAACCTAGAATTTATTGAGTCCTTGGCTGAAATCTTCAATTGAGCTATTTATGATTTTCTTACTTCAGGGTACAGATTTCCTTGCCCAGTGTGTGTCTGCTGCAGGGCCACTGTCAGTGAAATGTGACACTCTATCAGTGTTCAGTCACATGGCCCGATCATCCCCAAATTATGTTGGCCTCATCACCCGAGTTTTCCAAGGCCTCACAGGTACAAAAGCACATGTATTTAAATTTGAACTAGGTTGAACTAATTTTAAAGTAACAGCAACCTTTAGATATTGACTCATTTAAATACTACATTTATTTCTTTCCATTCGCTATCTAGGTCCTAATCTTTGGAATGCTCTACCACATGATATTAAAAAATGCTCCGCTCTAAATATTTTCAAATCTTCATATAAAAAACTACTCATCTATCGATAATGTATAATACCAATATCATACTGTATTGTTGATTTTATACTGGTACCTGATTTTTTGTAACATTTTTACATTGTATATCCTTAGATAAATTGTTAATTCCATTTTTATATACCTACATGTAACATAGAATAAGTGTTTTCTTTTATATGTAGTCTAGATGTCATTTTAATAATTTCTGTTAAATCGCAACATATACCCACTAGGGTGTCTATCGGCTTGTTTTTACAGTGTATATTATATAAGAATTATGAAATAAATAAAATTGAATTGAATTGAATACATTTTACTCATCCTAGCAGGACTATCTAAATATACTGATTTGTTTTCAGGGGAATTTGCTCCGTTAGTGCAGTGTTTAAAACATGATAATGCTATAGTAAGGTCGAGAGTGTGTGTTATGCTAGGGAACTTAATGAGGCACTCTGATCAACTGTACACAGTGCTTGTTGAATTGTAAGTAATTAGAAAGAAAGTAGAGAATAGATATTATATTATATAGGTTACAGTCAAATGATACATTAAACCTTTATTGCTAAATTATGTTTTGCAACTTTATAGCTATAGTTTTCATTGTTCAGCTATTGTTCCTGCAAGTGTCATGAATTATGGCAGTATGACTAAAAAGGAAAGCTATAGAAAAATAGATATACTGTCTATTATTTGATAGAATGCACTGTATCTCATTCCAGGAAGAGACTCTGTGATGCAATACGTGAGTGCTTACAGGATGAGGACCCCAATGTTAGAAAGGTACTTGGTAGTTTTCACTATCTGTTGTCTGGAATCAGTCCTTAAATTTTATGTCACCACCAATAAATGGTGACATATTGTTATGGTCTCCATTTTTTGTGTCGGCGGGTGGCGGTTGATGGTTGAACTTCCTTCAAATTGACCAAATATTTTCACAATCAATAATAAGCTCTCAGAAGCTCATATCTGACTAGATTTGAGATTTGACCTTCAATGACCTTCTCAAGGTCAAAAAGGTATTTTTCAATTTGCTTCCAAAAATAAGTTCACAGAAGTTCAAAGCTGACTTGTCTCAGATTTGAGAAAGTAGGTGGTGACATTTTGTCATGTTAATGCCTGGTTGATAATTGCATCTAAAGAAATGCATGAAATATTGCCATGTTTATCACGTTTTGACTTAAGGCTGCTTCCACCCCTCCTAATATATGAAGTGATGTGACATCTATTTATTAACACATGTCTTTGTGATAATGATTTAATGTTTTGTCTACTTTTTTGACATATTTAATATTTATTCGAACAATAGAATCTCTGATAGCCTATAAAGTATAAGGTAAAAAATGTTGCTATTTCAGTTCATTTTGCCATCAATCCAGTTTCTAGATAGTTGTTCCAAACCAAATGTGTACATTATCCCTCTGAAGAGAATATTATAGATTTCTATTTTTAGAAAGTAAAACAATAAGTTGGTTGTATATACAAGAACAGTAAACAGGAAAGCCAAGTTGAATTTATGAAATTGATGAAATCTGAAAAATAGAATTGTGAAAATCACTAGAATCTAAAAATAACCAAGCTTGGTTATAATTTCAAGAATGTAGGTTTATTTAGGATACGCGTCCTGATTGGCTTGAAGTGTGTGAATAATTGATTGCTGCCTTTTAAATCGCAGCGAAAATATTTGAAAATCCATGCCTTATAAAAAGTTATATAAGGATTTAAACCCAGGACTCCATGAATAGTAGACATTTTAAGCACAAGAATGGATTTAGAATATTATACTGTGTTCTGATTGGCCAAACTATGTGTGAAAATAATGAATCTGGACATTTTGGCCCTGACCCTGTATATTGTGTTTTAGGGTGCTAGCTATGCAATTGGCAATGCTGTGTATCACTCAGGAGATCTTTATAGGATATTCACTCAGGGAATACCTCCACTTGTGAAGTTGCTAAGGGACCCCTTCGCAAAAACAAGATCCAATGCAGCAAGTAAGATTGTTACTTCTTTATCTCTAGTATTTTTATGACATTCATATTGAGAGAAAACATACAAACCCCAAAGTCTCACTTTAATGAATATGTGTAAATAATCAACGTTAATTAATTTTAATTTTGTCTTTGCTGTTTTTTATTTACTTCAATGAATTGTACAATTATAAAGTCTTTAAGATGTCCAGTTACATACGTTGTATAAATATCTGTAATTATCCCAGATAATGCATGTGCAAATTATTCAGTTATACAGGGCGTATCAAAAAAAACGCAACAAGTAGTTATCTCGTAAAATCACAAAACTAGTGATGACTACATCAATTTCATTTAATGTACCATGAAGCCATGTCTCTCCTCTTTGCAATGATATGTCATTCATTCACATGTGGTAATGGTTGGGTGAGAAATCCTTCCATTTGCACAGTGGGTCAAAATCGGCCCTGCGCCAAGTTTTAGATATTGAAAAAATCAGTGCAAGGGCTAACTGCCAATGGAAGTTCCCTTGACTTGAATTGTTGTGACTTTTTCTTTTGGAGCTATCTCAGGAGCATCTGTGCTCACAATTCCTCCACCAGATATTGCAAAACCTCGAGAAAGATTTGCCCATGGGCTGGTTTCCTTTGCTTTAACCCACACATGATTCAGGGCTGAACCATGCATGATGTGGACAGATGAGCGCATCTTTATGTGCAAGGAAGTGGTGGCAATTTGGAGGGGTATAGGATGTATTCTTGCAAGAGTATGAGTATGAACACTTTACTGTCTATGCCATACCTGTCACACCTTCTTCCAATATAGCCCATTGTACTGATTTTTGCAATGTTTTAAACTTGGGTCCGAGCTGAATTTTGCCCCACTTTGCAAAATTAATGATTATTCGGCCAGAGATGACTCCCTGTGAATGAATGATATTCCATTGCAAAGAGGAGTAATTTGGCTTTTTTTGGTACATTGAATTAAAGGGATGCTAGTCAGCATTGGTTTTATGTTTTCGTCCAATATTGCATCGGGCTCTGTACACTGACTTTTGCAATGTTTATAACTAATTTTGGCCCACTTTGCAAATGGAATGATTACTCACCCAACCATGACCAAATATCAATGAATGATATATCATTGTAAAGAGGAGACACATGGCTCTATGGTGCATTGAATGAAATCAATGCTGTTATCACTGGTTTTGTGCTTTTCCAAGATAACAATCTGATAACGCACTGTACATACAAATATTTTATACTTCTCATTGCTGCACTTGTTATTTGGCAGGTGCTCTCGGGAATCTATGCATTCACAATGGAGATATGGTGGATGCTTTACTAACATCAAAGGCACACCAAGGGTAATTATCCCAACGAACGAAGTTCGGTAGGGATATAGTGAAGCCCTCCATCCGTCTGTCAGTCAGTCAGTGAGTCCGTCCGAGTGTACGTCCAGAAGATAACTCAAATATTAGTTGACGGATTTTCTTCATATTTGTATAATTGATTGGAATTCGGTAATTGATATTTTGTTCGTTGGGATTTGCTTCTCCGCGGAGTTGCCATTATCTAGTTAGAATTTACATCAGATCAGTGGCTACAAACTTGATTTGCAAGTCTTATTACCATAATTATGTTAAACCATCAAAAAAGAGTACATCCATATCATAAAAAAAATAGTAAAGCCATATAAAAGTTTATCTGGAATATTGGATTGAAATCTTTCATAATCTTCTAGATTCTAGGAAACTGGGAAGAGTGCTAAGATTTAAGAACATTTATAAGGCAACTCAGCAACAAACTTGACTCAATCCCAATAGTGTTTAGCTCATTTATTAGCTCACATGGCTGAGCCATTGTAATCACCCACTTGTCTGTTCATCCGTCTGTCAATGCATTGGTGGCACATTTGTGATTCATGACATTTCATTGGTAAGACTAGTTGTCTTGGGTATGAGTTGACTAGGAAGCAATGGGGCAATAATTGATTGCTCAAAAAAGTATTCCATCAATATGCTTGAAATGGTAATATTATTTTAAATTAATGACAGTGTATTCTATTTTTGGTGAAATTATGGCTGCCACTTTTCTTCTCACTTTTTGTGTTATAGGTCAAGAAGTATTTTATTGATTTGCTTGAAGTTAGCAGCTAAGTGTTATATGCTTACAATGTCTAGAAGCTTTGACAAAATATGTAGTAAAATTGTTAAATGGCTGCCACTTTTTATCATGACTTATGTGAAGGTTGACAGTATTGTCTGTAAACAATTATGACTAGTTTGTGCAAATATCCTCTAAATTATGAAGTAGCCGCCACTTTAACTGTCAAAAAATGTTTCTGACCCTTTTGGTCCACATCAGTTTGACTTAAATGAAGAGGTACCTCATTGATCTATTGGTAAATAATAATCTTAGAAGTTTGGATAAAATATCTCGCAGAAATTAAAAATTACTGGCACTTTTCCAACTGAAAATCACCTTCGGCCTTATTGGCAATCTATTACTTTCTGCTAAATCAATATTTATTTGATAAATACCCTTGGATTCCAATTTTAAGTTTAAATTGTTTTGACATTATTAGCATGTGCTGTTCTTCCAGGTTGCTAGATGTTGTATGCCATGACAGCCAATATTCAGTACAAGAGACAGCAATCTCAGCTTTAAGGTCTCAGTGCCAACATGCCAAAATAAGACAGGTACAAGTTACATTTATACTAGGATATTTGAGTATGAACAGCCAAGGAAAACATCACATTTTTCTCAATTTAAAGCAGTTGTCTTCAGGAACTATGTTAAGGGACTCCTAATATGATAGTCTAGTGACGTACAATTTCGGATCATTGGCAAACTTATTTTGTTTTTGTTAGTTCCAAGTGGGTGGCTTATGATACATTTATGCAAAACTGCCCAAGTTTCATAAGTTTATTGTTTATGCTTCAGGAGCTGTGCAAATTAAGGGCCATTGACAAACTATCCAGCATAATAGAGACGGGGGGTACCCCAAGGTCGCGGTCTGGGAACATTGTTGCAGCTAGTTCCAAGCACACAGGCACCACACTTATACAACAGTCAAATAAACTTATAAACATATTAAGTGGTAACAAATGACTGGGATCTAAACTCACTTTAAACACTAGTGATTGTGTATGGCTGGTATACTAATCTGATGGTGTCAAGCTATAATGCCACAAAAAAAGTGTTAATTTTGAATTGACTGCTTTTTAAAGCACAAAGCATTTAGTTGAATCTGCATGTATGTGATTTATTTATTTGTTATCTATCTAGCAGTAGCATTTCATCCGTCCATATCATAAATAAACACATACATTTGACAATAAAAATATATTTTGTTTTTGTGACCTTTAGTACGAACTTTCATTATGTCACCATCAACAAGTTATTTATTACAGGTCATCCAGACCATTGTGTTTGATTAATAGCAAAAACATTGACTTTTGCACATTGGTGATGTTGCACCATTTTTAATAGATCTCATATCTTAAAAGCATATAGTTTCAAAAAATCCTAGAAGGCTTAGTACCTTTTAAATTACATCTTTGTGAATTTCAATTACACTGACACCATACAGTGGAGTTGACAACGTTCATTTCTGATTTTTTTAAATTATACCCAATACATAATATTTATCAAATCTTCACTCATCCTAAATTGTGTAGTTTAGAGAAATATATTCTCATAAAAATAATAGACACTCTTAGGCGACAGGAGAAAAAATGATCAAAGGAGATGTGAAAAAACCAACATTTTCCAACCGATCAATTTTTGTGGGTAGATTTACTACAAAAAAAATCGAGCAGTGCTCCAAAATCTTTTAACATAATCGGAAAGCTAAAAGTCTTCCCAAGTGAATACACACAAAACCCTCATCAAACCTAAATCATAGTTTTTGCTTCAAATCATTTAATCTAATTGATATTACCTGTGCTTTAAAGGATGAATGTCCTTAAGACCCCATATTAGGCTAGCCCCCAAGATAATTAGACAAAATTGTACAGGATATCAAAAAAGGGACTTTGTTTGATAACCAAATCCAAAAATTAGGTCATTCTGACCTTTATGTTTCAAAAATAGGTCATTCTATTAACATGAATAAAATGACCTTTGAAGGTAAAATCACTCTTCTCACATCAGTATTTTCACTGTTTCTATTTATTATCAAAATAATCATTATTTACAGTCATTCAAGACTTTTTAATTGATCCTTTTGGTATTATCTTACATAATAGAGACAAAGCATTATGGGCAACATTTGAAAACACATAAAATATAACAAGTCAAAAATGCAAAAAAATATTGAATATACTCATTGAGATCAACTGTCTACCAAAATATGTCAAAGAAGGAAATTGAGTTTTTAAATTACATCAAAATAAGAAAGAACAAGGGGCAACATTAGAAAACACATGAAGTATTGCATATCAATCAGCTATATATATTGATCTGCTTCCTTGAGATCAATTGCTCATATACAGTTTGTTTAAGTTTGTGTAAGTGGCAGTAAAATACTGAGTTTATACACATGAACCTACAGCCCTACTCCCAACTGGGCATGAACAACACCAGACAGTGATTGCATCAATACCGTTACATACATCTGGATCTGGATTGTACTCCACCCATGTATAATCATCATTTAGAGGACACAAACCTCTTACTGGGCTTTTACACAAATTAGGTCAGGTTTCCTTTTTTAACAATGATGGTATATTTCCCATCTTTACTTGAAGATGGTCGTCTGTGCATCGTTTAGATTGGTTGGCTTGATATAGACCAAAAGTGAGTTGACATACATCGTCTTCAGTCAGAATGGTGAATTCCTCAAAAGAGTCCACTACAATTTAGATGTAACCCTCTGTCTCTATATAGGGTGTTCTGAGAGATTGCAGTTCACTCATACAATTCCCTTTGCTTTGAGCATTTTATTAGAAAATGTCGTTTTCCCGCCTACTGATTGTGACTTACAGTATATTTCTTCTGCACAATAAAGTTGAGCTGGATTTCTAAATATGAACACATTTGGTTTGATCAGCCAGAGAAATAAAAAAATATATTTACGGACAAAAATGACGCCTGTCACATGAAGATTAAATAGAGTTGTTTCAAACTCGCCGACTTCGACAACAGAGTCCCGACACCGACTTGGTTACTGTAAATCGATACTGTAATTATGTATTTTCAAAGTTTATTTTTGCGGATAAACTGATTACTTACCATGCAATATTTCTAGATAAATTCCAATGCATATTCGACAAATATTCATCATTTAATGGTTTTCAGGTTTATTTCATTTATCATTAGACGATAGACTACACGTTTTACATAAGGTCTAATTTAATTTGCAATTGATTTACAGTAACGGCATTGTTTAAGCCCAGAGCCCATACGCTTCATTCGGTCCTAAAACTACGATTTTTTCAAGTAATGCCTTGGTCACATTTGCTCTGATTTTCACGACGGCGCGCGGCCGATTGCATTTTGTTCAAAATTGAATACAATATTGAACAAAACACTCAATCGGCCGGGCGCCGGCCGATGGATCGGAGCCTATGTGACCCAGGCATAACATGAGACAAGTTTGTGCATCGCTGAGTATTTGGCAGTGACACGTGTCTATGCGTATGCGTTCATATATTTACTTGACTTGTGCACTGGTGTGTCACAACCTTCTTACGATAGTACACGAGTAACATGGCTTCGAAAACTGTAAGCAAAGGTAAGTTACTTGACTAATTAGCAAACAAATATGTACGTTCATATACTTACAGGCATCGTACAGCTTTTTCTAAATATGCATTCGATATTTCAAAACAGTACGTGTTTACTGTTTCGTTTATTTATTCAATGAAATCAGAAACTACATGTATATCTCACAATATTATAAAAACTACGTACTCTGTGGGGCTTAACATTTTACAGGGTTTAAATGGCACGTTAGCTGTGAAGAATAAACATGACACTGTGCAAATCAAAGCACGCGTTCGCCTTGCAGCAGCCTTATTACTGAATTTATATCTGTTTCAGAACCTACGCTCTTGACTTCGTTTTCTTTTCGAAACCAGAAGTTTTACTTTCACTAAGAAGCTACTTGGTGCATCCATGTTGTTGGACAGAAATTGTCGATACTGTAGCGACCCTGGGTTGGCTAGTCATATTTTACTCTTATATAAATTGCCAACCTGGCACCCGGTGTCGCTACTTTCCTTCGGCTCTACAGCGCGAATAGTTCCGCTGCAGGGTCGGGGAAATAGTTGCTTGAGCTATATAGCTTTTGTTCAGAACAATTGTTTTGCAAGAGTATTTTGAACATGGCACATTTCTGCTGTAATTTTATGTAAGGGTCAATCTCGCGAGAGACAGCGAGACGAGAGTTGGCGCCATAATAGTTTCCTCACGAGGCAATTTTGATTTCAGTTTTCCTATTTTGAGATATTTTCGACACTTTGTCAGCACCGATCGATTGTAATGGGCTAGCCAAAGGGAAGGAGAGACCAATGTGGCTGCGGAAATGAGGTTATATTTTCTTATTTTAACCCAACTGCTGTGCTGAGCATATTGTGAATTTTGAATTTATTTTCATTTTTGTCTTTGACTTCTGAGAGTCAACTGAGTTTGATATTGGGTTTAATTTGGTTATTTGGAACATCCATTTTGGTTGATTTTCTTTGATAGAAATATGTAATTGTTGGCTGGAAGATCTGGCCTAGATTTTGATATATTTATGTTAGTCTCAGGATATACTCAGCGCGCAGGTGAGATTTCACACAGCGCCACCTTTTGACACTCGCCCTTGAAGGTTGAAATTTATGTTGTTTTAATTGTAAGCGCTCATATAGCCGCCATCTTACTTAAGTCATTTGTAATCTTTCTGCCATATAATTTCCTGTGATTTTCATTTGATAGATAAAACTGATGTAAAACCAGATCTTAATTATTTATTTACAATTAAACTTTAGAACTTTACTTGATTTGTCGTGTTGATTGTTTGTAGTCATTGATTGATGGTTTAGATGGAACAACAGTAAAATGGCCCTATGATTACTTTCTGATATCTCGTTCCCAACATCACTTCATCCTTCTGTTCCAAATCATTCTTGTCTAATTAGTGTTTTCAACTTTTGTGTCTATTCATAGATGGCAGCACCTTACATATAGTCCAGTAATCAATCTTAACATTCAGCTCAAATCCGATACACTACGTGCTATGACCGTTCAGCTTACCACGCTACCATTTGTTTGCTCGTTCGGTCCTATTTGTTTGTTTGTTTGTTTGTACGGGTTGCTTTGTTGTAGTACTGGTTTATTGATTGATTGGGCAGCCCGTACGTGGCAGTTTCGGGATTAAGACCGGAGCTGTTACAATACCATCAAAGACAATCTCCATCTTCTAACAGAAGACACGTCGAGTTACTACAAACAAACAAGCTATGATCAGCTACAGACCCGTCTTTCTACAAAGCTTGGGAAGTTGGTTACAGGAAAGGAGGTTGTCAAAGATACAGAAATTCAGTAAGAGATTTCAGGGTTTTTTCATTCTTTTTAGTACTATTATTTACTAGACTTTCAAATTTCAGTTTGATTTTGCTTATTTATAAAAATTTTATCCGACTTGTGTTTCAGATTGGCTATTGATGATGTTAAGAAAATGGAAATGAGGTTTGCGGAAAAACCCTGCCCCCAGCCTACCAAAGCGAAGACTCCCAATCCTGTGGAAGCCCCAACCCCAAAGCCTGTAAAAAACCCGACCCCAAAGTCTACAAAAGCCCAGACCCAAGCTGCAACTGCAAGTACGTCAACTCAAGACAAAAACGTCACCATTTTTAATGAGGATGACGATCAGCAGATGGACGATTTCCGGGATAATATCGCACATGATATGTCGAGTGGTCATGATGAGGAACTCGCAGTTCCAACAAAGAAGAAAAAGAAGAAGAAAACAGAGACACTAACTGAACTCCACAGAAGAGTTTTAAAATCCCAAGAAAGATTTCTATTGAAAAAAATGCCCAAAATTATTACAGGACTTGGCATTAGTATTTCCTCCTCAGAATCGTCAGATTAGCTTTACCACACTTGTATGATCATTATTATTATATATTAATAATAAAAACCCAGTGAATACATAACAGAATATTATGTCCCTCTGATTATATAGTCAACAAATATCATTTCGTGTTCCATAGTCGGAAGCTTGAAACAATCCAATTGAATTAGGTAGATATTAACCTCAAAAATAAACTTTGAAAATACATAATTACAGTATCGATTTACAGTAACCAAGTCGGTGTCGGGACTCTGTTGTCGAAGTCGGCGAGTTTGAAAC